GAACTACGACACCAACTCCTTTTACTTCACCAAGCTCTACAAACGGTACTACCAATCAACAACGATTTCACTGGACCTGCTACTACAATTTAACAGTTAATATAATTCAATACCTTAATACCACTCCCGAACTACGATACTTCATCACCTGCATTCTCATTTCTCTATTACTATTACCAATCAGATTCAACTAGACCTCCAACTACACAACACCTAAATAAAAAATACTACACTTTAACACTTAAATACTTAATACCTACGAAACCATATCAGCAACAGCCTACAGCCGTTACTCCCAAATCTACACGATTCATCAAAACTTACCAAACAAGTACAATACTTTGAACACCCGTCATTACAAAACGATACACCAGGACAGATTTCTAATTCAAAATCAGAGAAAACGAGACTTACCAGCTCTGTTAAAATCAAATAACTGTTTTAATAACGAACTTATTTAAGCGTTTTTTACATCAATTATGTGACACCAAATTAAAAAGGCAAAGTGACTGTTAAAAGCGCCCAGACCTTCCAAATTAGGGATGTGGGGTTGCATTTTCACCACCGCGAAAATATAGGCCTATATAGACCGAATTTTGGGGTGGGGCGCAAAATTGATAGTTCGCCCTGGATGCCGAAATCGATCGCTACTCTTTTATAGTTATTAATTATTAGGTACTTTTGATAATAGCGATTAAACATTTTGCGCCCCCCCCCCCCCCTAGGGATGGCGCTCTAGGCGACCGCCTAGTTCGCCTCATAGGTAGCGCAGGCCCTGGTTGGGGGCCCCTTTTAAAAATTCCCGGGCCACTTGGACACAGCCAGTCCATCCCTGTACAAAGCGATCGTGTGGTTAGCATTATGCCCGGGGGGGGGGGGGGGTAAGATAGTTTAACGTTACGCTGTTACATTTAAATATGTATTTCTAAAACTGAAGTTTACCGTTTTTTTATTTTCTTAAAAAAATACAACTGGTTTCGTAAATTATTATGAAAATTGATCAATAAATTCAATACTGACCTATTTACAAAAACATTATTTAAATTAGTTATTTAGCAAGTCGCCCAGTTTCCTTTTAAAGATAAAGCACTTATTTCAATATCACTCAGGCCTGGTTATATCTCCTTACGAAAATGAAATCTAAAGATAAAGCACTTATTTCAATATCACCCAGGCCTGGTTATATCTCCTTACGAAAATGAAATTTAAAAAAAAAAGCGACCGGGATGGGGACTATAAGTCTGACGTCATTTAGGGTGAGGTCTGCATTTTTGTGACTTATGACGATATGGGAGGGTGTAAAATCAGTATAAAAGCGCGCAGCTGTTTAATGGACGGCGCCCTGTAAATTACGACTTCAAAATTATCACATAAAAGAAATGATTAAATACGTCTAATTAACATTAATTAACGACCAAAGCGCAACATTAGTAAAATTAATAGGCCTATGTTTCTCATAAAAACAGGACAATAACTTACACACAGCAGGCCTATAAGCAGTGGAGTTGCAAGGTCGGGTGGCAAATGGCACCCGGTGAGGAACCTAATCCCCCCCCCTTCGAAAAAATAATGTATATATATACTAGCCGTCCCGGCCAGGCCCTGCTCTGGCTTCTGTGAAAAACCTTTCTGTTAAAGACCATCACCTGTGTGTTTAGTAATCATCATCAACCCGGCATTGCCCACCCAAACCACAACCAACCAAAACCAAAACAACAAAAGGCAAACATAACGCTAACACAATTACAAATACAAACGAAAACAAACCAAATCCAAACGCAAAACCAACCAAAAACACAAATACAAACCCAAACAAAAAAAAAACACAAACAAAAACGAAAAAAGAAAGAACAAAAACGAACCAAATCAAAACGCAACCACTAACGCAAACCCACCTAAACACAAAGAAAACACTAACGCGAACATAAACGCCCGGGGCGGAATCACCTGTTTTAGATTAATGAACGACTATAGTACCCCAACTTATTCATAGTCTTTTGCACTCACTTAAACGAACGCGCCTGTTTCAATTTAATGAACAATTTTAATACTCCAAGCTTATCCGTAAAATACCTACAACATTTGCACTTGATCAATCCCCGCTAATTATGTAATTATTTTTTTTCCCAACACCAAAACAAAGTAATTAAAAAGTAAATTCTTTTCCACAAAATGCAATGGTTTTATAAAGGGAAGTAATTGTGTTTTCCTAATTTATCAAAGGGAAGTAAGTGCTATAGGACTAAATAAAGACATAATTAGAATTGTTGTAAAAGATGATATTTTTTTAAAACTTGTGTTTAATGAACATGCCGACAATTATTACTATAATTTGAAAAATGAAAATTATTTCCCAACACTTTCAATAGTAATTTTTTAACTCATAAATTTAGACAAATGCGCACGATAATTGTCTAACACTTAAATCCATCCAAGACCAACGACAAACATATGCTGTACATACAGAACTGAGCTTTATATATTAAACTAGCCGTCCCGGCCAGGCCCTGCTCTGGCTTCTGTGAAAAACCTTTCTGTTAAAGACCATTACCTGTGTGTTTAGTAATCATCATAAACCCGGCATTGCCCACCCAAACCACAACCAACCAAAACAACAAAACGCAAACATAACGCTAACACAATTACAAATACAAACGAAAACAAAAACCTAACAACAAACCCAACCACAAACACAAACACCAATACAAACACAAAGAAAAACCAAACAAAAAAGCAAACGAAAACAAAAACCTAACAACAAACCCAACCACAAACACCAATACCAACAAAAAAAAACAACGAAAAAGCAAACGAAAACAAACCAAATCCAAACGCAAAACCAACCAAAAACACAAATACAAACACAAACAAAAAAAACACAAACAAAAACGAAAAAAGAAAGAACAAAAACGAACCAAATCAAAACGCAACCACTAACGCAAACCCACCTAAACACAAAGAAAACACTAACGCGAACATAAACGCCCGGGGCAGAATCGCCTGTTTTAGCTTAATGAACGACTATAGTACCCCAACTTATTCATAGTTTTTGCACTCACTTAAACGAACGCGCCTGTTTCAATGTAACGAACAATTATAATACTCCAAGCTTATCCGTAAAATACCTACAACATTTGCACTTGATCAATCCCCGCTAATTATGTAATTATTTTTTTCCCAACACCAAAACAAAGTAATTAAAAAGTAAATGCTTTTCAACTAATGCAATGGTTTTATAAAGGGAAGTAATTGTGTTTTGCCTAATTGATCAAAGGGAAGTAAGCGCTATAGGACTAAATAAAGACATAATTAGAATTTTTGTAAAAGATGATATTTTTTTTAAAACTTGTGTTTAATGAACATGCCGACAATTATTACTATAATTTGAAAAATGAAAATGATTTCCCAACACTTTTAATAGTAATTTTTTAACTCATAAATTCAGACAAACGCGCACGATAATTTTCTAACACTTAAATCCATCGATAACCAGCGACAAACAAACATATGCGTTACAGAATTGAGCTTTATATATTAGATATATATATATATATATATATACATATATATATATATATATATATATATATATATATATATATATATATATATATATTCCATTTACCCTTGTAAGTATGAGTATACGCATGTGTATATCATGTATTCAAATCAATCTTTTTTTTCTGGATGTATTCATTTTTTTTTTAAAAACTACGTACTTTTGACGGAACTTCGTACTTTAAATTTTAATATATTGAGTAACATAGCGACATTTTTTTACAACGTTTAAATACGCTTGAAGGTTTTTACCTTTTATGGGTATACCTTATTATAATTTAACATATTCCATAGCATAATATATACACAAATTTAAAGATCAAACTGACTTAAGGCGTGAATTATTTCAAAACGGTCGGCAACTCTTCATGGCGATAAAAAACGTCAAATTTGTCAATATGGCAAGCTTGCCAGTTCTATTTACCTGTTGCTCGCTTTAAATTGCTTTTGGTGTCCATTATTCATTTTCGTCTGTTAAGTTTTTTTAAGTTAATTTATTTACAATGGATTAATACATTTCAAAATGTGTGTTATTTTGTAACACGCACTTTAAAATAGTAATTAAAAAAAACTTTTCATTTAACTTCGGCCTATGCATCATCATAAGTCATTTCCCGTTCGTGCCCAAGACACATGGATCAAATGAAGTTGAGTTCTGTTTCAGAGACCTCGGCATTTGAAGGGATAGCCTGGTCAGCACGTAAGTTAGGTACCCATTAGAGCTGGGACGTTCAACTGATTTGAACCCAATTCATTTTGTATTTCTTCAAAGCTTAAAAATATTAGTGAGCAGCAATTTCACATTTTGATCTGGCATGATATGACAGAACTGCCATACTGCTTGCTAGCTTCCAACAATATTTTGAATTTCGTGATAGTACGTATAATTTTTGTCTACTGTCGTTTGTGTTTAGTGTGGTAGGCCTAGAATGGCCTAGATCTAGATCTAGATTAGATCTATAACTTTATGTGTTTAGGTGACTAGACACAAAATAACCCATGAATTATGTAATAATTAATAAATTGTTTATCTTTATCAATTCTTTATCCCATGTTTTCAGGTGGGGTGTGTATGACTATATATATTGGGTCGTCCATAAAAATAATAATAAAAAATTAAATGACGTCACACCGGGGGGGGGGGGGGGGTCCGTAATTTTGCGACTATGTGTGATGAGGGGAAGGGGGGGGGGGGGGGTTCAGATGGTGCGACGTTACACTTTTGCATTATAAAAAAGCAATGTTAGAAACCGAATTTTAGACGTTATTTTGCGTGTTAGAAAACTGTTTGGTAATCTATCGTTTTGGGTACGTAAAATCGCCCGCGGCTATTTATGTACGAAAACGTTACCTCATTGTCAAGGCTTTAATAGAAGTATATTGTGATATGTTTGTGTCAAATATTATAGATAAATGAATAATAAACCTAAATCAATTGCTAAATATATCGATATAGGCCAGAAATTAACTTTAAACAGCAGTGTCTGAGAGCAAGATTTGCTATATAAACAGCAGCCATTTGTAAAATAGAGTGGCTTCCCCCTGAATCTGGCGCTAAAAGCTTATAAAAATAAAACTTAGACAAGATGGCTGCTATAGTAAATGAGCATGGTTGCATCTGTTGGAAACATCGCTAGTCTTCATTTATTACGGAAAAGTTTTAATTCAATTGTTTAAAAACAGGTACATAAATGAATCAAGGAAACATTTTTGAATTTTTTAAAACATAAATCCTCCTCAAAATGTGAAATAATTATTAAAATTTAAGGAGTCACCTGTTTTTCACATTACAAATCGCGGGCGATTTTACGTACCCAAAACGATAGATTACCAACTGTTTTAATATATTCAATATTGTAATAATAGGAATTGATTAAAATACTCTATTTTGACAGAGTTCAGACAAGATTTTAGGAAAATATAGATGTTTTAAAAAAAAATTCAACTGCAATTTTGAGGGGGGGTGGGTTTAGGCTGAGGTGTGATGTCATTTTAGGGGGGGGGGTCTGGCTTTTTGTGACGTGTGAGGGATGGGGGGGGGGGGGGGAAGGGGTAAAAATCTTTTAAATAGCGTGATGTCATTTATGAATGACCCTGTGTGTGTGTATAGGCCATTATTTATTAATTTATTATATTATGTGAAAAAAAGATGACTGTTAAATTTTAGTAATTAGGCCTATACTCTATACCTATAGTTAGAGATTCTGTGGAAACCACTCTAATTTACAGATTGTTTGATGTCATTCTTTATTAGCCTGCATTATGGCTTCCAAACAAGGTAACATAGAACTGATCACCCTACAACCACTTGGTCATGTCCCAAGCTGTCCACATGGTAAGTAGACCTGCATGTTATTAATTATTATTTAATGAATGTACTACAACTATAAAACACCATTAATAACAAAGTACTTGAACACTTTTGTGTGCTTATAAGTTATATCAAGTATTTCTCTCTTTAAGGGCCTACACTACTATTTGAGCGCTGGGATTACCAGTCTAAAAAACCTCGCAGGTTTTATGCATGTTCTGCATTTCGAGATAGGAAAGAATGCAGTTTTTTCCAATGGGAAGATGCCCCATCTAAAAATCTTATGTCACTTCATCAAACAATGCCACAATTTTTACACAAAGTTTTAAGAAAAAGGTAAGTAGTCTACAAAGGCCATTTTCAATAAAATGGCTTTACACTTTACAATTTTTAACAATGATAGTGTGTGTGTCTGTAAGTGCATCTATGTGAAACACTGAGCTTTGTTAATTGAAATGAATGACCATCTGCAGTAAAGTTTTAATGATGCATTAAAGTAAAGTTTCCCTTTCATACCTGACGGTCTTTGTGGCAAGTGAAGTAGAGTTCACTTGTTTCTGTGACCTCGGCATATGAAGAGATAGTGTGGTCAGCACTATGCCCAGCTGCCTTTACTTTCCCTAACGTGAGTTAGGTACCCATGAGAGTTGGGTGGACTCAGGGATAATCTACTGACTTGAACCCAGATTTGAACTCGAGACTTACGGGTTCTCTACCGCTAGACCATTCCGTCCCATCATGATGCATTGCCATGAGTTTAACAATTTACTGAAGAAAGCACTTAAAGCTTTCTAACTTATTAGTAATTAATATCAAGTAGTGTATGTTTTTTGTTTTTTATTTGAGGTACTTTTTAAGCTGCTATTGTATGTTTTTTAAAATGTTTTTTACATGTTTAAACCTAGTTTTTTAAAGTCAACGAGCCGACCCGCAGCGTATCATATGCCGCTATTTAGTTGTTTTATTTTCTACTTTTCAGTAATTCATAATTTGTGAATTCGACAGTACCAATGCTGCCACTGAAAATATTTGCTTTAAAACACTAAAACCCTCCCTTCCCCCTAACCCCGACCCTACACCCCCCCCCCCCCCCCCTTGAAAGCAGCCTCCTCTTAGTTATTTCTTAGTTACCTCCTGTAAGTTTAAAATCGAACTAAATTATCTGCCCCTAATAGAAACCCGGCTCTACGATTTGTAAACATTTTGCGTGACCACAGCTCACCAGACAATGTGGGGGTGGGGTGGGGGTGGTAGTGATAGTGATAAAGAGAAAGAGAGGGGACTGCAAGGAGGCGCTTGCAGCTTGTTTTCTAACGGCTCCCAGAAGAGAATTATATATATAGATATAAAAATGTACCAGACTTTTATTACTTTCAAGAAGTGGCAATTAATTTCTATTTTTTGTTTTGGTTGCAGATACATTAAATTTAAGAAATTGCCTAAAAACAATAGAAATGTATGCTGCACTTGTAGTATGCTGTTATTAGATAACGAAGTTACAGAACATAGAGAAAAGAACCATGTTATAAAGAAGAATGTTTTGCTGAAGGAATTGAGGTGGCCATCTTTATTGTTCACACCACTTGATGATAATAAAACTTTTGCAGTAAGCTTTTAAAAATGTCCTTTTTAAATTATATTAGTAAATTATTAATATATTAAAAATTGTATTTGTATTGAAGCTGATAATTTTAAATACACTTTTAATAGAGGCTTATGTGAGATAAAAACATCAATAATAGTTTTCACTGTTAAAAACATTTTCTTTTATGCTTATGCACCTTTCTCTTGCTTTTTTTCCCCAGCAATACTTGTTTTCAAAATCCACTATTGACTTTATCATAAAAACTTTACATCAACTTGGCTACAGCCATATTCTTTGTGTTGGCACACCTAGGTAAGTTTCAAATTCAAAAAGTTAAAAAAAAATGGATGATTGATTTCCCTTAGAGGTTACATACTTTGTATAGCACTTTGATTGTTTATTTTTCAGAATACATGAAGCAGTTCAAAATATAAGAAAGTTGGGGGATAGATCAATGTCATCAATGTTGTTAGATCTTGATGAGCGTTATGTAAGTAGTCTTTTTTATGTGCAAGAATTGGTTTAAATTATTTTATGTGTCATTTTAAAAATTATAATGATTTTTTAAATATTTTAATTACCTTATTTGGTAAATAAGTATGACTGAAAAACAAGTTAATGTCCTGATAACTAACCAAATCTAACTTTCATCAGAAAGCTAAATAAAAACTTTGAACTTTGATTGACTAAGACTATACATTGCCTCTTGTGGCTTAGTGTTTAAATCTAGCTAGTGTATGCATATCTTTAGCACTTGAATAAAAATCATCTTGTAGAAAGTGCGTGTGATATATAGCACGATATATGTCTGTTTTCAGGCGCAGTTTTTTCCTCCAGCACTGTTCACAAAGTACAATATGTTTAATCATCACTTCTTCGATGCTGAAGGAGAAACAAGAGTGCGACAGTTTGTTGGGGAAGATGTTGATCATGTGATCCTTATCACTGACCCACCATTTGGTGGGATGGTGGAAGCACTAGCCAGTTCATTTTTAAAATTATCACAGATGAGAAACAGTTTTATAAATGATGAACAAGGTAGTCAATAAGCTGTGAATGGCATGTTATATAATAAACATGATTTCTATGGTACTTAGATTTAGGACACACATAAAATTATTTATTTTCTGGATAATTTTAGTTAACACTGAAAATATCTTTTTAAAAACCTGTGGGGATCAGCTTTTTCTACCATTATTAATTATTGGATGGTGTAGTTGAATGGTAGAGTGTTTGGCTATTAGCCCAAAGTCTTGAGTTTGGAGCTCTATCCAGATTCACTGTCACCCTACTGGGTTGCTAGGCATAGGGTTGACCACATCATCCCTTTATATGCCAAGGTTACGAATCACATGAGCTCTACTTCATCTGCCAAATGGATTATGAGGTCTGAAATGGGAACTTTACTATTGAATGTTTTTGATAAAATTTAGAAGTTATTAATATAAATAATTATATGCTTAATGAATAATCAATTAAGTTTCTTAAATCTCAATTTTGTTACCACATGTTAACAGATAGCCTCATGCCCATTGTTTGGTTCTTCCCCTACTTCATGGAAAGCAGGATATTAAAGCAGCTTCCAGCTCTAGCAATGTTAGACTATAAGGTAATCTTTTTGTTGAAATTAAATCAATTCTAAGAAAAATGTATTATTAGTGGAGGTTTATGTTAGCATTTTCATTTAAAAAAATTAATTATTTGTTAGTGTACAATTATTTAATATAAAATGTATATATTTGAAAATAAGTAAATCTTTTATTCTCTGAAAAGCTCAGCCTCTGGGTCTTGTGAATAGCATCCTGTCAGACTTTTGAGTTTCTTACAGTTTTCTATAAAAGAGTGTGACAATATGATGTTTGGTTAAACGCTATACACAATTTGTCAACAGGTAGATTATGACAATCACAACCTGTTCAACAACCAACACAAGAAGAAAGGTTCACCTGTTAGAATTTTTACCAACATCCCTCAAGCACAGTTTGTTCTGCCACCAGAGGAAGGATATTGGTACATCTATTCTTCATTTAGAAATCATTCAGTGATTTAACACCTTGAAAATAACATTATTTTAGCTACTTTAAAAAAAATTTCCTCTAGTAATTAAGTTCAATTAAAAAACAGCTTAATGCATTTACCTTTTGTTTGTTTGTGTAGGTTTTGTCAGTCATGTAAAAGGTTTTCTTCTCAAGAAAATAAACACTGTGAAGATTGTGATTCATGCACATCAAAGGTGAGTGAAGTAATTATCTCTCCAGAGAGCATCCCCATCACAGTTCTTCCACCAGCTCGATTCTTGAGCACTGTTGTAGATACAAAAATTTCTTATGAAACAAATTATTTTGAAATTTATTTTCCTAGTTGGTTTTTAAGCATGTAGGCTTGTATATACAGTTACACATAATCATTTAGAAATTTGAATAAACTAAAGGTGTTAAAGCTTACTGTGGTTTATTTATTTCTGCATGTTAGGATGGAACAACATACACGCACTGTTATGCATGTATGAGATGTGTAAAATCTTCTCGTATCCACTGTCAGAAGTGTAAAAAGTGTGAACTAAAAACTCACGTGTGTGGACAGTCTGTTTCAGCAGGTACATATAATTTTTTACTGTATGTTTGCAAAGTTTTTTTGTCATGTAACTAACACTTTGTGTGTGTTTTCTATATTCTTTATATGAAACACTAAATTTAAACTGATACTCCATGTTATCTTATTATAATAACAATTCGTTGAAGTTTTTTTGTTTTGATGTCCTTTTATTCACCCATAGGTTGTCACATCTGTGGGGATGTGAGCCATAAAAGAAGAGAGTGTCCCCAGAGAGCTGTTTTAAATAGTGAAGATTCAAGAAATATCAAAAGGTATGTTTATGTCTGAGATTTTGCTAACAGTTGCCTGGATTCACCTGGCAACACCACTCTGGCTAAAGACTGAACCATGTAGTCACGACCAGCTTGAAGCTGTAGATCACAGCGCAGTGTGCCTCATTAAATATAAATACATATTGTTTAACCCTTTATAACAATGGATTACTTATCCTCAAGCCTTCTTGTACTAACAAAGGGACACAACTTTTAAAAACTGCTCTTTTGTAAATCCTCCACATAAAGAAAATAAAGTTAAAACTGTTAAACAATTTTAAATGGAATTGCTATTTACTAAATTTAGTAAGTAAAGTTCTTCTTTAGATCTAGTGATCCATTAGGCAGATGGAGTAGAGTTCATATGTTTCTTGACATCTGCTTATGAAGGGATAATTTGATCAGCACTAGGCCCAGCCACATAAACTTTCCCCAACGTAAATTAGGGACAACATACAGTCACATGTCTGATCTGAGATCCGAACTCAAGACCTTCAGGCTAGTAGCCAAATGCTTTACCATTCTACCACACCATCCCATAAATACTATTTAATTTAGGCAAAGGTTAAAATAAATAATTGAACAAATTATTTGTTGTCACCATGTCACAAAAAATGTTTATTCCAGGGCTGTAAAAAGAAAACAGAGTGCATCACCTGCTGCTGGCAGAGTCAAGAAACACAAGAGGAGATAGCATGTGTTGTGGGGTGTGTTAGCATGTGTTGTGGGGTGTGTTAGCATGTGTTGTGGGGTGTGTTAGCATGTGTTGTGTTATTTGTTAACTAGTGATGTGTGTACAATTGATGTGTTAGTGTGTAAGGTATTTACAAGTGCTGTGTTAGCATGTAATATGTAAGCAAATTTGTTAGCACATTATTAGTTAGCAAGTGTTACATTAGAAAAAGAGCTGTTGGTATGTGTATGTTTATTCATGATTTGAAGATTAAAGCTGCTGAATACAAAGTTGTTCAATTTATTTTTTTCTAGAACAACATCTCATAAATATTTTGTACACTTTATTTTCACATGGCTGATAAAAAGGGTTTTGTCCCCTGAATAGTTGAGCCATGAAAAAAATCTGCCTTAGTTTGAACTTCCTGGTTGTTATGTAATGTGAAGGTTTGGATGTTTGCCATCTCTTCATGCTCCAGCAAATCTAATAGCCCACTAAAAATGCTTTATAAATCATTTAATTCCAATTTTCAACAGCAGTATTTTTTTTCTATAGAAAAATCTTGATGTGAGACGCTGTGTGAAACATAAAGTTTGTATACAACTCAAATGTATCTTTTCTGGGTGGCATGTTTTGAATGTAATGTTATGAATTGGTATGGCTAAGGTGTAGCTACACTTGACTGGCCAGGTAAGATATGTCGCAGTGTTTTCTTGTGTGCCTCTACATCACGTCTTACATCTGAGTCTTATAGTCAAGTCGCATGCACCTGCTTGTTTCTTGTGGGGAAATGTGTTGATCTTATCCCAAGATTCATAGCCTTAACCAATTATTAATTCAATTATATTGTTTTTGGTTTGTCCTCACAAGTTATAGGATAGCCTTTGGAACATGATGGTCAGTTGGGTAGATAGAGTTCATCAGTGTCGTGGACATACAGTCATATGGGAGATACTACCAATACAATAATCTTCTTCTGTTCATACCCATGACACATGGGGCTGAGTTCATCTGTTTCAATAACCTCGGCCAACAGGGAGATAGTGTGGGCAGCATTATGCCTGGCCACATTATTTCCCTAACAAGAGTCAGGTACCCACCAGAGCAGATGCCCAGCCACTTTATTAGGTACCCGGCTGGTCTGGAGTATTGGGTTCTTCTTATCCACCAACTATAAATGTAGAGTGAAAAAATGTTACAAGTCTACACTGTACAGGACACCAGTAGATAACTATTTTCTAAATACATTAATAAACATACACAAAGTCAGAAATATTTGGCATGGTGTTTTTTTTCTATTAAAATTTAAAAAAAAAAGCTTTGTTAATTAATGTCATTTTTTTAGATGTTGAGAATTATAAGGCTGGTTTTTGAGAACCGCCGGCACCAGTTACTCAAGTTTTATTAAGTTAAATACTTAACTCATAGTAATTTCAGAATAATTAAATACCTCGTTTCAATGGCATTTCTGAGAGAAAACCACAACTAGTTATAACTTTCCTTCCAGACATTTTACTCCGGGGGGGGGGGGGGGGGGCAGACACTGTTAAAAGTATATATTTTCTATATAAATTCAATTTCTTTCAGAAGAATTAGTTATAGAGCAATTAACTTGTAATGATTATGGAATCCACCTCGTAAGAAGCATGGCATACAGCACGTAATTTTGTTGATTTAAGATATTGCACATCTCCAACGCGTGCTAGCGCGTGTTGTAAGGTATTTGTGTTTACAACTGTTTGTTCACGTAAGCCAAAAAGCTGTTGGTTTTCGGTGATAGCCTTCCCCAAGTTCCCTGTCGTACCAATGTCGTACGGTGAGTCAGTATACCTGGCCAAACAGGAACGGACAACTCTTGTCTACTGTGGCTTCAGCATGCTCCGTCAACATCACTAAATCGTGGCAAGATACTTGGGTTTTTTTTAAACGTGTAGTCGAACTTTATTAATTTTTTTTTACATAAATGTCTGGCTACACGGCAATTGTATCCCTACATTAATTAAATATACGAGGTCTACTCTTTAGTATCCAAACTAGGTTGTCATTAATAATAAATGACGTTATGCTTTTATTTGCAATTTTTTTTTTTTACATCAACCCGCCCTCCATTGTCACACATTGTCACTGTCTCTCCTCTCCCCACCCACATTAAATCATGTCATATTACAGTCTCCCCCTTAATTATATTTCCTTTTCTTTTTTGTAACAGCAATTGATTACTAGAAGATTCATTTGAAGTTTTCCCAAATTAACAGGAATAAAACAATAAATAACAAAACAATAGCTTAAGAGCGAGGTTGATTTGCCGTAAAAAATCGCTAATCCGTGTCGAGATGAAGTTCATTGACACGTTTTTAAGGTTTTTTAAAAATGTCATTTACACCCCCCCCCCCCTTTCAGATATAACCTACATGGCCACTAGAGTCCTAATCCCACCTCTGGAATGTAACAGGAATTGTGGACGACACTTATGGTCCCGCGAAACTCTATCCCAAGATGTGACTACAGAGCAACCATAGCAAGAAGACCAAGATAGGTTTACATATACTACAGGCCCACATTAGGTCTAAGATCACCTTACACTACCCTCGGGTACCATTGGGTAGTTGGATACAAACTTTCAAATCTAACCACATAGGAAATTTAGAGGCTTCTATAGACCTAACATTAAACGTGTACATGGTGTCTTAAAACTAGCACATAATCTCGAATGGGGAAGTGTAGGCAGGTGTCAGAAAACGTTTGTGTATGCAGCTAGGCTATGCTACCGTGGTATATCACAGGTTCTGCTTGGTTGGTGGGGGGGGGGGGAGGGGTGGATTTCAGATTTAGTGAGACCTTAAGACGGAAAATGATCAGGGGCAAATATGACAATTATCATTATATATTGTAAAATGTTTATGTCTTGTTACAGCCAGAGGCTTAGCGACGCTTCCCGGCGCCCGGGGACAAACTTTCGATTTGCACCCCCCATTAAACTTTCGATTTGTACCACCCCCCCCCCCTTCAAGCTTTTAATTTGTTTTTCCAACCCATTTTGGCGCCCCTAAGGTCGGCGCCCGGGGACATATGCCCCCCCCCCCCGCCCCCCTCTGGTTACAGCTATAAAACAACAATTGGAGTCAAACTTCCTTTATTCCTGTACACCAGAGTATAACGACATGTTACTCTTGTGTCTGACAATATCATCATGTTTTTCGTCTATATGACAACATGATCATATGTTAACATTTTGTTACTCCCACGAAGCAATATTTAATTGGAAAATTAACCTTTCAATTACCCCCCCCCCCTCCCCACATGCTCAGTACAGCACATTTCTTGCTGTGTCTGAAAGAAAATAATCAATATTTGCCATAAGACCCAAATATACATAGCCTACACACAGTTTATTGCTGTTGACTTCCATTTGCTCTTACAAAAATATCTGCCACTTCCCTCGTCTTATCTACTAAAAATTTCCGGGGCCAAATATTTGATCTGTGCTCTTTAAAAACACAAGTATCCGGTAGACAGGAATTGTAGGGAGCCCAGTGACTTAAAATAAAACGAGACTTATTCAAACTTCCTTTACTGAGAAGGGAAATCTAAGCCTCCTAGGCATCAAGCATAATTTACACAGATATCATCATGGGTTAAATAGGACAGGGAATATTTAGTATGTGATATGTAGGCCACAATTTCATAGATTTATTTTGTTACAATAATGTGCCCACATTGCTATTCCCACAACACAACTAAAAATGTAATCAATTTACTTTCAGAAAATTTAATTTTTTATTTTATATTTAAAAAAAACAACAACAACACCTAACATATGTATTGATAAATAAAGTTCTTAAACCGAAACTCCGTACATCTGTTCAATAAGGATGTTTGTTTTTCTATTGAATAGACCACGTGACAGACCAAAGTACATATGTAAGCTTGACTAAGACAGTGGTGCGGTGACTTATGTATCGAGTACCTCGCCCTCTTTTACTTCCTTGTTGGTCCCTCGCGTCGGGAAACCCACTGGGTACAGCTAGCTACGTATAACACCGACTTTGTACAGCTCGCTACGTATAACACCGACTTTGTTTTGCCGAGCCGCACAATTGGGGTATGACCAGTCTTCGTTGCGTGTCGGCTTCTGCTTTATGGTGGAAATATTTCCTAATCGAAACGTGTCAGCACATCGTTGTGTTAGCTGTCCTAACAGGCAAGGTAAAAAAAAACAACTTTTTAAACCTCTGTAGACATGTTCATTTAAATAACGTATGGAATGTAAGACGGATTAAGACAGTGTCAATGCGGATATAGAATCTATAATGATTTTATAGTTCTGATAGCTTGGTAGTTTTATTACACACGTTTTTGTTCGTATGCCTATAAATAATGGTGATGTATTCGAATTAATTTTGCAGGTGAGAGAAATAATCTTTAGAACGTCTACATCCGGTATTGAATTATAGGCGTACAAAGATAATTTTCTGATAGTTTCACGAACGTTCAGAATCAATTAAAAAAACAATTTAGGTTAGGGTTCTTGACAGCAAGAAATTGTGTGCGTGAGTTGACATGCACAAACAGTGAGAGCACGTGCCAGATTGCTTGGAATAAACATCCGAGATGACGTCGGATTACGTCAATACGTCAGAGCGTGCTTTTAAGTTTATAGAGGGATGGTTGGAACACAAGTCACAGGTATGTAGTTCTATCGTGTTATATTTTTGTTGTTGTTTCAATACAATAATAGTTTTTTTTTTAAATAAAAAGGCGCATTTTTTTTTTGTAATAAAAGGGGGCATTAATTGTTGAAATATTGGTAATTTTTACGTTCTCGTATGCAGAGTATAGAGGAAGTATTGTAATCGTGTACAAAAATCACATGGAATTTTTAGTTTTCACCGTTTTACACCTCAGTACTTCATCATATGCTAAGTATAGTGAACTTATTTTAATCGGGCAAAAAATAAATAAATCCAGATTTATCAAAATTTAGGCGTTTTATGCGTAATCGAGTCGGAAAAACTGGGTTTAGCAATTCTGTCCGTATGTCTATGTGTGTGTGTGTATGTGTGTTTGTGAACACGATAACTTGAGCTAGGTTGATGAAATTTCTATATAAGTATTATATCAAATTTGTAGTTCTGTATCAACTTTTCAGCGATTTCCGGTAAACGGAAGTGGGACTTATTCTACTTTCAATTTTTCAAAAACCTGTAACTTGAGTAATAGTTCAGATAGATAAATGAAATTTGACATGTAAGTAAAATATCTAATTCTCCGCCTTTTATCAAATTTCGAGTACTTTCCGTTGACCGCTAGTAGTAATTTACGCTACTAGGTGCGCAATTCTTTTTTCTACGAGATTCTATTATATTTTAAATAGTTTAAGTAATTAAAAATGGATTGAAAATCATGTCTATATCCCGAGTTGCCATCCCCGTAGTGTTATATAAGAATACTTGAGAAAGTTTATGGGAGATCACTCCCGGTTTATTTAATATAACAGATCGTGCACAGATTATTTAACAAAATAGTTGCATATTTTTTACCCACAAACTACTCTCAGTTGGATACAACAAAAATATCGTGTTTTTATAATCAATTAAGGAAACCTCAACATTGTAAAGATCATTGTTATTAGAAATAATTTAAGGATTGACATAGTGTTGAAAAACCGAGGAAGACTAATATATCGCCATATGTAGTAGAAATAGAATAATGAAATTAAAATCAACAGCAGTGTTATATAACAATGCGATATATCACCTCATCACAGAATATAACGAAATGACAAACTGTCATACTAACCCCTTCAGGTTATGTAATACATTCCGTGCCCTAAGACATTTTCATTGTACACCCCTCATTAGGCATATGTTTACATGTAGCCATGCTGCATACACAAACCGCTTGAAAGGTGGCGGGGTCATTTATTTTAACCAGCAAAACTGCATTGGCAAACCTTGGAAGGTAAACAGGTTTTCTATTTATAAATAAAACAACACAGCAAACTTGAAGTGCCGTGTTCTTAGACCTGTTTTTTAATTCATGTATGCAGGTTTACATTTATTGAAATAAACAATAACATTGATTGATTTAAATTAAACGAAAATTTGCAGAGGAGTTATTTTGACTTTACATAAAGTAGAAAAAGTTAACTTGCTAAATGAATTTTGGTACAATATGATTTGCATCGCTGTCCGCGAGAAAAAGCTCACTTAAACATAAAATTGCCACTAGTTTGTCTAGGTGGTAAAGTTAACCTTTCCCACGAAGAGCTAGTGTGATCAGCAATGTGCACAGCCGCCTTCACTTTCTCAAATGCGAGTCAGAGATGAATGTATTCAGGGACGTCTTACCAACTCAAACCCGGGATCCGAACTCGTGACGTCGGGGTTACAGTGAAACGCTCACCATCTGACCGCGCAATTCTATTTGTCTAGACAGTATGTCCACTCCACTCTATAATGAGACTTGTGCCACTAGCTAGCCACGAAAGACAGTATGTCCACTCCACTCTATGATGAGACCTCGTGCCACTAGCTAGCCAGAAAGACAGTATGTCCACTCCACTCTATAATGAGACTTGTGCCACTAGCTATCCTGGAAAGACAGTATGTCCTCTCTATAATGAGACTTGTGCCACTAGCTATCCTGGAAAGGCAGTATGTCCACTCCACTCTATGATGAGACTTGTGCCACTAGCTATCCTGGAAAGGCAGTATGTCCACTCCACTCTATAATGAGACTTGTGCCACTAGCTATCCTGGAAAGGCAGTATGTCCACTCCACTCTATAATGAGACTTGTGCCACTAGCTAGCCTGGAAACACAGTATGTCCACTCCACTCTATGATGAGACTTGTGCCACTAGCTAGCCTGGAAATACAGTATGTCCACTCCACTCTATGATGAGACTTGTGCCACTAGCTAGCCTGGAAATACAGTATGTCCACTCCACTCTATGATGAGACTTGTACCACTAGCTAGCCTGGAAATCTTGTCCACCTGATTCAATTTATTAGTTGCCTGAGCAACGCTTTCCACAATGTTCCTAACGATTTAATGGTGCAGACATCCAGATCTAGTAACAGCGTATCATTACCACCCAATGTAAACGTCAGGATGTAACCGGCAGACGTATCAAACAAAGGGTGCTTCAGTCTGACAAATGTTCGACTATTGCATTCAAAGACATTAACGAGAACAAAATAGACAACTTTGTCCACTTAAGAAAATGAAATTGCGACACATAAAGCCTACTGGTTAAATGAAACGTAAAATTCAACATTTACATTTGTATTCTTCAATCAGATTTTACACACAAATAATGGCGCACGGCCGGGGTGAGTAACTCAAACCTTTTGGTAAAAGTGTGTCAATTTGTCATCAATGACCCCGTAAATAGAACACGTTCTTCGGTTTTAGTCACGAAAAAATTTTACAGAGAAAAAAATTATTGCGTACAAAATAGTTTAAAATGCAAATTGAGTTATTGAATTGAGTTACTTAAAAACTCGATCCGCATCAGTGGAATAAAACCTGTTTCATTTATTGAGTGACTTTATGTATACTTTAAGTACGTTCACTATTTCCTGGACGAAAGAATTACTAATCTTTGTGTAGCACATATTTAACTTATCAACTATTATTAGGTACATCGACCACAGTGTTTCTTTCAGACTTCTTTTCGGGAAAGCAATCTATACTTTTAACAGTGTGCGCTTCCACGGAAAATCTAGTCCGCCCACCCCAAAAAGTTTCAAGTGCTATCCCCGGAGAAAAAAGTCTGAAATAAATATTGATTGACCATATAAGGATGCATTTTTGGCAAAAGTGATTCCTAGCTGCGAAATGCAAATCATATTTCAGCGTATTGAATGTAACCCCTGCTCCCTAGATCTATATGGAAAAAAAATCTGGTGCATTTTCACCCAATTATTAGATTTGAAGTTTCAAATATGCTGTAAGTAAGCCGTAAGCAATGTTAACCTCTGCAGACGAAAGTTTTTCGCATATATTAAAATTATTATTTGTTTGATAGACAACATTTGGCAGTCTTTTCTGGCAGTCGTACAACCGCCCCACTCGTATCGTCGCCATGACTACAAATAGCAACAACATGAGCAATTGATTGCACCCGTAAACCAGAGATTTACGCGAATGCTATAATTGTATTGCATTAAACTTTTACCTTGGAGAACTTGTGCTAAATAATTTCTTATCTTTGCTTCAAGACTACGTGTTATCCTAGATAACAGCTTAAAAATGTGCACTTATTGGTCTAGTCTGGGGAATTACAAAACGAAAGTGGGGATTTCTAACACTTAGATATAAACCCCTATATATATATATATATATATATATATATATATATATATATATATATATATATATATATATATATATATATATATATATATATATATATATATATGCCTGTATATATGTATGTGTGTGTGGTGTTTGTTTAGTGCCAATTACCTGTCAGTCAAACTGCTAAGGAAGAAAATTGAAAGCTACCAACAAGGAAGTAGAAGTTGTAGATCAATTTTTGCCCTTAGATAGACAGAACTTTACGAGGTACACTGGTCGCCACATATAGGTGTAAGGTACAGCTACGCGGTGTAATTTAACGATCGTCTTTCATACCTCGATTCCTGATTCATTGCATACGGCCTGTAAAAGGCTAGCGCTGTATAATGCCTTTGGATGTGATTATAGAATGGTATGAACACTGGTGTACCTTGCTACATTTTATTGCCGGTCCTAGAATACAAGTATTAACGGGCGGAGGTTAAAGTTGAAGGTCGAATAAAAGTTGGCTATTTAAATATGTAGGAGGCCATGACAGAGGCGTAACTTGGGGGGGGGGGGTGGGGCGGTTGCTCCGGGCGTCAAATGGGATAGAATAAAAGTATAAAAAGGTCATTTTGAGATGAACTACTCATTAATACACAATCGAAGTTCAGAAAATAGACTGATATTAGGCTTTACAGACTTATTAAACTATATCAATTGTGTGACAATAAAATACAAAGAGTGATATATATATATATATATATATATATATATATATATATATATATATATATATATATATATATATATATATATATATAGGCTAAAATGACATGAGGACGCAAAATTGATAGTTCACCCCGGGCTCCCCTCGGCGAAGACATAATATATGCTGTCAACACGCAGACTTTGTTAAGTCCTTTCGTGGGAGAATAAGCATAGAATATTACTGTTCTATGTTTTGTTTTTGATAGTTTAAAAATGAATTTTAAAACACGCATCGATTGGAATAAAATTTACTATTGTTTGCAAGAGTGAAATATGGGGTCCCGGTCCAACGAAAATTGGGAACCCGGGCTGCTATTCTGTTAGCTCTTGTTCTTACTCTGCTACTTTATATTATATATATATATATATATATATATATATATATATATATATATATATATATATATATATATATATATATATATATAACGGAATATATATATATATATATATATATATATATATATATATATGTGTGTGTGTGTGTGTGTGTATGTGTGTGTGTGTGGGTGGGAAGGGGGGTGGGGGGGGGGGGTGCGTGTGTGCGTGTGTGTGGGTTGGTTCGTATTGAAATTTCTGTCTGTTCAAGCTCTGAGTTCTGTCTTGCCTGCATTAGTCATTTTTTTTAAAACTTTAAATAGTCTGCGATTAGCAACTTTTAGAACATTTAAAACTAATGTACTCCCATTCATATTCAACATACTCTAAAGTTTTAAAACAACTATTTGACTAGATGACCTACAATTAACCCCTCATTATAAATATTTCCAACATTAACTAACATTGACTTTGAAAAGTTAATCTAAGTTTGTAAACATCAAGGACAAATCTATTTTTATCGGGTTACATAAATAAACCGGTAGTGATCTCCCCTAAACTTTCTCGAATATTCTTATATAAAACAACAGGGGATGGTAACTGGGGATATAGTTATGATTTTTAATCCATTTTAAATACTTAAACTTTTAAAAATAGAATAGAATCTCATAAAAAAACCATTGCGCACCAAGCAAACGCCGAATAAAAACGCGTATAATAGTGCGCAATATTATTAGTACTTTAAAAATTTACATTAGTTTTTTGAGAAATCGGAAGTAGCGTAAATTACTACTTCCAGTCAACGGAAATTACTCAAAATTTAACAGAAGGTAGAGAATTAGATCTTTTACTTACATGTGAAATTTCATTTATCTATCTGAAATAGTACTCAAGTTATAGGCTTTTGAAAAATTCAAAGTAGGAAAAGTACCACTTCCGGTTATCGGAAATCGCTCAAAAGTTGATACGGATCTACGATTTTGATAAAATACTTATATATGAAATTTCATCAACCTAGCTGTAACGGTACTCAAGTTATCGTGTTTACACACGGACAGACAGACACACAGACACACACACACACACAGACATACGGACAAGATTGCAAAATTATGTTTTTCCGTATCAGTGAGGTGTAAAACGTCGAGATTTGTAAAAATCTCGATTTTTTTTTTTTGCACGATTACAATACTTTCTCTATACTACGTATATACGAGAAAGTAAAAAAGTTGACGCCCAGCAATTTTCCATAAACAAGTTGTCAAAAATCACCCATGTGTCAAGCTGTGATCATACAATTGTCTGAGACATATTTTTGTTAGATTCTATTTCCCGTAACTCAATCTTTTCTGTCACAACACGACTGACAATCTCAGGCAACTGATGATGTATCTGTCACTGTTGCCACATATCCTGTTTTATATCACCACCTACTACAATATATTTAAAGAAAACATATCCATTGAGACAGAGCTATGTAGGCCTACACTAAACACCACGTAGAATGTAGACTAGAGTATACTCTTTCTGTTTAAATTAGCGCGAGACACGGGGAATGGAGCCCATTAAATTGTAACTTTTTTTTCCTTTACAACATTTTTACCATTTGGTGTATTTTGTGGTTTCTAGCAGAAGTAAGGAGAGACTTTATCCATCCGTTATTGACACCTTGCTCAATATTATACGTGACACAGCGAAGATATGCATATGCGGATATAGCCTATTATTGCCGCACAGTATTGCGTAAATGGTTTGACGAAAGAGGAAATCCCTGTCAGCGATTTGGTTTCAATATAGTTAAAACATCTTGGTACCGTATTGTGAAATGTAACGCGAGGCCAACAGGAAATAAAATGGCGTCTGCTAAAAGCTGTTTACTCACAGACTTCACTGCCCTAGTACCAGTGTGTCCCCTCCCTCCGGAAAATTTACCCCCCCCCAAGTTTCAAGTGCCCCTCCCCCCCCCCCCCGAGAAAAAAGTCTGCAAAAACAACTGATTGCTCTAGCAGAAAAATACCAAATGTAAAGTTTTATTATGCTATATTTTACATGCGTTCATTCATGGCTAACATTATCGAATTATCAATTTAAAAAAAAAATATATAAATTCCCATGTGCATTGTTGTGCGCAATCATGCGTTGCGCATTATTCCGTTGCGCCGTTATCGACATGGATGGTTGAAATGAAACAATTCCAGATGGAGAGGCTCCCACCCTACATCAGTATTTTCCTAAGTGCCCAGAGCTGGGAGGGGGGGGGGGGATGGCAAGGAAAGCTGTTGGGGCGGGTGGAACATGTCAGTATTATAAGAGCATCGATGACGTTAAGATTAGGAAACTCACCTGTGCAAGTAAATTAACTAAGTTAGCTAATACAACTACAAACTGTTTTACAGGATGGCAGGTGGAACAGATATTGGTGTGTCCTCAAGAACGACATCATTTTTATTTTCAGCAACGAGAGAACTTCAAGAGACAATGTAAGTAACGGTTCTAAAAGTTTAAATTCTCTTGTTATTTTATAAACTTTAATACTAAGTTTTCAATTAGATCTAGAATAAAATGTCTAATTGCTTGACATGTCTACCAGGTCGCACACGCTCTATAACCTTCCGTAGAACATTGACTGGTTCTTGGGTTTATTTCACCTAATGTCTCGCTCAGATACAGTGTTTTTTCAAGACTTTTTTCTTCGGTGGGGGGGGGGGGGGGGGGGGGGCACGTGAAATTTTCGGGGGGGGGGGGGGGGTGTGTGGGGGGGTGGGGGCGGACACTGGTAAAAGTTTATATTTTCTATATAAATTCTATTTCGTTCGAAGAGTTGCCTGGAAGAAACTGCTCAGATTGACGCGATGTTCTCAACTCACTTTGGGCCTAAGGGGTCATCCATAAATGACATCAAGCTTTATTGGACGATTTTTACCTCCCCCCTCCCCTCCGTCACACGTCGTCACAAAAAGCCAGACCCCCCCCCTATAATGATGTCACACCTCAGCCTACAACCCCCCCCCCCCCCCCCCAAATTGCGGTTGAATTTTTCTTTAAACATCGATATTTTTCTAAAATCTTGTCAGAACTCTGTCAAACATAGTATTTTGATCAATTCCTATTAAAATTTATTTAAAATCGTTTTCTAAAACGCGAAATAACGGCTAAAACTCGTTTTCTAACATTGCTTTTTTATAATGCAAAAAAGTAACGTCACATCATCTGAACCCGCCTAAAATCATCTCTTATAACTAGTAAAGGGACATAATTCAAGATATAGATTAAAAATTTCAGAAGTTACGGTTCATGGAATTAAAATTGAACTGGTTGTCTAAATTTACATTGAAATCTCAGAACATAATTTAGTAAATAAAGATCTACAACTTAATCTTGAGTAGCCCTACTATTAGAGGTAGCAACTATAAACTACATCGTCAATTCTTCTTGACTTCTTGATCTTGTACTACATGCCAGAACTATTGTTCTAGTGTTTGTCGTTTTTCTTGTCTAGATTAACAAATTAAACAAATGTTATTGACTGCTGCTCAATGCAAAGTTGTTTTTTTTATATATAGCATATAGGTACCATAGCTATTGGACCAGAGTCAAGACTAGAGAAACAAATAGGAGATGAAAGCTCTGGATATAGATTCAATTTGTACACAGTGAAGAAGTTAAACAGATTTAAGGTAGATCTAGCTATATATATATATATATATATATATATATATATATATATATATATATATATATATATATATATATATATATATATATATATATATATATACATATATACATATATACATATATACATATATATACATAGGGCCTAACTATATAGTCAAATGGAGGATAAAATGTAAGGTGTCCATTTTTTTAAATTTCTGTAAATGTAAAGATGATTAGTTAAAGTGAATCTGAATAGATTCTAACTAATTGTGTCTTTCTGATAACATTAAAAAAATAGACCTCAATTGAATGTTTTCAATTCATTCCAGCACATTTTAATTTCATAATGATCTAATGATTACTTAAACCCATTTTCTATAAAGTTAAGATCTATATGGGTTAACTGTTTGGTGGCAAGGGTTAACCTTTTTGGGTGGCAAGGGTTAACTTTTTTGGGTGGCAAGGGTTAACTTTTTTGGGTGGCAAGGGTTAACCTTTTTGGGTGGCAAGGGTTAACTTTTTTGGGTGGCAAGGGTTAACTGTTTGGAGGGGCTTAGTTGACATAATCCATTAAACGTATTTGTATATGCAAAGGGCAAAATAAAACAAAGAAGATGGATTTTTACTTTTTCTATAGGCTTCAAAATTTATCGAGAGAGAACTGTGGAAAGCTTACATTGATGGAATAGCAACAGTAAGTAAAAAGTTAATCCATAAAATCATTTCTGTAATTGTAGTATACATAGATACCTTCACTTTCTGTATTTTATTATATTTAAAATTACAGCTCTAAATTATGTCAATTAAAATTTTCCACTCTTTTCCTTGTTTAACTATTCATTTAGATGGAAGTTTAGAAAAACTTGATTTCTGATTAACTTCAGCTTAAAGCTTGAAAGTATTAACATATTAAATTCCAGGGAAATTTAAGCCTTTTAAATTTTATTAATAAAGATTTTGGAAACACAGCATAACACCATAACACATTTTCAATGATGTTATTTATTTTATGAATGAAACAGTTGTTAATTTTTAAAATTTCAGGGTCATGTACCAAACAACATTGAACTTTTGCCTGGTCAAATTCAAGATGTGAGGTCATCATTAAATGAATATTATCAGTCCCGAAGACAAAGACCTGTGCCAGATCTTCCTTCTTTCTCAGATGTCAGAAACAATTTTTTTACTGAAGGTTTAGACTCACCAAACTCATCAGCATCAGGGTGTTTTAATACAAACAATGATGGAAACTACTTAGAGCCAGTTGATCCAAAAATAAGCAAGGTATGTACAAAATATCTTTAAGTTGTCATTGTTGGTAATTCAAAAGATGAAGACAACTTAAAATCATTTCTACAAACATTTTTTAGTCTCAATTTGTTATAAAGTTTACACATCTAAAAGAAAATACAAAGATCAATTTCTGATAAGTTAACTTAATCTCATTACTTTCCAGAAACGATTATTTTATTTAGACCCAAAAAGAAAGGATACTCCCAGGTATGTAAAAGTTTTAATTCTACTAAATTATTTAAAAAAGATTACTTGTAACAAATAGTGCAGTATAATTTTATGAAACAGGCTATACTTGTTATAATGTGAGGTGCATGTACAAAGATCATTGTAGATCAAGATGTTAACTAGTAATAGTCCGATGGTAACTGGAAAGTAAATTAGTAACAGAGACTGCTTGTAAGATCTTGATTGTTCTGTTGTGACATAAACCTTACACAGTCTAGCTAATGAATCCTGATAACAACCCTAACCTAGCCTTTTATATCCCTAAAACATATGATTTCATCAACTAGTTTCTATGTTACTGATATATTTATTACTCAACAACATTTAATATAAACAAAGGGGGTGCTACTTCAACTTTATAAACAATTCCTAACACGACCATAATACTTGTATTAAATTATCTTTTTGCCCACTTTTATAATTTTTTACTATATTTGAATACAAACAGCATGGGACTATTTCTGTTGCAAAGCTAAAAGGACATGTATTTAATTGTTATTTTTAGTTGGTATTTTTCAAACTGCACACGTGACCAAGCTGAAAAAGTTCTGCAGAAGTCATCTGAAATGGGTTTTGGTAACACATTGATGAGAGAAAGCTCTAACCAAATGAATCTTGTCATTTCAAAAAAGAATGTTGGGTAAGAACAAATGTTTAATAAAGCTTTAAGAAAAATATAATAGCATTCAACTTTACAACACTCAGCTTTTTGGCATTAACTCTTCTATTTTCTGTAATGACATGACATAAAGGGGCACAACTTTTCTATCATTTTCATTCACAAAAAAAATGTTTTGTTTTGTGATTGCCATCGACTTTCTTTACTGTTGTTAATTTAAACTGGCCAGTAGGTTAGACTTACTTTCAAATAATAAAGTAGGGATTGTCTGTAAAATATGACACTAACATATGTGTGTAATGGAATGCTGTACAGGGGAGTATATGAAGTTTTAACAATAGTAGGAAGATTGAGTAGATAAGAGATATGATGTAGTATTTTTAAAAAAAAATCCAGTTTGGTAATTTGAGAACTTTGTTATGTCATTTTGGTGATGGTTTTTGTGTACGACCATTTGTAACGTTCATTGGGAGGGGGTGAAAACTAATTAACTTGATCACCACCACATACTGGGGAAGAAATCATTGGTAATGGCATCCTTAAACTTCATTGGTTGTTTTATTTTCCAGTTCCTTTACCATTGCTTTCAGAAAATTTTCATCTTTAAAATTTCAGGAAAAAAGAATGCTCACATTACATGGTGGAAAAAACTCTTTTGGGATATAAAATTGATGTAGAAAATGCTGTAAGTTAACAAATATTGTATTTAAAGAATTTATGCAAACTGCTTGTGGTATTTTTTATTACAATAGATTCTAATTAAAATGACAAATAAAGTATACCATTGAAGATTTCAAGAAAGAAAAACTTTTATGCACTGTTGATGTAAAATGAGTTTTGTATAAAATCAATAAATATGTTTATAAATGATTATTATAATTTATTATTTCAGCATGAACCAATGAAAACACTGTGTGAGGTCATGGACTTTTTTGTCAAAACATCTGGGAAAGAAGCAACAAAACCCCTGACTTGCAATGATTTGACAAAATTAGGTTTTCCTGAAAATGACTATGACACTAAAATAATCAGAGGTGTGTACTGGTCCAAAAAAAATATGCTATTATAATTTTAAGATTTCCCTCATAGCTCTGGAAAATAAATTAAATTTGCAATATTCTATTTGAACTTGATATTCAACATAACAAATCTATCAGTTTATAAAAATGAATTATGATAATATAGTTATTAATGATAGGCAAGATGTGTTTTTGAAGCATTATTTACTTGTAGATGGGAAAATATTTGAATAATTGTACAATGAACAAAATATATAACTATAAACAGTTATGAGAAATGCTTCAAAATACATATACATGTTATAAGACTTTGATGCTACTCAATATTTTTTATGGTTCTGTTTTAACTTCCAAATGTCATGTATTCATACTTTAAAAAAATTCGCTATCAGATATTTTAAAATGATTAAAATAATTTACCCTTATGTAGTTAATAGTATTTACTAATAATTGTTTTATATTAACAATACATTTCTTTCGTAGTTCATTAGCTCTTTCATTATCTTTACGTAAAGTTAAAAGGGCATTTACAAAAAAAGTGAAACAATTTTTAAGTATTAAAATATCAATTTAAAGAAAGTTCGTCCACTAAGTAATTGAATGATAAATGTGATTTTTTTTTCTTTGGTTTTTCATTTCCAGTCCAACCAGACCCTGATAGTGGGGAAGAGTGTAAGTATCACATTTTTACCCGCAGTAAAAAAATTTTAACTGAATGGTTTACTGTTGTTTTAAAAAAACATGAATATTAAGTTCAAGTTTTGAAGTTTGTATTTTTTGGGAAATTTATAGGTTGCTGTTAAAGGTAAAAGAATGAAGTATAATTGTAGTACTGGAAATGGAAATCTCCAAACTATTCTCTAACCCTCAAACTACTAGGTTACTAGTTTAACTAGAAAAATAATCTTTTAAGAAAAATCTTCAAAATACTATATTTTAACTCTAACATTTAATTAAAAAATAATACAAAATCTATAACATTCCAAGTTAATAAGTGTCTTTGAATAATATACAAAATAAAGTTCATATATTACCCCTTATCATACCATTAGTTTAAGCCTAGTTAAAAGGTATGCATGTGACAGTAAACAAAAAAAAATATTATGACAACTAAACTTACTGAATTGTTTTATAATTGTTGCAAAATGTTTTTAAATTACTGTTTTCAGTGGATGTAACAGATATAGACCCATACTTAAAAGGAGGTAAATACATTTTCTGATCTTTTGGCCAACAAGGTAGCTGAAACTTATTAGTTCCTGTAGGTGCTGCACCTCCCCATTCATCCTTCTCTTGAAGTTATTTATTTTACTTTATTGTAATAAATTTACTGTAAACAGTTCTTCGCAATATTTAAAAATGCTATTTGATATCTTTTTGGGCTTGCATAATGTTAATAAAATATTTTATATTTGTTATGTGTATAATATGTAAAGCCAAAAATACTGATTAGACTTTGTAGATGCCTGAATTTAATTTTGCTATGATCTTGAAACGACCCTTTCCACAAATTTTTCTAGATTCACCAGATTATCTGGCTCCAGATTATCTTCCTCCAGCTCCTCCCCCTCCTGTGAATAGATCTGGATTTGCCAGTAAGATTATTTAAACTTCACTACTCAGTTATTTACTTACTAAACACGTAATTGTTTAACACTAAAACATTTAAAATCTTTTTGAAATAATTTATAACACTCTTTTTACATTTAAAACATATTAAAATGTTGGTTGTAAACATTTAAAAGTTGGTTAAAAATGAAGTACTGATAGAGAAATGAAGCTCAACATGCAGAGATTAAATAAAAAAACACCTTTAAATCAGCAGCTATTCATGCCAATAGGAGTGTAAGATCCATGTCTGTTCCTGCCATTGCTGCTGAAGAGTTGAAATATCTAAAAGGTACTTAAACACTCAAAATATCTTCTTGAGCTTGTCGATAGTATGCTTATAAAATTTTGTTTCTAGCCTGTTTCCTTGACTTATATTGAATATTAAATCAGTAAAATTAATTGAACTCAAGCACAATAAAACAAATCATGCTTATGAATCAGCTTATTTTAAAATATATCCACATGTCGAAAGAGGTATTATGCTTACCAAAGTCAAATAAATAAAAAAGTAAAAGAGATGTAGTTAGGCCAGAAGAGGTATATTCAAGCATGAATTTAAATGAGAACAATTAGTATTAGAGATGGTGTGGTCAAATGGTATTTGCTAACCCAAAAGTCATTGACTTGGTATCAGGCTTGAGACCATTAGTCCCTCAAAGGCTATACTCCTTCCCCCATAACAAAACCAGGTAAAGAGTACACGACAGAAGAGGGTATGCCAAGCCTGGCAGAGACCTCTGGGTTTAGTTGTTGTAATCTGCCTGTCTTCAGAGCATTGCTTGTTTTGATTATGTATCTCATTACAGAACTAGGACACTGTATTTTTAAAAAGTTGCTTCAGAAAATTGTTATTTAAAAAAGTCTAGTTTTTTCAAAAAAACATTTTCAATCATTCATTTAAAAGTTTGGTGGCTTTACAGTTTTAGGGCATTTTATTAAACAATTTATAATGAAGTAAATACAGTTTAGATTTTACAAGCACTACTAAAAACAAATTGTATAAATTAATCACAAGATTTTTGTTGTTGTTGAGATAATTGATAATTTTTTATTTGGTATGACACGATAAGGATGTATTTGTATTATTTTAAATCTCTAACCATTTACTGAACATCAAGTAAACAAAATAACATTTTAAATTCCTTTCGAAATTTCAATTATATTGTATTTTGCACAATTTACAACTATAATAGTATAAAAGAAATTTTATTGATGAATTGATGATTTAATATTTATTAATATTAGTTCAAATTCTTCCTTTGATTATGGATTATGTTTAAAACTCTTCTTAGGGTGCCAAGTAACTGAAAATGATGAAATAAGCATAAATAAATAAGACATTACCATACATCACAAATTCAATTTTTAAAATTGTAAAAAATGTGTTGACTTAGTGCAACAAAAAATAAATTGTGTAAATATACTGATATTAGTAAAACAACTTGTTTTGGGACAACAAAATAAAAGTAAACATGTAACAATTGAAGAACTTCAAAAAAATTATTATTGTATCACTTTTCTCAGATGGAACAGCACCTCCACAGCCTCATAGAAAATTATCAAACAGAAGTTCACCTTTAGACCAAAAGAGTCCTAACTCCTTGTCAGTAAGAAACCCACCTGAAGCACCACCACCTCTCCCTCCTAACCATCCTCCTCCACTGAGACACACAGGAAGTTTTGACTCGCCAAATTTACCCCTTGATGTAAGTTCCAAACATTATTTAAGTGATTTAATTTTTTAAATTCAATAGATTAAAAGCTCTACTATAGATAAAACATATGACATTGTTTCGACATCTAAACTGAAAGCCTTGGGTTCATATTCTGTGTTCAAGTCTATAGGATTGCCCAGCTCTGATGGTTCTCTGATTCAGACAAAGTAAATGTGACTGGGCGTAAACCTGACCACACTTTCCCTTCAAATGATGAGGTCATTAAAACAGAAGAACTCTACTCTCCTGTCCTATTGACCATCAATTCCGAAAGGGTATTACTTTACTAAAAATAAAACAATACAATTTGACACCTTTTTTCTAGCCCACAAGCAAAAGAGCATTCCCCAAACACACACAGTCTCTGACTGAAGCTGATCACCCAACTTGGAAGACAACACATCCACCATTAGTTGAAGCAAAAAGCTTGCTAGAAAATGCAAATAGAATTCTTACCAAAAAGGTCAGTGAGTTGTTTTAAAAGTTGTATCATATTATATTGTGTAAAGAGAACAAACCAGACACACTCATAAAGTTACATTGTAACTTGTATGGACATAATTTTTCAATGAACTGAAAGAAGGTGCTACAATAAATCTTTTAAATAGTGTATAAACATTTTTTCTCGTAAGTCATTGAGAAAACATTCAGAAAAATCTCAAACCAATTAATTAGATTTTCTAATTTTAGGGTCCTGAAACAGCTCCAAAGACAAGTACACTACCTAGATCATTTTCTGTGGATGAAAAAGGTATTTATATTTTGAATTAGTTAATTAATTTTTTAAATAAACTCTAATGTTTTTTAATTTATTCAATGTTCACTAAATTAGTAAATATGTTATTAATGTAAAAGCTTTTTACGTAGTGTACTATTTAGTTGGATGTTGAGAAACTTTTCAGAGGATAAATCATTTTGTTTTTCCGTAGGACCCACACAAAGTTTTAAGAAAAAATTAGATGGCGTGCTGTCAGCACAAATCCAGGGACCAGGTGGCTTGAGCAGAGCCCCCTTCAGCCCCCCTCAATCTCCTGGTGCAGCTGTTCAAGATGACAGAGATATTTATGAATCTTTTGACCACTACCAAAATGCAGGGGAGATAAGAAGCAGAAATGCACAAAAATGATACTCTTCATTTGTTTTATATCTGTGGCCAGTTTAATCCATATTTAGTTAAAAAAGATTTAAAAAGGCTTTCAACTGTTATTGTTGGATGTTATTGTAAGGTGTGAGATTAGTGTTTGTTTGATATAGGTTGGATTTTTTCAGATCTCTTAAAACAATCTAGTTCATTCACATGTAAATCATGAACTGCACACTTGTAATTTACTAATAATATGTTTACATTGTAAACACAATAATGTCACAATATTAGTACTGGTGCATTCCATAAGAAAATAATTTAGTGTACATGTTTCTTAATTTGTTGTACATTTAGTTAGAAGAAAATGTATTTTTAGTGATCTGTTTTTACATTGTTGCATTTTAAAAAATATGAATATTTTATAATGTTAAAAACAAATATATATTGACATTTCTTTGATCAAATTCACAACTAATGAGTACATTCAGTTGCTGTTATGATATGTAAATGAGCTGTTTGAAAAAAATAACAGAATGTTTTATATCTTTTAAGAAATGTAGAATCTTATATAAATTTTGAGACAAATTATTCACATGCTAAAACAAGTATTATTAAATTGCTTATTCAATGTCTTTTGCACCAAAACCCTCTTCCTGTCTGTTGCACAGGTGTTTAAAGATCAAGCATAATTTTTAGATTTTTAAGGTACTTACCTTAATGTTAAATATTAAATGCAAAGTATATTGCTAGTGTGCAACTGGTTGATCTACTTTAGCTGACCTCCACCCTCTATTATATTCAATAGCTTTGATTTTTTAAATAAACCTTTGGGTATGGGCAGGTGGGTTTTCAGTACAGATAATATTTAAGACAGTAGACAGCAAAATAAACATGTAATAATTGTTTGACTTTTATAAACAGAGTAGTTTCCCTTAGCTAATCAGTTTGTTCTGCTCAGTAGTGTCATCATGGTGGGTCCACATTTAAAAAGTAGTCTCTGCTACACATTGGAGAGATATTAGTAATTACAGTTTACCAACTTGTATACCAGCAAAGAATTATTTTAGTACTGTTTTTTTTGTATTCATATAACTACGACAATGAAACTTGAGTTTTTGATTTCAAATATTGTACATAGATTTGATTAAAAAGTTGGATAAGATAATAAAAAAACCAACAACCAGTTGTTTGTTATTAAACTTGTTAAAAGTGCTTGAGCAGAACTCTCTCTCATAAATGACACACAATTTCAGCACAATCAAAACAGTGAAAAACATAAGACAGTTTTAAGTGAAAATAGTTTAATTCATAATCTTATGTCACTCAGCAGTACTAATTGCTATGATGTTTCTATTTGCTTGTATAAAAATGTTATCAAGTAGACTGAATACTACAAATATTATTATTAAAAAACTGATTAGTATTTGAAACATACCCTATTTTAGGTATTTTAAAAAGTGTTACAGAGCCTGCACCACATGAAACGACAACACCTTCCATTTATTTCATTGCAAAAATATTTCAATTCCTTATCATCAAGAAAGTTATTGAACAAAAGAAAAAGTGTTTTTGAACAGTAGCTTTAAAAAAAAAGAGTATTATAAAGAACAAGTTATTAAAAATGATAAAATAATGTGCATAAAAGCATGTCAAAAAATAACATGCATTACATTTTTAAAAGACTAATATATCAAAGTGACTATTTCTTTAGGGGTTCCTTCCTGTACAATACTATTTTATTTGGAAAAATAATTATTTAAATAGGGAACAATAAAACCCTTATGAAACAATTTGAATATACTATTACAACAGTCTGTATGTTAGAATTAATTTAAAAACAAATCAAGTAAATCCTATTCATTAGGGGTAAGATTATTATATATTGAAGCAGAAATATTTCACAAAAGCAACATTTTCATTGACACAGAAAACAAATTCCTTTCAGCAAAAATTTAAAAAAGTGCTAGTTTAAATAAATCAGTTTAATAGTTGTAAAAATATTTTTAAATTATCACTTTTTAAAGCTTAGATTCTGGTATTTTGTGCATACTAATACATTATTTGTCACGCACACACGTCAATGAAAAGTGCTCAATTGAAGTTTAACAAAAGAGTCATTAATTTAATAAAAACAAAAATTCTTAAAAATTAAGTTAAATACTAACAGTTTCTAATAGAATTATGTACACACACAAAAAAAGAACGAATCTGAAAATATTGTACAAGGTTACCACTGAAAGGAATGTCTGTATTCATTCTTCACACACTGCTTTATTCCTTCTGTATTCAACAAAAAGAGAAAGACATTGATACAAAACTGCAAACAGAATTTATTTTTTTAAATTTTCACAGATTTAAATGAATACTTTTCCAAAAGTTTAGTAAAGGTATTTTAGCTCTATAAATAAAAAAATAAAAAATTAAAACCAGGAATAAGTTAACCTAAAATATTTGAAACATGTTAGCAAGCAGACAATGTTTCAGAGGATCATGAAAGACAAGGTCAACAAATTAAAAGATACACTCAAGACTAAATTTAGGAATATATGTACAATTAAATGTTAGTCTTTAAAAATTAAAAACTTTTATATTGCAGATTATCTTATACTTTTAAGGTCTGATTAATATTAGTTGTAACTGATTTATCATTTAAAATTTTAAACAAAAAGTTTGAACATTCTATTACAACAAGTACACCATGATTTTAGAAAATTAAAACATACGCTTTCAAGATTAAAAATTAGGGAAATAAAATAAGCGCATTAAAAAAGGCAAACAGAAAAGCATGAGGTAAAATATTAAAACCAAGGTTAAGAATAAAGAAAACTAGAAATATTGAGCTGCCATAAGGTTTGAGGATTAGGTATTTTTTGCTGACATAACATTAATATGCACTGCATTACAAATTTTGCAATAAGCTATAAAATAAAAAAAATCTTAGTTTTTTATTAGTACAAATGGAAAACAATCTCAAATATTGGCAGGTAGGGTGGGATAGAGAGGATCACAGCACTCTTAGTTGACCTGATACTGGTTCCTGCTGTCTGCACTGATAGGCTGATAGGCAGTAGACTTGGTGCGCATCTTGCGTATAATGGAGTAGATGCCTCCTACAATGATGATAATGACAGGTATACCCAAGCCAGCTGATATAGTTATGATGACTGTGGCAGATATTGTGTCCTCAGGTGGTGTGCCATAGCCTATTGCAGCAGTCCTGTTGATGATTAAGACAAATAGAATATAATAAACATTATTTAACTTAGATTTAATGCACAATTGCTGAGTTGTAAAATTAAGTTTAAAATTTTTACACCAAGAAATCTAATGAAACAGTTTATACAATCAAGCAGTTAAAAATTCTGTAATTAAAATTTAAGACAAGTTAACTGAATATTTCTAATCATGTAAGACTGTGTTTTATATTGTTGGTTAAATCAGCAAAGATTTTAGACATCACTATAGTTTTATTACCTAGGACAAATGGACACATTTACCCCAGACGTCCCTATATAGAAAAAGCCATGTATAAAAACAGCAATTTTCCCAGCTCTTGTTTTTTTTTTAAATTTTGAATCTGATATTTTTGCTTTTTCTTTTAGTAGAGAATTTAGACAAAAGTGGAATGGCAGATTGAGATACAATTTTGTAATTTAGAATATTAATTCCACTATTTGGTGAGATGGTAGGCATGTTTACTAATTTAAAGGAAACAAAATTAGGATCTTACCAAACAGAGTAGTTATTTTTTACATAGAATCCATCTTTAGGAATGCCAAAAGAGATGTTGGCAAACTTCATTTTATATTCTTCTTCATGCCATAGAGACTCACTAATAAAGGCAGCAACAACTGTATTGTTAATGAGCGAAGATTCTAGAGTGGCGTTGAGGTCATTCAGGTTCTTCAGCTTGTAGTAGTTCACTTTAGATGCAGTGTTGCGTCCCCTGGATTTACTGATGTATGACACAGGTTTCCACTGAAAAAATCCTGAAATATCCTTGCGTTGTGGGTTGGTCAACCAATCAATGATCTGAAAATATAAAAATGTGAATTGGTTAATGAAACAGACAAAAAATTAAACTGCTTGGTGAATAAATATTAAATTATACAAAAGAAGTATGTAGTTGTTTGTTCAGTAAGGTTAATCTCTATAGTACTTAAAAAAACACCTGGATTTATTGTACTTAGCACCAGGTAAAGCATGCACCAAAATGAAAGTTTAAACAATCTAAAGGCTGATGTTATAGAAGAGATTTAAGTATTCTTTACAAACCAAATTACCTGAAAAACACCGGGTGTATATTCATCATCAATGGACTCAGTCTGTTCAACGTCCATCTCTTTGGTATGCATATCAGACTTACTGACCACAACAGCCTCTAGAGCAAACCTTGAATTGTTGAAGGATGGTGTAAAATTGGCCATAATGAAGTCAAACATGGTTTCATTGGCCCCATATAACAAGCAGGGCAACTCTGAGGCTCTGCCATTATCTCCCTTGACTGAAAACTATCAGATAAAATAGAAAATTGTCAATACCCAAAGAATACAAATTGTGCATGTTTGATAAATCACTCGAGATATGTATAAATAAATGTATATTATTAAAAAAAAAAAACTTACAGTAAAGCTAATGGTTCCATTATTTGTTTCTGAAGTTTCATCCATAACCTCTTTGCTGATGTTAAACACAAAGGAGTTTGTTTTTTCATTCACTGAGACATTTTGCCATGGGAATTCATTAAAGTCTCTGATCAACCATCTGGTAGTGTCTTTCTTTTGATTAGCTTCCAAGTCTGCTGAGTCATCTTTGTCATCGTACTCAATTAACTGATTAAAAAACATACAAGATTAATATCATATCACATTTTACAGATAAAAAAGCATATTAAAATGTATTTCAGTATGTTTATTTGTATTTATACATATATCCAAACAACGGTCTAGACTCTGGACTTAAATCCCTGATTTAAAGCTGGTTTTTGGGTCCATTAAGTAGGACACAGGCCTAGAAAAGAGGTTGCCGATAGGCTGGCCATAAAATCTTTTTGTTACTCATGGCCACATAGCTGAAGCTAGTTGCTCTATCAACAGTCAGGCATGGAAGCATTCTTGTCTTGCGTGAGCTAAATGAAAAGAATAAAAAAGACCATGCAATATTCAGAGCCACCACCTTACTTACTCTGGTAAATGCCACAGCAAATGTGTAATTGATATTAACTTTCTTTTCACCAAAATTGATAGCTCCAAATATGGAGGATTCATTTAACATTGTCCAGTTAAAAAATAAGCTGTTGTCTTCTCCAGTAGTTCGGACAAGCAGCACTGTAGGCAGTCCAATGGTGCTGAAGACATAGTGGAGGATGTCATTGTTGGTTGTCGCTGCTTTAGCATACACAACATTTCTACCTGCTAGTCTTGCCTCTTCACATTCATTTTTATCACAATCAGGCCAAGGTGTTATTGTTACCTGAATTTTAAAAAAAAATAATTTAAAATATTACTTTCTATACATTTTATTTTGCATTACTTTCAATAATTTTTAATGTTTTGAATTTTGTGTGCTATAAGCACAAATAAGGGTGTGGTTGCAAAGGTCTAGTTTCAATTTTAAAATAGTGTACGAACCCTGGTTCTAGTCATTTTTAATATTTTTGTAATCCTTTTTATTATTTTTGTAATCATTTTTACTATTTTGGTAATTTTACTTGGCCTAGCAGCTAGCTAGATCTAATTAATTAATGGTCTCAAATCAGCTACGCAAGCCAAATAACATTTTAATTGTATTGTATTTTTCTTCAATAAACCTGGAAAAAAGGAAAATTTACTTAGGCCCCCTAGGCCTAAAGCCTAAAACTAAATTTAATTTATTATTTAAAATTTCAATAAAAATTTTAAATTTGGTAAAAAAAAAATAAGCAAGTCTCAAACTCACTCCAAAAATAAATTTAAAAAAAGGTAAAATACTTTTTTAAAAGTTAAATTCTACAAAATGACAAAAAAGGATATGAAAAGAATTGCTAAGTACTTTTCTCTTGGTATTGTCGCTTAATACGGATAGTATTTGAACAGCCAAAAGTAATAGGAATCCTTTAGAGATCAGCGCCATCTTGACAATTCTTTTACCATATGACTTGGTCATGTGATTCTGCTTAGACATAAAAATGTCATCCTAGCTACTGAAAAATAACATTAACTACATTAACACATTTTCAAAAACATTTAATAACTCTTTTTAAAAATTCTTTATACTTTACGTGTAGCGTAACATTTATCAAATTTAAAAGACATTGGGTTTATGATTTTAATGTTTGTTATGCTACTCTGTGTGTTTAAAAAGTTTCCTTATTTTTATTGGCGAATTTGAACAAAACTAAAATTTCAGTAGATGGGCATCTGATCACCATGTCGCTATGAAACTAAGTGAAGTTGCTGAGTACCCTCTAGGGAAGTTAATGCCATTATAAAAATAAAATATTGGAAGAGGTTGGGCTCCGTTGCCAGAGTGTAGTCTAGCGCCTCAGCCCTTTCTTCTCCACGAACACTATGGCGCCTACATTCGTTTTAAAGAGCACCATTCACAAAGGGTACGGTAGGCTAATATAATCGATGACTAAATTGATTCAGGGGCTACCTTCGTTTTAGCATCCGTGAACCGCTGATTAGATTCACAGATGTCAGGGGTACTTCCATGCTGTCCTTTAAAACTGAGCACCCTTGGGTGCCAACTGATCAACATCCCAGTCAGCACACATATATTGGCCCAATATTGGCTAAACATTGGTTACCAATATTGGCTACATATTGGTGCAACATTGGCTTAACCTTGGCGAAACATTGGTAGTGAAACTCGGCATGATGTTGGCGCAATGTTGGCACAATATTGGCTATATCCCGGCTACATATTGGCCCAACATTGGCTAGATCTTGGCCAAATATTGGCTATATCCCGGCTACATATTGGCCCAACATTGGCTATATCCCGGCTAAATATTGGCCCAATATTGGCTACATCTTGGCTCAATATTGGCTATATCTTGGCCCAATATTGTCTATATCATGGTTACATCTTGGCCCAATATTGGCTACATCTTGGCTCAATAATGGCTATATCTTGGCCCAATATTGGCTATACCTTGGCTCATCCTGTATTATATCCTGGCTACATCTTGGCCCAATAATGGCTATATCTCGGCTATACCTTGGCTCAGCCTGTATTATATCCTGGCTACATCTTGGCTCAAATTTTTATTTTTAGCATACAAAAAGATCCATTCTCATATCAGTCATAATATTTACAAAGGTAATTTCAAAATGTGAAAGAAATTTTAATCAAAATGTAGTAAAGCAGCAATACATACACAAGAACTGCTCATCTATTAAAATCTGTATTATACCATCCATTCAATTGTAAGAAAATTATAACTATACTATAAAGTATTGATTGAAAAAGAATATGTAAATAATAGTGTAGTAACTTTCATTTTGACTTTTATACAAACAAATTAAAACAAATATACAAAACATTTTCATATAATGTAACAGATGTTAAGCAGGCCTACAGTTTAAATTAAACTAATGTAAAAACTTAATTTACTGTACAAGAATACAGAAGCTGTAAACATAACATTAAAAATAAAAAGTATAAAATATTTGTCTAACAACATTTAATTGCATAGCTCGTTTAAGTATTCTAATTAAGGTTTACATTTTAATGCTGGACCAGTCTGCCTTGTCCATAAATAACAGAACGAAAATATGTTCAGGATCTCTAGATTATAATTGTGGTTAAATAGTGTTGAAATGAATGCCATTGTGTATACAAAATGTACAATCTTTCAAAAGACAGATGGTTCGAGGGTTTATACGCATTGTGTAGAACAGGAATATCACTGCGATATTCAATAAATGTTTTTTTGTCTCGAGTATGAGGTATTTAATTATAGTAAACTGAATATATATTAATTTACTTCATTAATTAGAAATAAATATCACCAGCAGAAGTATTGTCAATACAAATGTTGCAAGCTTTTTTCAGATTGTACAGTGAAACTAAATAATGAAAGAAATTTGCAACTAATTCTTTAAAGAAAAAAATGTCAATTGTATATTTCATTTAGGGCATTAAATCTACACTAAACATACATACAATGCCAACTTAAATTATTATATTATTACAAAAGGAAACAATTTATTAATTTAAAATCAGCATTGTTCTTAGACTATTTTGGTAAGAGCATCTTTTCTTTTCGTTAAGCACTTAAATGCAATATGTATTAAACTGTTAACCTGATCCATCTGATCAAATTTTTTTTTTTAAATCTGATCTAAAATTATTACGAAAATCACTGTTGTCCTCATTCTTGTGGACCCTTGTGGAGCTGAGAGACACAACCACACCTCTCTATATTTTTATACTTGGTTTTAGGAGATTCCCCAAAGTAGTGTCCATAACACTCTGCCTGCTTGTGTTTTGTTGGTTTCTGATATTTTCCATGTTTGTTTTGGATAACAAACTTTCTCTTTCCTTTGGGATTCAAATCCAATAAAAGCCTGGTTGTTGATTTGTGCAAGGTATGTCATAATCCATCCACATTCTAAAAAAGAAAAGTTACACACTTAAAGTCATTTATGAAATAATTACAACCATACACTGCTCATTTTGCACTAAATTTATTATGTTTATTTTATTTTGCACTGCACTGAACATACAACAAGAAGCCCCTAACATCATGTTTGCTACCTTGTAACGATATATTATATAGGTATAAAGACTGGTGGTCTGGGGTGTTCATGCTACCCAGGTAACACTTATACTGCATATATATATATATATATATATATATATATATATATATATATATATATATATATATATATATATATATATATATATATATATATATATATATATATATATATATATATATATATATATATATTTATAAACAAAAGTGAAAAAAAAAGACCTGGTAATAAAAAAAATAATAGTATGTATATAAATATTATAAACCCCTTACCCTATGTCTCTGAGTTAAGAAGGTGCCAGACAACTTTTGAGCAATTTCATCAACTTTATCAATTCAGTAATTGAACGATTAGACCCTTCAGAGTGACCCAGAAGTAATGCTTGTGGTCTGAAATTATTTTACTAATATCAGTAAAGGCATTAACTACACATGCTGATCATTACATGCAAGCAAAAATTACTAAATGAAAATTATTATTCACTTTGAAACAATGTAAACTTACAGTTGTTAAGTGTTAAGAACATTTAGTCATTTTCTGGTGTAGCCAGTATTTGGTGAAGTATCAAGCAGTGGGGACCTTATAATTTATTAAAGATTGATATATCTCCAGTGGGCTGATTGATATACACAACACCTGGAGGCCTGAAAATAAATGGCATTCTTAGTTATTAAATATAATAATAAAATGAGTGAGTGATACAATAAATGATAGCCAGATTAGATACTAATTTTTAAGTATCTCTGTTTATTTGATCTCTGTATATAAAGGATTGTGTAGTCAACACTATATCTAGCCACCTTTTTTATTTCATAGTCTTAAATTGGGTATATATCAGACTTAGGTGAACTGATGAATGTACTACTAACTTGGCTTTATGTTTAGCAATAGTGTCCTCAACCATTTGCCTACTCTGTCCTCTATATGATAATATGAGTAGTGTTGATCATTAAGTATGGCTTACTAATAGTACCATCTTATCGCTGTTGGTCATGAAATTAAGTGTTGCTCTGAAATCTCCACACTACTATTTACACAACTTACATCTTATTCATCAAAACATGCATTAGACTGGAATCCCCAGGGAAAAAGGAGGGTGGGCCGGCCAAGGAAAACATGGAAGAGAACGGTTGAGGAGGAGGCGAAAACAGCTGGGCTCTCATGGGCACAGATTAGAGGAGCAGCCCAAAACCAAGTCCGCTGGAGATGTGTGGTTGCAGCCCTTTGCTCCCCAGGGGCCACAATGGAGTGATGATGATGACATCTTATTCTCCCATAGGGAGCTGTAACAGTAATAGAAATTTGAATGACAATCTTGAATCAATTTAGAATTCTAGTTGACTATTTTTTTTTCAAAATTAATACCTATCAAAATACACTGTTTAACATGTAGAAATTTGTTCTATAATTGTGTCTACTGTTCCTCTCTCTCTCTCTCTCTCTCTCTCTCTCTCTGAATTAATTATTAAAGACAGTTTCAAATCCTTACACAAATAGGCCTAGAACAATAAAATTAAGTTTTTTAAAAAGTTAAAGTGAATGATTATTTATTAATTTATAAACATTTAAGCCCCCCCCCCCTTTCCCTGTGCGTGATAATTATACCTAAAGTTGAAAACCAATAAATACATCGATCTATCAATAATCAATATAACCCCAAATGTACTTGCATACTTTTCAATACAAAAAAAAAGTGCTGTCAAAATTAACCGCCCTCTGATTACGATTTTTAGTTATTTAGTATTATTAGAATCTAGATCTATCTAGATCTATCATAAAGGTCATTAAAGGAGATTATTGTAAAATGTAATTATAGCCTAATGCCAAAATAAACAGAATATAGACTCTAGTATTATTAATATATAGATCTAGATCTAGACTAGATCTAGGCTCGGTAATCCCTTAGTTTAGCGTCGGTTATTATTCCGGAATCGTATAGCAGTAAAAAACAGTAAAACAATGTCAAAGTCTGTCACACACTTCCGGAATTCACCGGAAGTACTGTAAACCATACTTTATTTGGCGTCATCTTTTATTTTTATACAGAATATTTAACATTTGGATAGATTTATTTTTGTAATCATTTTTACATTTTGTAATCATTTTTACTATTTTCGTAATCTAGATTTTTTTAACTTGGCCTAGCAGCTAGATATCTAGCTAGATCTAGATCTAATTAATTAATGGTCGCAAATCCGCTGCAAGCCAAAAACATTAAATTATTACATTTGACTTCATTATTTATATTATATTAATATATGTTTTTTTTTAGATCTACTAATTTAAAACTTCTATTAGATTTATATTTATTCTTGTTTCCTTTTGTCGAATTAAACTTAAAAAATCAAAACATTAATTTACTACAATCGACTTTCAATTTATTTATATTTCAATGGTCAAATAAACCATGGTTTACCGTAACTCTAATTACCGAGACTCAACAAACATTACCCGATAATTTCCGACGCTAAACTAAGGGATTACCCTAGGCTCATCATTTTATTACCTCAAATAAACTACCTTTTATAACTTTTATTTGATGACTTAGGCCCATAAAGTTAAAGTTTCCAACAAAAAAATACGAGTTTTCCAGATTCTGCATAAATACAGTTATACTACTTCTCACTGTTGAACTAAAATGGCTACAGTGGGCCTACCTGTTTTACTGTGACTGGATACAAAGTCTTTTGTTAAGAAAAATGGCGCAGGACCGGGATGCTGGCTTGCGAACAATAGGAAGGAATGTGAACAAAGGGACAATGGGCGACAGGGGGCCGGTGGCAGTAGCGCACACAATTTTAAAAAGATTAACAAAATGTTTAACACATGCAACGTAGTCTGTTATTGATGCTATGTTTACATTAGAGCATGATATTAAAAGATAAATTAATTTTAGTTAACATATATTAAGTTTAACAAGCATATTTAACTAAAATTTCTGCGGTGAATCCATAAATCAGTGTAATCTTGGCAGCCAAGGTAAAAACGGTTAAATATCAAGGTATCAAGGGATGCAAGCATGTACAAATCTTGGCTGTACCCTGGCGTAAGCTTGTCCAATGTTTGGCCATGATTACAACATTGGGCCAAGGTTGGGCCGACCCTGGTATTACATACTGTGTTAGCTGGGATGGCGCCTAAATTCGTTTTAAAGAGCGCCATAAACTAGAAAACTAGTGGCCAACTATAATCGATGACATAGAATATCTGCAACGGCAATGACACGTGGGCGGTCGCCGAGTGATGTCCCACCTCAAGGTTTGCATATAGTAATGACAACGACTGTTGATGCACAAATTGTGTGCAAGCTTTGATCACTTCTTTAGTAATGATGATTTTTGATAATGTAACATTGATGTTATATTAAACACTTTTGACACAAAGTCGACGTATGTAAATATGACGAGTACTACACAAAATGTCACACTGATGATCACTACTTAGACACGATGTCTAAATACTATATAGTATATGGTCCATCTTCTAGATGAAAGAAAACATTCACAGAAAATAATCAGCGATAGCATTTAGCTAAATGAGTACGCCCGACATAGTGAATTCCAGAAATTGATTAGCTACACTACAGCATGCGTGCTGAATACAGCCCATGGTTCGGTTTAATAATCGAATGTCGTGTGTCCCCGTGTCCCTATTGTACTTACTTAATCCTCGTCGCTCCCTGTAGAGTATAGGGCAGCAACAAAGCTTCGCAATTCCACTCTGTCCTGGGCGAGCCACTTCAATTCATGCCAGGTCTTGCCAGTAGCCTCCACTTCTTCTTCCATCTCTCCTCCATGTTCCCAGTGGTCTTCCTCTCTTTTGTATTTCAGGCGGAGTCCAATTCAGCGCCACGTTGGGGAGTCTTCTTGTGTTCATGCGAAGGACATGACCCAGCCATCTCCATCTCCTCATTAGTACTTCTGAGACAATGTTGTTTAAGCCTATCCTACGTCATATTTCCTTATCCGGGGCTTTGTCGTCCCACTTTATTCTGAGGATACGTTGGAGGGATCTTCTTTCAAAGCCTCTGAGGCGGCTCTCTACTTTCTTGTTTAGTGTTCATGACTCTGCAGCATAGAGGAGTACATAACTTACATTAGACTTGTAAATCCTTATTTTAGTTCTCTGCTGCAGTGAAGATGATTTCCAGATCTTAGCAAGTCTGTTGAAAGCTTGTGCTGCCATTGCTATTCTGGTGGCTATTTCTTTCTCGATGCTGCCATTTTCTGAGATATAGCTGACGAGGTACTTAAAGTCTTCGACCTCTTCTAACTCTGCTCCATTAGCAATAGTCTTGAGAGCACCTTTAGTTTTTACTTTCATTAGCTTAGTTTTCCCGGAGTTTATCTTTAGCCCAACGCGTTTAGCAATTTGCTCTATTATTATGGTTTTTTGCTTGGATGTCTTTTTGGGCATGTGAAAGTAGGTGCTCTTTAAAATATATGTAGGCACCATAGTGCTCATGTGGGGAGCTCAGGATGCTGCAGTTCACCCGAACGTACCACGCCGGAGTGCCTGATTCGATCTAGTAAGCGATCTCAGTAGTCCACCTTATCCACAGTACATGGCTCTATTTAAAACAAATGTAGGCGCCATTGTACACAAGAGAGAGCTTCGGAAGCAAATTACCACCCTGCTAAAGGAGGCGCCTGATTCGATTTAGTTTAAAATTATAGAAGCCCATCGTATCCTTAATGTATGGCACAATTTAAAATGAACGTATGCGCCATTATGCTCATGGGGGAACCCGGAGTGCTCCGGATCACCTGACTGTCGCGGTATAACCGTTGAAACAAGTGTACACCTCTCCACAATCAAAATATGTTGTTAGCAGAGACCTCTCCATTTGTATTCTCTACAACTTCCCAAGCTTTCATTGTAATTGGATGTAAAGCATAGAGAAAATCAAATAATAAATAAAATAAGACATTAAAACAAACTTGATTTTTAAAAATAAAAACACTGGTCGCTGAAATGTGTAAGAGATATCATAAGCGACCAACGCTTTTCATTTAAGAAAGCAGGTTTGTTTTATTTTTTAAAATTTTCAGTGTATTTAAGAGTTTACTATTTTAAGGTTTTTATAATTCTTTTATATACAGCTCAGGCTCTAAATATACACAGTGAGCAAAATCATGGAGTTACTGTAGCATCTGATTCGCCGCTCACTATTCGTTTGTATTGGTCAGACACAAATTTCATTCAAAACATAAAATACACAAAAACTGCTATCTGTTACACGGAGTGAATTATATTGGCGAATCGAAAATGTATACCAGTATTAGGATATATTATAAGGTCGTCTTTGGGTTCAAGTTCGTAGAGTGTCTCTTACGCCACCAATGAAGAACTAGTTTAGCCAGCATTTCCAGTAAAATATTGGATGAATTCTTGAATTTGCGGAGTAATTGCTCCTTGATAACCTGCTCACATTATTTTGGTGTGATATGTACCATTCCTATCCAAATGTGAGAATGCTTGTCTTTCAGTTTTAATTCCGTTTATGTTGACATGCCTATGTAAGAGTGGATTTTTCAACACTTATCCCAGTTAAAAATAAAATAATTTTAAGGCTAGAAATAGGACGCATTTCCACCAATTGCATTAAATCAATTATGAAACTTAAATTAGAATCAATCTGCACTAGAAATCTAATAGCTGTGTTTTTAAATTACCTACATTTTTTTTTTAACTTAAATGGGTCGCGGGCACTTGAATTTTTCAAAAGGTGTCGCAATTCGACCAGGTTGGGGAACCTGTGTTTTAACACTTTGACAATGAAGTAAAATACCACGTTATTAACCAAATCTAAGATAGCTCGGGGAGGGGACCCTTCCCGGCGCCCCGGGACACACGTTTTACTTTCGATTTGCACCCCCCCCAGACTTTCAATTACTTCTTCCAACCCATTGAGGCGCCCCCTGAGGTCGGCGCCCGGGGACATGTCACCCCTGCCCCCCCTCCCCCCATCGCTAGGCCTCTAATAATGCCCCCTCCCCACACACCTTAGATCTGCCTATAGTGTCATAGGTCGTCGACAACACCGCGACTCCGTGCCCTGCTTTTTCACTTTGATATGCTACTTTGGTGGAAACTAACACTAACATTATAACACCAACGTTATAATACTAACACTCAATATTATAAACTTAATACTCAACACTATAACACCAACACCATAACACACATTTAACACTATAACACGAACAGTCAGAATTATGCTTTAAAAACTCACACGCGTAAGCAATTTTCATTTAATAAACTACCAAACATTTAAATATTTTTTTTAAACATAATACACGTACACATAATTAGCAATATTTTGAAACGATACCCTGATTGTTGTTTGGTTCTGACCTAAAAGAACGGGCAAATAAATATTTAAATAACATCTTTATAGATATTTAAATCACATCTTTATAAATGTTGTGTAGCTGGTAGTCTTCGTCTCGCATTGATGTCTTATCAAATACGGCGTCGTCTGTTATGTAATTCTCTTTTTCCTTAGTGGCTTGTTGACGTCGACGTCTAATAAAGATGACTGCAATAATGACAATGACGATGACGCCGAGTACAGTGAAAGAGGCAATAAGTGCAGTTTGTGTGGAGCTGCTTAAGCCGCTGCTTTCTCCGCTTTGCGCATGTCTGTTTGCTGTTTGTACTTCCTGAGTAGTGCTTGGATGCGCACTTTGTTTACTGGTTGAATCAGACACCTTATTGGTGGTTATCGTCGAAGGGCTATTTGTATTTGGCTGTCGGTTAGTTGGTGTATTAGTAGTTTCCGAAGGTGAAGTAGATACTTTAGGTAAAATAGTTGGGTACATATTGGTTGTGGTATTTAAAGGTGTAGTTGGGTTAGTTGTTGTGATTGTAGAATATGTAACATTTGTGTATGGAGATGTATCTATAATAGTGGTACGTGTAATGATCGTAGGTGTAGTACTTGTAATGTTTGTAACCTCTGTGATCGGAGCGATAGTTGAGTTTTGTATTTTAGGCGTTTTATAAGAATTTACTGTTGTTGCGGTTGTGGGTGTTGTTGTTGGTCCAGTAGATGTGGATGCTGGTGGTGTAGTTATGGATTTTGTTGTTGGTGTAATTGTGAATTGTGTTTTTGGTGTAGTTGTTGTGGGTGTTGTTGGTGTAGCTGTTGTGGGTGTTGTGGGTGTAGTTGTTGTGGTTTTTGTGAGTGTAGTTGTTGTTGTTGTTGTTGTTGGTATTGTTGTTGTTAGAGTTGTGGTTTCTGTTGGTGTAATTGTTGTATTTGTTGTAAGTATTGTTGGTGTGGTTTTTTTGGTTGTTGTTGGTGTTGTTGTTTTGGGTGTTGTTGGTGTAGTTGTTGCGGGTGTTGTTGGTGTAGTTGTTGTGGTTGTTATTGGTGTAGTTATTGTTGGTGTAGTTGTTGTGGGTGTTGTTGGTGTAGTTGTTGTGGTTGTTATTGGTGTAGTTTTTGTTGGTGTAGTTGTTGTGGGTGTTGTTGGTGTAAATGTTGTGGGTGTTGTTGGTGTAGTTGTTGTGGTTGTTGTTGGTGTAAATGTTGTGGGTGTTGTTGGTTGTGTTGTTGTGGTTGTTGTTGGTGTAGTTATTGTTGGTGTAGTTGTTGTGGGTGTAGTTGGTGTAAATGTTGTTGGTGTAGCTGGTGTAGTTGTTGTTGGTGTTGTTGTTGTGGGTGTTGTTGGTGTTGTTGGTGTATTTGTTGTGTGTGTAGTTGTTGTTGGTGTAGTTGTTGTGGGTGTTGTTGGTGTAGTTGTTGTGGTTGTTATTGGTGTAGTTTTTGTTGGTGTAGTTGTTGTGGGTGTTGTTGGTGTAAATGTTGTGGGTGTTGTTGGTTGTGTTGTTGTGGTTGTTGTTGGTGTAGTTATTGTTGGTGTAGTTGTTGTGGGTGTAGTTGGTGTAAATGTTGTTGGTGTAGCTGGTGTAGTTGTTGTTGGTGTTGTTGTTGTGGGTGTTGTTGGTGTTGTTGGTGTATTTGTTGTGTGTGTAGTTGTTGTTGGTGTAGTTGTTGTGGTTGTTGTTGGTGTATTTGTTGTGGGTGTAGTTGTTGTTGGTGTAGTTGTTATTGGTGTAGTTGTTATTGGTGTAGTTGTTTTGGGTATTGTTGGTGTAGTTTTTGTGGTTGTTGTTGGTGTAGTTGTTGTTGGTGTTGTTAGTGTTTTTGGTGTAGTTGTTGTGGGTGTATTTGTTGTGTGTGTAGTTGTTGTTGGTTTAGTTGTTGTGGGTGTTGTTGGTGTAGTTGTTGTTGTTGTAGTTGTTGTGGTTGTTGTTGGTGTGGTTGTTGTTGGTGTGGTTGTTGTGGTTGTTGTTGGTGTGGGTGTTGAGAGTGTAGTTGTTGTTGGTGTAATTGTTGTGGTTGTTGTTGGTGTAGTTGTTGTGGGTGTAGTTGTTGTTGGTGTCATTGTTGTTGTTGGTGTTGTTGTTGTGTGTGTAGTTGTTGTTGGTGTAGTTGTTATTGGTATAGTTGTTGTGGGTGTTGTTGGAGTAGTTGTTGTTGGTATAGTTGGTGTAGTTGTTGTGGTTGTTGTTGGTGTAGTTGTTGTGAGTGTTGTTGGTGTAGTTGTTGTGGGTGTAGTTGGTGTAGTTGTTGTGGTTGTTGTTGTTGTGGTTGTAGTTGTTGTAGGTGTAGTTGTTGTAGGTGTAGTTGTTGTAGGCGTAGTTGTTGTTGGTCTACTAGTTGTTGGTGTACTTGTTGTGGTTGTTGTTGGTTTAGTTGTTGTTGGTGTACTTGTTGTGGTTGTTGTTGGTGTGGTTGTAGTAGATGCTGCTGTAGAAAGCGATGTTTGTGTGTGAAGTGTTGAGGTCACGTGACTATTAGGGCATGCCATGTCAGCCTTTGTAACTCTAATACCATCCAGTGCCACTGTCTGATATAATGATGTTGCCGAACCCTCAAAAGATATCTGGAATCACAATTTAAAGTTGATCTGTTTATCATTTACAAGAGCTTCATAAAGAAATTTATAATTAAATCAGGTATTTACTTAGCTGCTATATGTGTAGAACTACCCCACCCCCCACCCAACAATCACCACCAGGAGATTTATCATTTTTCTCGTTCATTTCCAGGACACATAGGGTAGAAAAAGTAGAGTTTATCTTTTTCTACGACCTCGGCAAACAGCGGATAGTGTGGTCAGCATTTTGACAAGCCGGGTTTGTTTCCCTAACGGGTGTCAGTTACCGGTCAGAGCTGGGTGGACTCAAGGACGTCTTAGAGACTCGAGCCCGGGGATCAGAGCTCGAACCTTTCAGGTTAACTGTCGTAAGCTCAATGATCCAACTACACAGAGTTTCTTCCAGGCATCTCTTCGGGGGGGGGGGGGGGGGGGGCGAAAAAATTCTACCGCCCCCCCCCCCCCCCCCGAACGAAATGAAATTTATATAATATATATAGAAAATATATACTTTTAACAGTGTCCGCCCCCCCCCCCCCCCCCGGAGAAAAAAAATCTGCAACCACACCCCCCCCCCACACACACACATATACACCAGGAGATAAGTGTACGGAAAACTAGAAACCATTAAAAAAATATTAGTAGTAAACGAAAGCACGGAAGAGATTAGATATTTAAAAAAATATTTAAAAATAGATGGATTACTGAGTATAGAGACTAACTACCAGAGACGAAGTATTGTAATCGTGTGAAAAACTTAGTTTTGTAATTTTGTTTGTATGTCTGTGTGTCTGTGTGTATTTATGCCTGTCTGTCTCTCTGTGAACACGATAACGTAAGTACCGTTACAGTTACAGCTAGGTTGATGAAATTTCATTACATCAAATTTGTAGTTTTATGTCAACTTTTCAGTGATTTCCGGTAATTGGAAGTGGAACTTATTCTACTTTCGGTTTTTCAAAACACTTAATTTGGGTACTGTTTCTGATATATAGATGAAATTTCACATTAATTAAAAGATCTTATTTGATGTTTTCTGTCAAGTTTTGAGTAATTTCCGGGAGACCGGAATTAGTACTTTACGCTATTTCCGATTTCTCAAAAAAAAAAAAAAAAGCATATCGATTTATTAACTACTAATGTTCTGAACTAATATGCACACATTGTTTGTTGCTCACTTGGTGGGCAATTATTTTTTCTACAAGATTCTATTCTATTTTAAAACTTCAAGTTTTAAAAAATGGATTAAAAATCATGTATAAATCCCGTTGCCGTTCCCCTTTGTGTTATATGAGAATATTCGAGAAAGTTTAGGGGAGATAACTCCCGGCTTATTTTTAACAGAAGCTTTGTACTTATGTCTTTGTCTATTTGATGCTACCAAGGTCAAAGTTTTTAATATCTCTTAATTAAGTCATAAGCTGAGAGAAGTGGGACAATAATTAATTATCATTAAAGTAGTAACAATAGGGTAGAGAAAAAAACGCAAATACAAAACAGGAACTATGAAAGTATTCATTTGAAAATCTAGAACAGTGGCTCTTAACCATGTGCATTCACCGAACCCTTCTAGGAAAAATAAAATAGGATTTTTTAAAAGAATTCAAAACATAGGTAGACCTATATATTTTACTAGTAGCAAAATGAACTGTGCATCAACATTAATGTATTATCAAAACAAAAACATTAAAAATAATTTTAATCAGTGTCACTTCTGCTTTTGCCAATCAAACGCAAGTTCAGAAATGCGTGTCTTAACATTGGCTTCAGCAAGTGTTGTGTTCTTGTATTTTCCATCTACATCCTTATGGTAGTATTCTTTGAGTTTTGTTGCAAATCATGTAGTTGGGACGCTGACTCCCATCATGTTCCAATATACACGTGAATCCATTTGAGTATGAAGGGATTAAAATATTAAGAAGGAAATCACACTCGACAAAATATCACGATAGTGACTACTGGGTCACGGTATAGGAGTAAAAGGTATGTTCATCACAGCACGTAAGTATATATACGAGCAATGTGCGCCTGTATAGGTGGCGTTGATACGATTGGTGACATCTTTGATGTCAAGGATTCCACAATATAGACATATCACGATACCGAACATATTAGTCGGTTGTGTGTCTTGTCCTCCGCTGAACCCCTGAGACTGACCGAATTCCTAGGTTTCGATCTTACCCTGGCTAAGAACCACTGGTCTAGGATAAAGTATACAGCTTAAGTCTAGGCTATAACACAAGTTCTAAGAAAACAGAACAAGTACGTACGTAAAATTTGTCTTCTAGACACGTAGTAAAGTTAGCACTGAACCATCGATACGATATACTGACGTCTTTCAACTCAAACACCAAACGGTCAGTGCTGTGACTTGAACCATATCCTGGTGTAGACTGTAGATAGACACTGATGTTTTGCTTCTGATTACCGCTGGTTGCATAATGAAACTCTACATGGATGGCACTAAGATCTTCACAAATGTGAGCACTCAAAAGTGCTTTGTGTGAAACTGTTGACACACCTTTCAGGTTGATGAATGCATAGAAACTTTCTGGAAATGTTTTAAAAATCCTCATGTCACTGTGTTAAATTGTATCCTAGCTATTTAATTTGATTCTAACAGACTAGTTGGATGGGGGAAACATGTGTAGGGCCTACTCTCTCACTCCACTTTCTGCGGTTTAAAGTTTAACTTACGATCTGTTTGGTTAGCTTTCCAATTCCCTAATATTGGTCTGGTTGTTCCATTGGACAGCACCCATGTCAGGTTAGAGTTTCCTTCATTGTAACTGACATAGTTACATAACGTCTGGAAGTCACAGGATGGGTCTAAGGTTGGGTCTGTACATACATGTGATGTGGCTGTTGACCTAGCATATTTACATACAAACTATTAAAAAAGCAACAACCTTAAGTTTAACATTACTCATGTTTTGCTGTCGTTTATTTATGCATCTCAATAGACAAAAAACATTTCTATATTATATATTTAAAGAGTAATGTGATACGTTTAGGGCCAACAGTTATTTCATCACAAGTATAAATACTTTTTAAAAAAAAGTTTAATAATTTCATACATGATGCCATTATTATTGTCTTAATGTTTTTCTATAGATACATCAATTTAGTTTAAAATATAAGCTACTGAAAGTAGCCAACGGTGTAAATCCTTCCAATTTTAGTAGGTGAAAAAGAAAACCTCTTCCCCCCCACCCCTCCACCCCCCCCCCCCCCGCCCCCAACACACAATTTGGAAAAGGTACGTAAGTGGTTTTTGCCGACCACTGTTTCTTAAGGGTATTTATTTTACAGTAACTGTTACCCAATCAAGGTAGAAAAAATTAAATCAGTACGTAAAGGCTTGTAGCGTTTAATTTCTTAACTTTAACTGTGTATAATTCAGAACTGCAGCTCAAAATGAACTTTTTCTTTCTACGTCTTTTGGCGCCACTCTCGACGCCCTGAGAGGTCGACCCTTAACTACGCCTCTGCTCACACTGTGATTCGACCCTTTTCGTGCAAAAAATAGAAATCCGGAAGTTTACAAATCCCTAGGTCGGAAAAACGTTTGCAATTTTGTCTGTGTGTCTGTCTGTATCTGTGTGTGTGTGTGTGTGTGTGTGTGTCTGTCTGTCTGTCTGTCTGTCTGTCTGTCTGTCTGTCTGTCTGTCTGTCTGTCTGTCTGTCTGTGAACACGATAACTTGAGCACCGATTCATTTAAGTTGGCCTAATTTTAAATATAAGTATAAATATTAAATGTGTACTTCTTTATCAACTTTTGAACTATTTCCAGTAATCGGAAGTGGTACTTACTCTTCTAAAGCCAATAACTTGAGTACCGTTTAAGTTAGGTGAATCAAATTTCACAAATAAGTATTGCATTGTATCAAACAAATTTTGAGCCATTTTTGGGTACTGTTTCAGTAAGGAAGACGAAATGGTACTTGAATTACTTTCAATGTTCGATAACTGGAAGTGATACTTTACTATATTTCTGGTTTCTAAAATACCGATAACTTGCGAACTGTTTCATTTAGGTTGAAGAAATAGTAAATATTGGTATAATATCTTATTCTTTTGAGACTCAAATTTTGAGCGATTTCCCGTGAATGGAAGTATTAATTTACGCTATTTCCGATTTCTGAATAATATCACTTCCACCGGATTGATATCTTCAAAACTTTTCACTCGCAGACAATGCATTGTGACATAACATTTGGCGGAATTCGATGTTTGAAGCAGCCCCAAATTATTAATAGAGTAGAGAGATAAGCCATACTTATCAAGAAAGCACCTAAATATTCGTATTTTTTTCTAGAACCCAGTGTATATTAATGTATCAACTTTGTAACCCTTGACCCCACTTTACCTTGTTGTAACGTCTACGAATGATGTAGCTCCACACGGTAGATCAGCTGCTGTAACTTTGATGCCGTCAATTGACACTGTATCAGGTCCAGATATGGTCGAACTTTCAAATGATATCTGCCATTTAAAATATTTTAAATTGTAATTTTGTTGTGATTATGATGCTAAACTATTAGATGTTTATCAAAAACAATATTTATGCTCTTTAGTATTCAAAATTATCAATCCAAATTTATCAAAATTAAGAGGTTTTATGCGTAATCCAGTCTGAAAAATTGGGCTTTGCAATTCTGTCCTTATGTCTGTGTGTCTGTGTGTAAACAAGATTACTTGAGTACCGTTACAGCTAGGTTGATGAAATTTCATATATAAGTATTTTATCAAAATCGTAGATCCGTATCAACTTTTGAGCGATTTCCGATAACCGGAAGTGGTACTTTTTCTACTTTGAATTTTTCAAAAGCCTATAACTTGAGTACTATTTCAGATAGATAAATGAAATTTCACATGTGAGTAAAAGATCTAATTCTCTGCCTTCTGTTAAATTTTGAGTAATTTCCGTTGATCGGAAGTACTAATTTACGCTACTTCCGATTTCTCAAAAAACTAATGTAAATTTTTAAAGTACTAATAATATTGCGCACTATTATGCGCTTTTTTATTTGGCGTTCATTTCAGAGTTTCTTCCAGGCATCTCTTCGGGGCCCCCCGAAAAATTTTTACCGCCCCCCCGAACGAAATGAAATGTATATAATTTATATAGAAAATATATACTTTTAACAGTGTCCGCCCCCCCCCCCCCGAAGAAAGTTTACCGCCACCCCGAAGATTTCAGGTGCCCCCCCCCGGAGAAAAAAGTCTGGAAGAAACACTGGTTCATTTGGTGTGCAATTCTTTTGTCTACGAAATTTCATTCTATTTTTAAAACTTTAAGTATTTAAAATGGATTAAAAATCATGTCTATAGCCCGAGTTCCCATCCCCTGTTGTTTTATATAAGAATATTCGAGAAAGTTTAGGGGAGATCTCTCCCGGTTTATTATTAAAAGCTTTTATTTAACTCACTTCCTCTGTCGTCAGTCGTCAGTCTGTCGTCAGTCTAGATCGAAACGCAGGAGCAAAAATTCGGACACTTCTACTTGACCGATACGATTCACAGTTGGAACGTGGGTCAAGACATGAAGACAATGCAATCTGAAACTAAATTTGACTTAATAGGATGCCTAATTATTTTTTTATGAATTAATTAAAATTTGGACTGAATTAGTAGGCATGTCTATCCAACCACACCACACGCGTCATCACGTTCAATAGCTGCGCCATCAGGTTCAATAGCTGCGCCATCACGTTCAATAGACGCGCAATGGTTTTTAGTCATGTAACACTATTGTAAATAAAACATGTAAAGTACTGGAAAAAAAATTCATAAAAAAACGTTTTAATATCAAGCTTTTATGTACGAATGCACTAAAAAGTAGAAAATAAATTATACGCTACTATTTAAATTACTATAAAGAAAAGCGTGGGTCTTTTCTCAAATATTAGTAAAGGTATGCAATAGGTACTAAAGTACTAAAGTGACCCACGCTTTTCTTTATAGTAATTTAAATAGTAGTGTATAATTTATTTTCTACTTTTTAGTGCATTAGTACATAAAAGCTTGATATTAAAACGTTTTTATTACAAGCTTTTATTTAACTCGCTTCCTCTGTCGTCAGTCTAGATCGAAATGCTGGAGTGAAAATTCGGACACTTCTACTTGACCGATACGATTCACATTTGGCACGTGGGTCAAGACATGAAGACAATGCAATCTGGAATTAAATTTGACTTAATTGGATGCCTAATTAATTTTTTATGAATTAATTAAAATTTGGACCGAATCAATAGGCATGTCTATCCAACCACACCACACGCGTCATCACGTTCAATAGCTGCGCCATCACATTCAGTAGGCGCGCCATCACGTTCAGTAGGCGCGCAATGGTTATTAGCCATGTAACTCTATTGTAAATAAAACATGTAAAGTACTGAAAAAAAAAATTCATAAAAAACGTTTTAATAACAAGCTTTTATGTAATAATGCACTAAAAAGTAGAAAATAAATTATATACTACTATTTAAATTACTATAAAGAAAAGCGTGGGTTTCTTCTCAAATATTAGTAAAGGTATCCAATAGGTACTAAAGTGACCCACGCTTTTCTTTAGGGTAATTTAAATAGTAGTATATAATTTATTTTCTACTTTTTAGTGCATTATTACTTAAAAGCTTGTTATTAAAACGTTTTTTATGAATTTTTTTTACAAGCTTTTAACTCACTTCCTCGTCAGTCTGCCGTCAGTTTGTCTAGATCGAAACGGTGGAGCGAAATTGCAGGCTCTTCTAACTGACAGATACGGTTCGTAATTAGTACGTGGATCAAGACATGAAGACAATGCATCATGACATTCAACTTGATTTAATTGGTCGCCTGATTAATTTTTTATTACTTAATTAAAAATGTGTCCAAATTAATAGGCAGTCCTATCCAACTACTCCACACGCGTCATCACGTTCAATAGCGTGTCATCACGTTCAATAGGTGCGCAATGGTTTTTATTTATGCAAATCTATTGTAAATAAAAATATGTAAAGTACTAAATTAAATATTTTTTTCATAAAAAACGTTTTAATAACAAGCTTCTATGTAATAATGCAGTAAACAGTAGAAAATAAAGTATACACTACTATTTAAATAACGATAAAGAAAAGCGTTACACGTGAATTATATGCCTATATATTTATGTTATACATGTTTGAGAAAAATATTTTATAAAATAGTTATTGGTCATAACGCAATGTGCTTTACTACACGTTGAACAATATTAGGGGCAAAACAAAGAAATAAATAAATAGCTAAAAATCCGTTAAAAATACGGCTATTCAATGGTCATTATGTTATTTTTTAAAGTAATTTATATTAGTTTGGCCGAGAAAATTGTATACATTTCATAGAGTACGTCTTGATACGTAGATTAATAGAATCTAGATCTAAATCAAATTTGAATAAAATAGTTCATTTCTTTATATTCTAAAATTGGAAGATGACGCCATTAGTGTTGTGTTCTTTCCATAGTGTAAACTTGTGGCATGTGACGTAATTGTTTATTGTGTTCTTGATACAACTATAAACACTTTTCCAGTTGCATAATTAAAAATGTTTTTCTACATTCGAATGTGCCTTTATTTTTCTTCTTTAAATAAAATTTAGTTTATACATTTAAAACATCTAACATATTATTTTCAACAGAAGTCCGATGAAGATACTGATATCATAGCCTGAGAAAATATTTTGCGGACAGAGAGAAAGAAAGACAGAGAGAGAGAGAGAGAGAGAGAGACAGAGAGAGAGACAGAGAGAGAGAAAGAGAGAGAGAGACAGAAGTGCGCACATGGGCTTTTATATATTAGGATATTATGGACAAAATGTGACCGTTGCTTATTTCACAAATAGAGTGACAGGGGTAATTGTACGATTACTTAGGACGTTTTTAAAAAAAAGTCTGCCTTAAGTGTTGTATTATAAATTAAGTAGGATTCAGCAGTATTTCTTTTTCTCACAGATTTCTAAGCAGAACATTTTTTAAAGTTTTGCCTTGGAATTATTATGACGGGATGGTGAGATTACATTCCTCAAAAAAGAAAGTACCAAAATACGCTTATCTTCTTTCAAAAATTTGACAATACACGAATATTTTACCTTTTAGTGCAAATACGTATTAGTACACTAAATCTATATTTCTTCTCCGTTGTCAATTGTAATATTGGAGGAACTATCATCCTACACCATTAATTATTACGTGTCAACATGTTATATAGATTTTTCATTTTTGAGTTTTCTCACCTAGATGGGTTGCTGTCGCCAGCTAACGAGCCTGGTCTGCCCGGGGATAGGAGCTCGGGATTTTTAAAATTATAAATTATAAGCTCTCCCGCACGACCACGCCGTCCTATATACTATATTTAAATCTTTGCTTACATATCGTGAACCGTTGAGGCATGTAGAAAACGTCGCGGTCTTCCATGTATAAGCTATACTGAGGTTCTTCAACTCAAACACCACAGGATCAGTTCTGTAGCTTGGACCGTACCCTGGTGTCGACTGTAGAAGTACCCGGATGTTGTGTTTGCTGATACCGCTGGTTGCGTAATGGAACTCTACACAGATGGCTGTTGCGTCATGACTTATCTCAGCACTCATCATAGCCTTGCTTCCAACTGGCATTCCATACTTGGCATCCAAGAACATGTAGTAGCTTTCTTTAAAGTAAAAATTATTTTAAACTTTTTAATGTGTTGATACCTTTTTAAAAAAAGCAATTAATATAATATAATTAACAATGAGTTGTTCATTAACAATAACTATTCTGTTTTGCAATTTGTAAAATATATTGTTGAATCTCGGCATCATTGTCTGCAAAACTTCAAATAGTGTTAATAAAACATAAATGTAAACATAAATCTTACGGTCTGTAGAACCAGGCGGCCTCCATGGACTGGCTATAGGCTTCATTGTGCCATTGGCCAGGACCCAGCTCAGGCTAGTGCTGCCCTCATGATAGCTGGTGTAGTTACAGGTAGTAAAAAAATCACAAGATGGCGGCACTCTGTTTGTTGACTTACACTCCGGCAAGCTGGGGCTGGGTGTTGTAGTTGTGGCTGTTGATTATAAAGTTAAATTCTCATTTCTGTAATTTTAAAATGCCATTAGTCACAAGTCTTGCTTACAGTGAGAAAGAATCAGATTTATTAGTCTTATATTTTCCTCATTACCGTTTGAAAATACTCAAAGCCAGTGCCGGCTCCAGGTTATTTAGCGCCCTAGGTAAAACTTATTAAACGTCTCTTTTCACATAAATTAATTAAAAAACAATTCTTTATCAATTGCATAAATGTTACATGCAGACTACAAAATCAAAATTTAAATTTTCGCGCCTTCTTCTTTGCAGAAGTTTCTACTGATTCCTTCAATTCCAGAAATTGTTGAAGGCAACTAAGTTTAAATTAATTTCAATTTTGAAAAACTGCGTTCTCCACTTGTCACAGACATTGCAATTGCGTTAGTTCCCAGCCATATGAATTAAAGCAGCGTTGCAATTTAAAACAAGTTAATTAAAAAGTCTAGTGACATTTAAGCGCAATTTCCTTATGTTATCTAAAAATAGCTCTGTCGTAGCGTAAATCAAGAGCAGGGTTAGTAAAACCATTGGTTAGTTATTAAAACGTTTTTTATTAATATTTTTTTCAGTATTTTACATGTTTTATTCACAATAGAGTTACATGACTAAAAACCATTGCGCGCCTAGCTACCGAACGTGATGTCGCAGCCATTGAACGTGATGGCGCAGCTATTGAACGTGATGACGCGTGTGGTGTGGTTGGATAAAATGCCTACTAATTCGGTCCAAATTTTAATTAATTTAAAAAAAAATTTGTGACCGAACGAAAGGATATTTTTGAAAACTTTCTTCGGCAATATTGTTCTAAATTATGGCAGGAATCGATTGGTACATGTTTCAAGTCGCTAAGTGGTCTGGTTGCCGAGATATTGGCCAAAAACTGCATTTTTTCGATTTTTTTTGGCTTTTCCGGGAAATCCATGAAAGAAACCCGGAATTTTTATGGCCTATGTTCATCCTCGTAACTTGCTTAACATAATTACTTTGAAACTAGTCCTCGATATTGCTTCGTTGAGGAGGAGATACGACTTAAAGCTGCGGACACACATTCATTCATACATCCATCCATTCATCCATCCAGAAATGACGGGTTAATAAACGCAATTCAACAGAATGGAAATTGCGCTAAAAAAATATTAGTTGCATTTTTGAAAATTCATAATGCTTTGTTCAACCTTGAAGCGAAACCTAGAAACAAATAGCCACCATGTTTTCTGTTATAAATGAGAATCAACTTCACAACAATTAATTTAGTTTGAAAGTTTAAATTCTCCAAGGCTAATGAGATTTCGATCCAAAGCGAGAGAAAACTAGACATACAAGCCAAATCTAAAAATAAAAATTGCACTTGTTTTAGAACGCCGTGTCATGCGCTTGAGCCATCTCTTAATCAACCAGTGCTTCTTTCAGACTTTTTTTCTCTGGTAGGCATTTGAAATATTCTGGGGGTGGGGGGGGGTGGATACTGGTAAAAGTATATATTTTCTAAATAAATTACATTTCATTCGAGGTGGTAGAAGAGTCCCCCGCCCCTTCCTGGATAAATTAGATAACCATCTGAAATTTTCGAAATTAAAAGATTTATATTAAGTACAATAATTATGTTATTATATTACCCAGTCTATAGTTTGTATAATATAATCAAAACTATTAATCATTAGTTATTGTTTAAAAATGGTGATTACACATTTCAGCGCCCCGCCCCCCTCCCCATGGTAACGCCAGCCCTGATCAAAGTAATTCTCATCTCATGTAGAGGTAATCATAAACAGCAAACTTAAGACATTTAAGATTTTCCATGTTAAAATTACTCCAAGAGTGAGCTGTAAAGCCATGACAGGGGCCAGAAATGGCGAGAATAATACACAGAGAACCAGAACATTGTTGAGTTATTAAATTACTAAAACAAGATACACTGGTCAGAGGCCTCGCGAGGCGGGGCGGGGGTGTAGACCGCACCGGGTGACACCATTTATGGGGGGGGGGGGGTGACACCAAGACAAAAAAAATTACAAGATATATTGAATATGTTTTTGCCAGTTCAATGAATGGTTAAAAATATTTTAAGTACATAGTGACGATCACAACAAGGGGGGGGGGGTGACGCCATAAAGTAAAAACAATGTTACACCCGGCTGTATTAACAAACGATTACAGATGAGCATCATTAGTATTACATTTTTTTAAAAATGGGGGAGGGGGGCACCATGAGGTGCCGCATCGGGTGACACGCGGCCTAGCGACGCCACTGTCACTGGTTTATGTAGATAAAAACTTCTGGAAGCTCAAAAGATAGTTATTCGAGTATTTATTAAAATGAATAGATTCACATAAACATGGTGATAGACTGTGCTACATATGATACAGCCCGTTCCCTGCTAACATAGTTACATCACAGTAGAAAACCTACTACCCAGACACAACAACCTAGCATGTTCCATTGCTAGTAAACCAGAATAAGTAACAAGTGGATATCACGTTAAAGATTAAATGTTATCCAGTATAGGATAGAAAAAAATGATTGAAATTTGAAGTATTGCTACTATGAATTGCTAGGAATATGTATTTCACATAAATCGATCCTGTAACGAAAAAATAAAAATTACACTTACCTGCAAAACCTAAAACTAATAAAACCTGGTCGATAAACACAAATAAAGTAAAAATATTCCAATGCAATTTTGATTTCATTATAATAGATGTTTGAGAAAATTGTATTTTTGAATTTTGTATAAAATTTTCAGGTCAGTCACATATTACAAAATTAAAACTGGAGAATATATTTTAAAAAAGATTCATTTAATCCCGTGACATTGTTTGAATGGGCTGTCTGTGATAACTTTATCAGATCGTTACAACATGATAACACAAAGGGAGTGACTTCACGCTTTCAAGCCTTGTAATCTTTTTTTTTTATTTCAGTGATTAAATTAGGATAGATAACTCGTTTATCAACTTTATGTTCCATTATTTTTAAGTCATGCTAAATCAATTCAATAACGGCTATCAATTTTTCAGTTTGTACAGTTAGGCTATAACATGTTATTTTTTTCTAATTGACGGGTTGCTGTGGATGGTTTCGATCTATGCTTCCATGGAGAAAAGTTTGTTTATTTGAAAAAGAAAAGGTGTGAAGAATGCAGAGGCGTAGCGATTTGGGGGGGGGGGGGGGGGGCAGGGGACGACGACATATGTTCCCGGGCGCCAAACTGGGTTGTAAAAACAAATTAAAATGTAGCTGCATTTTTGTAGTTTGACGGGGGGGGGGGGGTGCAAATCGAAAGTTTGAGGGGGGTGCAAATTAAAAATTTGCTACCGAGGGGGCGCCAAATTGAAAGTTTGTCCCCGGGCGCCGGGAAGGCTCGCTACGCCTCTAGAAGAATATACCTCCGATTTCTAATGAATCTGTACTTTGATGCTAGAGATGATAAAAGTTCAGCGTAACTGCTGAAATACTTTTCATTTAAATAGAAATTAATGAGCATTATCACCGTGAAATTAGCACTACTAATTAGATCACAATAGAATCTGATAAGATGCTAAAAATAGCAACTGTAATCATCACCGCAGGCGTCGGCGTTTATCTGAACCAATACGTCATTAATGGGCAGCAATGGTGTCAGTAGCGCCCCAAGGGGTGTGAGGCAGCATACCGGGTGACACCATTTAGAGGAGTGACACTAAGGCGAAAAATTGTAATAATAATATATATATACCAATAAAAAAGCAACAATTCTAATATTACGGAGAATTGTTTTTAATTGTGTTGAGTAGTTTTAATACGTCATTCCAGGAACGCAGAATGGTTGAAACTACATTGTAGCTTTACCAAGAAAACATTTTTTTTCCCCAGTTGCATTCATAACTGTTAAATTAATAACATTGTTAAGCACAGATTAGTGTAGATCTTGCCTAACGAACAAAAAAACGTGAACGTAGTAAAATTAGAACAACAATATCTGCGGTTCATGTTTTTTTGTTTTATTAAATATGTGGCAGCATTCACTAGCTGTTTTTAATGTAGAAATGTGAAAGAACTTTTTTTTTAAATTAATTACTTTTGGTGTAGGGAACACAGCTCCGTGATTTAATCAATGTGTCTGCTCCAGTGGCGTAGCGAGGTCGGGTGTCACCCGGTGCGGCACTTAATGGTGTCACCCCGCCAGAGGCATAGAGACCCTTCCCAGGGACAAACTTTCAAACTTTCGATTTGCACCCCCCCCCCCTCGAGTTTTCGATTTGCACCCCCCCCCCCTCAAACTTTCGATTTGCACCCCCCCCTCGAGTTTTTCTCTATATATTTTGCTATTTTTTGCCTTGGTGTCACCCCCCTAAATGGTGTCACCCGGTGCGGTCCGCACCCCCCGCCCCCCCCTCGCTACGCCCCTGGTCTGCTCGTAGAACCATTGAGTATACTCAGGTTGTATTTTTTTTTAATCGACCAATTTATTTGGTTTCATATAAATAGCTGCTAATACATAGAGTTATACCAATATGTTGTAATGAGCTTATGTGCAGTATGATCTTTATTGTGATAATTATAACATTCAAACAAAATGTAAAAAATCTTAAAGAAAAATTAATAATTAATTTGACTTGACCAAATACTCCGTACTCTGTGTGAAGCATTGGACATCTACCATAACCTTCTATTTTTTTTTGTCTCCGTCTTGATTTGCATCAATGCTGTCTTCTGTTCTTCAAGAAGACTTTTGTCTACAGATCTGTCTTGGGCGTTAAAATTATACTACTAAAACTAAATAAATCCCCCCCACCCCCAAGCACACGAATAACATAAAAAAACAGGGACTGTCCTTATTTGATCACTACAAAAATAGCAGCCATGTGTAGATGATAATGTGGTGCGTGTAAATATTCAAACATACTTCACATTAGGGTTGTAAACATACATACCTATGTCAATCGTTATTCCATGACTTTTTAATGGAGAGGTTTCATTACTATTTAATATTTATTACATGGATGTAGATGTAAATGGTAGGACACTGTGACATCAATTGTATGTAAATGAGGATCGATAAACTGCGATAGAAGGAAATTTTTTAAGAATTGTCCAAAAGTGCATAAAATAATTTTTGGACAATCCTAATGAAACATTTGTGTGTCTTTTAAAGTCGAAAACAATTATTGTACATTCTAAACATTGCAATACATGACAATTTTTCTTTTTGTAAAGACCACAGTCTCCTTGAAGAGTTGGCGTGCCAACAGTATCATCTTTTTACTGCAGAATTCGCTGTTTACTGCAGAATTCCCCCTGTTTACTGCATTACAACTTCTTAGTTGCCCTGTGTATCTGCAGATTAAATTTTACAACAGAGGTTTCAAAACAGAAGTAAATAACGACCATGAATGATCGGGAAGTTGAGTGTGGATATAGCTGGGATAAGTAAGTTTACTGTAGCGTCGACAAGATTTTGTAACGTGACAGATCATATTTTTTTATTTAAAGAAAATGGTGTACCTGTAGAGCAGTCAATACCAGTGCTTGTGATTTGAATAGAGTCCAGTGCAACAGTCTCTAGGCCAGAGATTTTTGTACTCTCAAATGAGATCTGGGATAGAAAATGTGTGAAACAATTATTACACTGTTAAATAATTCTTTTTTAAAGAACTACTCTAATAGTTTTTACTCTACATGCAATACACATTAACTTATGGTCGCTAACTTACAAAGTATTTGCCGTGTAAACACGCGGAAAACGACGCATAACGCCATGTAAAGGCCGTGTTGACGTCCTTCAACTCAAACACCAAACGATCAGTGACGTAACTTGGACCGTACCCCGGTGTAGACTGTAAAAGTACCCGCATGTCGTGTGGATGGAAACCGCTGGTGGCGTAACGGAACTCGACGTGAATGGCTGTCAGGTCCTGACTAATGTGAGTACTCAGCAGAGCTTGGCTGGTGACGGGAGCTCCTGTGTACACGTCCATGTACACGTACGAGCTGGCTGAGAAAAAATAATTTTTTTTTTAAAATATCGAAGTAACAGGTTAACGAAAACAGTTGTAATATGGAGGCGAGATACAGAAAATAAGTATAACAATTGTTTTCTGTTAATATAACATCTTTGTTTCAATCTTTAGTTGATATGTGGGTAGGGAGTCATAGTATAATGTGATTTTATTGTTTTTTTATTTAAACTTTAGTTTGCGATATTCCTGAAGACTTACCGTCAAATAAAGTAATTAAACACACCCTAGGGGAAGAGTCAAATATGTTTGACAGTCTAACGCTTAGTTATGCAAACTACAGTTTAACTCGAAACTCATCGGTAGCCAAATTTTCGACAAACATACAATGTTTAAAGTTACATTAAGTATACAACAAATTTTCACACCACACTAGACCTTTTGTCACAAAAAGATCTATTGATAGCGTCCACAAAATTCGCAACGTTGAATTCTCTCTCCCCCCCCCCCCCCCCCCGCCCTTCTGCCAAGATTCTTCCATTCAGAACGACATAGCAACATATAAACATTTTGACTTGAGGAAATCGAAATGGATCCGAATATCCCTCCTCCCCCCCCCCCCCCCCCCGAGCCTAACATCTACACACGTCAACAATAAAACCACTTTTTTAGGATGCCCGTATTTTTTAGAAACATGTATCTGTATAGCAAATCAAAGAATTGAATTTCATAGATAGTATTAGATAAGTGAGTATTGATTAGAAATTGTATAACTTTTAAGACTGCAATTGCTCTAGAAAATATATTACAAATTAATGTTTAACGCAATGTCAGGCTTTGTAAAAAAAAAAAAAAAATTGGAGTCAACAGCCCATTAGTCGCCATCAAACTGTAAAATGCTGGTCTAAAATCCAATCGTCAAAACTAGAAAAGCATGGAAATGGTTATAACGGAGAACAAGTTATTTTCCTTGGAACTGTTTGTTAACCAGGAACCACACATTTAGGACAGGCTGTACAAAGTCAAGCAGAAAAAAATTTAGTTAGGTTTACATAGCCTGTCTACTTGCTTTAAATATTTCAATATGTTGATTGATTCTAGGCAGAAATAAATAAATAAAAAATTTAATCAGAAAAAAATAATATAATTTCTTACCGATTTTAATGCAATTATCAACTAACATCATTAATTAACGAAAGATGAAATTATTAACAGCAAAAGCTTATATTGACATTGAAAACTACTGTGCGAAAACAAATCATGTTTGACGGCGTTAATTAGCCTACCTTCTGTTGCCCCAGGTCTCACCCAGCCGTTCATGATTGGCTTCATTGGTCCATCGGCCAATACCCAAGTCAGGTCGGTATTGTCTCCAGGGTAACTGATGTAGTTACACAACGTTTGGAACTCACAGGAAGGCGAGCCCGATATATTTGATGTTTTTAGTGTGGTAGATTCAGGCGCGGTAGTTGTTGGTATTCTATAGGTAGTAGTTAAAGTTGTTACAGTTGTTGTTGTTCTATGGGTACTTGCTGTTGTTGAAATTCTTCCAGTTGTTGAAGTTATTCCAGTTGTTGAAGTTCTTCCAGTTGTAGAAAATGTTGTTTCATAGGTAAAACGTGGTCGTATCAAGCAATTCATGTTAGCCCGAGTAATCTGAACTCCGCCAAGAGTCATTGTTTCCACGGTAGATATCTTGCTGCTCTCAAACGAGATCTGAAATCAACAAAAAGTTTCAATAATTTAAAATAAATATTTCAAAGAGAAACATTTTATAAACATCCGTCTACACATTCGACTTCACACCTTTATCTACACGTACATCCAAAACTATACACTCCTGCAAACATATAAACAGAAGCAGAAGTAGGCAAATAAACACATATTATAGGCATGTAACTTATCTACAGACAATTTTTACTAAATATAATATATCATCAAAATGTATCATATATATATATATATATATATATATATATATATATATATATATATATATATATATATATATATATATATATATATATATATATATATATGCGTGTGTGTATGCTTGTTTTTGAATATTGACAAAGGGGACTCACGTGAAATGTATCCTCTAAACAAGTAGTAAATGAAGCTGTGCGCCACTGATACGCTGTGTTAACGTCCTTTAACTCAAACACAACACGGTCTGTTTCGTAATTTGGACCATACCCTGGTGTCGACTGTAGGAGAACACGCAAGCTTTGATTCTGCATACCATTTGTTGCGTAATGAAACTCGACATGAATAGCATCATAAGCTTGACATACTGGGGCACTGAGAATTGCTTTACTTGACAAGGGAGCTGGGCTTTTATTATCCAAGTATACGTAGTGACTTTCTGAAATTATACAAAGACTCAACGTTGGGTATATATATTTCCCAACTGGAAAATTATTATTTTATCTTGTGATTTTTGAAAAACAAAACCAATATTTCTATAATATCAATTGGGCAAAAAAGCAACAAAAACGCAAATAGTCTAATGGTTTTTTTTAAAAGTATAACCCTTTACCATCAGGCCCCCTTTCAAAATTTCGACAGTGCATAAATCTTTTATAAGAAATAATTATTACAAAACTATTAGAGAGTAATTTTAAGTATAAATTAAAAAATTGCTAATACTAAATAATAAAAAAAAAAGAAACAAATATTTTTAAAAGGTTTCTCGAGCACCAGCGTCCCCACTAACGAAAATAAAACCGTTCTGATGTCAATTTATCTCAAAGCTTGTTAATGTTAGACAGGTTTTTTAATGTATCTCAAAGCTTGGTGTTCTAATATTCTAACATGCTATAGTGCCAGCGATTAATTGAGTCGCTGAAATATCGCATTACTGATAGCAGGGCCATAAACATAAAATTAGTATGTACGTTGCCAGTGGCGTAGGGAGGGGGGTCATAACCCCCCCCCCCATAAACCCCTCGGTATATATATATGAAAAGTATGAGGGGGGGGGGGGGTGCAAATCAAAAGTTTGTCCCCGGGTAAAAAATGGAACCCCCCCCCCCCCTTGAGACGATTCTGGCTACGCCACTGTACGTTGCTGAAGTTGAAACAGATAACAGCAGTCAACTTACGGTCTGTTAGTCTCCCATCTCCATCAGCCAACTTCCAGCTGATGTCTGTATTCCCCTGATGGTAACTGACGTAGTTACATAATGTGAGGAAATCACAGGATGGTAAGTCGGTGGCTGGGTCTGTACAGGATGGTGACGTCGCTACTGCTGTTGTTGATGGTGCAGTTGTCGTTGGTGTGGTTGTGGGTATTGATGTCACGTGACTATTAGGACACGCCATGTCAGCCCTTGTAACTCTGATACCATCCAGTGCCACTGTCTGATATCCTGACGTTGCCGAACCTTCAAAAGATATCTGGAATTGGAATTTGTAGAGTTTGTATTGTTTCGAAAAACGATCAAATCAAAGAAAGAGTAAACAAAATATAACAAAGAGTACAAGTAAAGCGGGTTGTGCATTGAGAGGTGTTGCAGGTACGAGGTGAGCCAGACATTGCGGTCTAGAGGGGAGGGAGCGAATAAAATACTCGTGACTTATTAAAACCAGCAGACTTGCATAGCTTAATTGTTAAGATCAGAGTTTCTTTCAGGCATTTCTTCGTGGGGGAGGGGCGCTAAACCCCCCTCCTCTCCCCCACCCCTCCCCGTGAAGTAAGATGTGTATGTGTATACGCATAAATAGCAGATATCTTTTACTCAGATGTATTTATAATGACATTTTTTCCATAAAAAAACACAGTTAACAAACAATATTATATTAAAAGCTAGGATTAAATAGCGCATAAAAATTCAAGCGCGTACATGAACGGAAATAAAGGAAAAACTTACGTAAAATTTGTCTTCTAGACACGTAGTAAAATTAGCACTGCGCCATTGATACGATGTACTGAGGTCTTTCAATTCAAACACCAAGTTGTCACTGCTGTAGCTTGGACCATATCCTGGTGTAGACTGTAGATAGACACTGATGTTGTGCTTCTGATTACCAATGGTTACATAATGAAACTCTACATGGACGGCACCAAGATCTTCACAAATGTGAGCACTCAGTAGTGCTTTGTGTGAAACTGTTGACACACCATTCGGGTTGATGAATGCATAGAAACTTTCTGGAATAATAATGATTGTATGTGGGTTTTTTTTTTCGGTCATGCTCATAACATAAGCGATTATTTCAGCAGAAATTAGTCACTTATCCTAATTTAAAAACAAGTGGATCGGCAATGTTATTCACATTATTAATGGGGAACTTTTTTACGCTGTTTAACTCTTGCAACCGCAGTTACTTTAATTACTTAACAAATTAACGGGAAATACTACACTGTTGCCATTATTTTCTTTATTATTTTTTTTTAGTATTTTAGACACTGGTATGACGGTAAATAGAGTATAACGACCATGTACTACGTACTATTGGCTCAAGCATTTTTATGTGCAAGTCGTGTAGTTTTTAAAGATATTTATTTAGGTTTATCTTTAAACATTTCAAAGAATTCAAACATAAGTTTAAAAACAATTAGATCTAGGCCTAGTCCCTGATAGATCGTGCAACTAAATCATGTTTCAAAGCACAAGACAATATAGATATAGTTGTTTGTTTTTTTTCCTAACTCAAAATAACCACATTTTAAAATTAGAAATTTAAATAACGGCGCATGTGAAATTTGCTTGCGCGGTGAGGTTTGTAGGGCTCACGAGAAAAGGTAGAGATCAGGTTTGTTTTGGAAAAACGTGAAGCGAGGTTTCCGTAAGGCTCACTAAAAGTTATATGACGTCACATTGATTTGCCGAAATTTACCCCAACCATTAATAGCCCAACAGCCACAAATGACATCAACTAGTTCAGTCTACAGCCTCACTAACCCACCCTCTTTAATTTAATAAAAAATATTTTATGACTGTTGCCAACCTATGACTACCCTTAGGAAAAATAGTGTGTAAAATCTAGAGGTACACAGCATCCATGCGCGTTCACTCTTTTAATAAAGAACTATTTTAGATAGTCTTAGCACATTCACAGGTTAAGCTTAGAGACTTTTTTTTTAAAAAGTCAGCCCGAAAACTAATGGTTTTCCAGACTTATAAAAGTCTAACATTTACTTTTCTAGACATTTTCCAGACTTTGCACGAACGCTTTCCGCACCTTATGAAATTGAGCAATTTTTGTGTCTGTATAAAAAGAGAAATAATGTAAACAGAGACTGGCAACTCGGGATATAGACATGATTTTTAATCCATTTTTATTTACTTAAACTTTTTAAAATAGAATAGAATCTCGTAGAAAAAAGAATTGCGCACCAAGTGAATGGCAAACAATATGTGTATAATAGTGCGGAATATTATTAATACTTTATAAATTCAATTTAGTTTTTGAGAAATCGGAAATGGCGTAAATTACTACTTCCGTCCAACGAAAATTACTCAAAATTTGAAAGAAGGCAGAACAGATTTTTTACTTATATATGAAATGTCGTTTATCTATCTGAAACAGTACTCAAGTTATAGGCTTTTGAAAAACTTAAAGTAGAATAAGTCCCACCTCCCGTTATCGGAAATCGCCGAAACGTTGATACAGAACTACAAATTTGATATAATACTTATATATGTAATTTCATCAACCTAGCTTTAACGGTACTCAAGTTATCGTGTTTACAGACATACACACAGACATACGGACAGAATTGCAAAACCCAGTTTTTCCGACTCAAATACGCATAAAACGCCGAAATTTTGATAAATCTTGATTTAGAATTTTCGCCCCATTAAAATATGTCCCCTATACTCCGTATGTGATGAAGTACTGAGGTGTAAAACGGAGAAAACTCGAAATTTCATTGTGATTTTTGTGCACGATTACAATACTTCATCTATACTTTGTATACGAGAAAGTAAAAACATGTTTACATTCACAGTGCATAATAAAGTTTAAAATTTAAATTAATTTTTTTAATTATATTTGTTTTGCTTAAAAGATCAAACTTGTTTTTTGTTTTGTTTAATGCACTAACGATCTGTTGGATCAGCTTTCCAGTTCGCATATATTGGTCTGGTTGTTCCATTAGACAGCACCCATGTCAGGTTAGAGTTTTCTTCATAGTAACTGACATAGTTACATAACGTCTGGAAGTCACAGGATGGCAAGTCAGTGGCTGTACAGGGTGGTTGTGTCACACTATGAACAAGATATTAACAAATATGCTTTTCGGGGAGGGGCGGACACTGTTAATATATATATATATATATATATATATATATATATATATATATATATATATATATATATATATATATATGTGTGTGTGTGTGTGTGTGTGGGTGCGTGCGTGCGTGTGTGTGTGTATGTATAAATTAGTACAACTGATTCGAATTTACATACTAAGCCAATTTTTTTAAATTAAAAAAAACAGCGTCTAAATCTAAATCATTTCATCATCTTTAGAAAATGTTGATGAGTGAAACATTCAGTTGACTATTTCGAAATTTTGCGAAGTTTTTTTTGAAATATGTAATCCTAGTTTACAATTTCACGTGAATTATTAGTTTACTTCATTTACAATTTCGAAATAAAATAACAATTAGAGGAAAATTATTTTCTGCTTGTGAAGGGATTAATAATTGTAAAATTAAACAGTAGGCACCACTTCGAAAATAGTTTTCAAAAGATACATTCCCCTTGTACTACGAATGTTGTCAGGTTTTCGATTCACAATGTAAGTCATTGATAATGTAACCCTCGTCTCTACCTTGTTGTAACAACTGTTGTTGTAGCTTCACACGGTAGATCAGCTGCTGTAACTTTGATGCCGTCTATTGACACTTTCTCTAATCCAGATATGGTCGAACTTTCAAAAGATATCTGCATTTCAAATATAACTGAGGGGACTGGTAGTATAAAATCATAGTGATGCAAAAGTAATGATTGTGTTGTATGAGCATACAAAGCTCTGTTTTGTAATTAACGAAAAATAAAACTACACGGATGATGTTGATAGTGTGTGTAGATAAAATCAGACTGTTGAGATAACAAAAACTATTCAAAAATAAATTGGTTAATGTAGATAATTGTTGGTTCTTTATTACCTGCACATTTCACTCATTAGTTAGGAACGTTACCCCAATCAAAATGTTTCGCAGGCTACATCGGGTAGCGAGTGGGGATTTTTAAAAATGTGGGAATTATTGATATTTTATTACTTTTAATTACTTTCTTCAGGAATGTCATCTTTCTGTTGGTTATCTCCCATTAATTATAAGTTATCACAATATCTAACCAGGAAGTAAGTGTGAGTGTTGTACGCATTTGTATGACATCATTTCATGAATGGATATATTTTCTCTAACAAAACAGTGTGTCGTTAAATATCGGTAATAACAAGAGAGCATATCTTTCAAGTCAAAGTGCAAGCATATCATAACTTACATGCCGTGAACCGTTGAGGCATGTAGAAAATGTCGCCATTTTCCACGCATATGTTGTAGTGAAGTTCTTCAACTCAAACACCACAGGGTCAGTTCTGTAGCTTGGACCGTACCCTGGTGTAGACTGTAGAAGTACCCGGATGTTGTGTTTACCGTTGATACCATTTGTTGCATAATGGAACTCTACACAGATGGCTGTGACGTCATGACTTATCTCAGCACTCATCATAGCCTTGCTTCCAACTGGCATTCCATTCTTGCCGTCCAAGTACACGTAGTAGCTTTCTTTAAAGTAAAAATTAAGTTTTTGAAGCTTGACAACCTATCGATTACATTTTTACATTATTTTCAAACTGCTACATAACTTGAAAATACTAATTAATTTTATATTAAAAAGTGAATAGATTAAGAAAGGACTGACATACATAGACGTCTTAAGCTTAATTGCTTTGTTGTTGTTGTTGTTGTTTTTTTTTTTTTTTTTTTGTGGTAAAATACTAGTCACACGGACATTATAGTGTGGAGGGTTATGTGGGGTTTGTTAATATCAATTTAAAATAACACGTACGGTCTGTAGAGCCAGGCGGTCTCCATAGACTGGCTAGAGGTTTCATTGGGCCACTGGCCAGGACCCAGCTTAGGTTAGTGCTGCCTTCATGATAGCTGATGTAGTTACAGACAGTCAAAAAATCACAAGATGGCGGCACTCTGTTTGTTGACCTACACTCCGGCAAGCTGGGGCTGGGTGTTGTAGCTGTGGATGCAACAGCTCAATAGTAATTTCTGTTAAATCAAACTGTTCAAGACTTGATGGCGACCTTTGAACATTTATTATATGATACTTTAATTTCCAAACAAGGATGGGACCGAAACTATACTTTCCCAATTTGATTGATTTTAAACTAGCGGTCTTCATATTTTTATATTTTATCTTCCCGCATTTCGTCAATTGTTATTTTAGTAGTTCAAGTAATTTTGGTGATTGTAATCTAAGTAGTTTTAGCAGAACCCCTTTAGCCATTTGTTTTGACAGACATGGGATTGTTTTTGTAGCTACTGCAACAGGCGGGTGAAAATCCACCATCTTACTTCACCCTTAACTCCTTAACCCTATTTCTTGCACTTTGGGTTTGGGTTTAGGAAACTAGCAACTACTGCCGTTATATGTCCAATGTTTGTAAACAAATGTATGTTACTTCATCATCATCACTGCCTGTCACTCTTGCTGGATTATGGATCGCCAACCAAAGACCTCCAGAGTCATCTGTCCTGTGCCATCTTCTCAACCTGACTCCAGACGAAGCCCATCTTTGTAGTTTCAGCCTGAATGTCCGTCGCCAGGTGTTTATGGCCGCCCTCTGTTGAGCTCTCCTTTAGGGTTCCGCCTCAATACCTGCGTGGTGATATTAGTTGGCGGTCAGCGCAGTGTGAGAGAATCTTCTTTTCCTAATTTCTTCTACAGCGGCAAATTGTCCTGTCGTTTCCCATAGGTGTGTGTTGTTGATGGTATCGGACCAGCGGATCCTGAGTATTCGTCTGAGGCAGCCGTTCATAAAATTCTGGACTTCATTTAGGTCGTCTTGGTCGTCCTCCAAGTATCCCCTATTCGACAACACTGATTTTACGTTGGAGTTATTAAGGGCGTGCCTTGGTGGAGAAGGAGAGCTCACTGGAAGTCTAGGTGTTCTTTGGCTGTGTGAAGGCGGCTCTTGCTTCACATATCCTTGCTTTAACATTTGCATCCGTCCCACCCTGATGGCAACAATACTACCTTAGTTGGTAAATGATGTTACTTCATACAGCATTCAAATTGAAGTGAAGAGATGAGACGACGGCTAATGTGTTTCAAAAACAAAGTAACAAGTTCAGTAAGGAGCAGTGTTTCTTTCAGGCATCTCTTCGGGGGAGGAGACGAAATAGAACAAAAAATAATTATTTATTTAGAAAATATATACTCCGCACCCCCCGTCCCCACCCCTCGGAAATTTAAGTGCTTCTTCTGACAACTGTTCATCAGTAATATTAATATTGAAGCAACTATAAACTGATCGCATGTACATAAATAGTTGATCCAGTATGGAAGGGATCTTAACAAAATTTATCTTTATTTGTGGAGGCTATTAATGCTAACAATAATGCTATGCCATTGAAGAGTACTTATTGATTAGACTGAGATTTATAAAGTTAGTGTCATACACAAGCACTACTTATGTCTTAATATTGAAGTCTGACAGAACAAGCAGATTAATCTATAATGTGTAAGTCCTAATTCCGTATATCTTCAAAAAACGTATATGAAATCGCCTTTTTTGAGATGTTTAAATGTTATATAGAGTACAGCGACAGAAACCAAATCAGAATTTTGTAACTTGCTGAAATCAAAGTGTTTACATTTTTGTACTTTTTGAAATGTTTATTTCCGAATATTATCTTAAAAAATTTTTCGGGGGGGGGGGGACACTAGTAAAAGGGTATGTTTACTATATAAATTCCATCTCGTTCGGGGGAGGGGGGGGGGGTAGACTTTCTTCTGGAAGAAACTCTTGTGAAGCGTTAACGGGTACCTTTACGGACAGTACTCTCGTTGCTGGCTATGTCATCTCTCATAAGGTTGTAGATGTCTTTCTAACTCGAATAATTTGCACATGATAGGATGTTAGACACAATTAAATATTACTGGTCAAATTGTTATGTGCCGTTGACTCCTATGTCAGCTTACTTTTCTCTCTGGAATTACTTCCATAGACTTAGTCCAAACTCGAGACTGCGTTTTTCCAGCCCGACCACGCCGATCCCATGATTCCTATCATCATCATCATCTTTTCCCTTTTGTGCCCAAGACACATAGGACCGCCACAGAAATCTCCCTCCACTTGTGTCGGTCTCCAGCAATTTTCCTGGCAGTCCCCCATGACAGTCCTGCCTCTGCCGGCTGCTTCCAGCCGCGCGCTGCCATGTATCCCTTGGCCTTCCGTGCTTTCTTTTTCCTTGAGGCGTCCAGTATAAAGCTATTCCTAGGATATCTTCTGGGCTCATTCTTAAGTAATCTTAAGACTAAGTTAAGACTAGCCCCATCCAGCGTGATCTTTTTTTTCGAATACTTCAGAAACTGCTTCCATTTCCATCTCCAAGTTTGGTTGTTTTTATTATTGGAGATATGATTCCAGTAATCCAGTGATACCAATTATTACTGAGCAGTTGAAACTCGACAGAATAAAAGAACCTGCAACACAAACTATTATAATCCGACTACATCTCCCTCTCCCCGCTAAAAATGTTACCTTTAAAAATCTGAAGAGAAAACTTACCAAATGCTCGGGCCACAGCCAGCTGTGTGAGGGCCACACATAAACTCCACGTGAGCCGCATGTCTGTTGGCTGTACTCAGCTTACACTGCTCAGTAATGATAAGTAATGGGTTGGACGTAAACAATAGGCCTACATCTGTATGTACGGTAAAAGGATGTTCTAGTTTCATTTTTCTAGTTATCTGATAAACTTCAACTGAAGTTAGCGTGCAGGCGTATCAGTAGATTGAGTTAAAATACAAGGATGGCGTCACGAATAGATTACAAAATAGCAAGTAATAAACCTTATCAATCAATTAAATATTGTACCAATAGCCGAACAGTAATGACATTTTAACTGCTTGGTTTTATGTCTGAATCTGGATCAAATTAACTTGGGACAAACCCTGCATTTGTTGTAGTTTTAACTAGGGGAAAACCCTGCAAGTGTGTGTTGTTTTCAAAGAATTAATTCAGGGTATTGTCCAATTTAATGCACGCACACAACCTTATGGATTATGGTAAAAGTACCAAAATACAGGCCTTTTCATGCTAATTATTTATGACAATAAAATCTGAAGTACGAGTTTCATATCCTCTTTTTATAATCTTTTTGGGTGTCGGGGGGTTAACTTTTTGGAGAGGCTTATCTGGAAAAGATCCTTAATTCTTTCGGGTAGTCAACTTGATTCTACTCAGTGGCGTAACTAGGTCGGGTGTAACTCGGTCACTGAGAGTATCTCCAAATATTGTTTTTCGGATTTGTGTCACCCCTCCCCGCTATTTTATTATTATTAACTAGATAAACCATTGTTTGACAGTAAATTTTGCGATCTATAGACTTGGTGTCACCCCCTAAATGTTGTCATAGGTGCGGCTGATTCTATTATTAGCTTAGAAATGTGATGTGCGCATACACTCACAACCTTTGTGTTGACAAACAGACCCCATCTCAAAACATTATGACCATTACTTAAGTTTTTCAGTTTTCCAATCTCTTTGTCGTGTGTTAATGTTAATACTCTGAAACATTTTTTTCTTCCATCTAAATTTTGGAAAAGGAGGAACACTTGAAGCGAAGAGTTAATTCCCCTTTTTGTCAATCTTTTTTTTAATCCATCTCCAGCATAAAAGGTTCCGTTAATAATAAATATAAATTTACAACTTTTTAATAGTCTCCATCTTAATAAATTATATATATATATATATATATATATATATATATAGGCCTATATATATATATATATATATATATATATATATATATATATATATATATATATATATATAGGCCTATATATTTATATATATATATAAAATATATACATAATAAGTATATTATACATACATGTGTATATATGTATATAGATATTATGTATATATGTATTTTTTTTAATATGAATTTGAAATGCCCTTCAACAAATAAAACCAAGAGCTAAAATCATGGCTGTTTATTCATATAACATAAATAAATCAGGGTTGCAAATACAAATTTATCATTACAAAAAACATCACCCAGGAAAACCAAAATGTATTTAATCAAGTCTAGCCACAGGAAATCAGGTGTTATTCAAAAGTTATTTTATTATAAGACTTCTATTTAATGAACATACAATATTTATTTCAAAAGAAATATGAGGCCATCATAAAAAAATGTGCAAATAAATCTGTATTGAAATCTGAAATTGTTAAGTCATCTCCTTACATTAAGTGTCAATAAATGATGGTGCCATTGTACTGACAGTTTTAAGATTGTAGACTGAAACTAATAGATAAATAATTAAGAGTTATCCCTCTTAAGTGAGTCCAGCAGATACAGCACATACACAAGCAGTGAAAGAGTACATTTATTTTTAACACACAAACAACCAGCAAAAAACATACAGGATTGGTGGTTGAAACATGAGAGTGTGTATGTACCCACCACATATGGCTCATTGTCACATTTAGCTATTTATTAAATCTCAGCAAATTGGCTTTAGTTCCTATCACAACAATAGTAAGCTAGAAATAAATAGAAAATTTACAAGATATTGTAGTAGCTGTAACATCTTTTGCAAATTAAACCTTTTTGTCATGTGAATTACACTGATTTTTTTTTTCAAATACATAAATAACTTGTAGAAAATGTAGCATCTAACTGGGATTTATTTTCCTTTGATTGGAAGGGAAAATAAAAACCTTAAAGATAGTTGTCTTAGTTTACACATTGTGTCTATAAGCCAGCACACCATAACTATAAATGATTGTTAAGTTGAACACATCCATCCTAACAGTTCATCTTTTGCTGTTTTTTAAACAGATCCAAAATACTAAAAATTAGTATTGTAACATGTTAAAATATTTCTTAACAATATGACAGAAAATTATAAACCTTACACTTTTAAATTAAATTAAATTTAGTAGCTCATTAATTAAATAAAAGATCATATTTGATTAGACATGAAATATTTGATACAGTATTTATAATAGTAACCAAGAAAAGAAAAAGCATTCATATTTGTGTGTGGTCTAAGTTAAAGTTGCCAGCCCACATATAAGATAGCATGATGACATATTCAAACCGCATTTAAGCATGACTCAACACTAAGGATGACCGGAGTGCGGTTTAAATGTGTGCCAAATGAGAAACAATTTCCTCCTCCGCCTAACACAATGATGTCATCTGAATCCAGCAGGATGGAGGTGTGGCGATGAAACATCAAAAGATTTTTTTTCTCCTGGTTCTGAAAGATAAAAATATCTTATATCTGATTCTTATGAAAAGAATTTATAAAACAATTGTTTTAATATCCTGAAGCACTTGGCATGTTGACACAGAGAGTAAAATAAACTATTTAGAGGACGTCCACTTACAGGCAGGGCAAACTCCATTGACCTTTGTGTTGTTAAGTTAATGACAGCAACTCCAGGGGGTGGGTGATGTGTGTTGACGCCACCAATTAAAACAATTTTATCCTCCACCAAGTGCGCTGTATGGGAATATCTAATGGGAAATAAATTATTTATTTAATTTCAACAATGCTAGAGTTGTTGACACAATGTTTTTCATGAAAGTCTCTCATTTTAAATGAAGACCAACAGCTACAATGAACTACAGCAGCATTAAATTAGTTGGTAAACAAAGCTCCAGAGTTCTCTCACCTGGGGTACAGGGTGCCTGTGATGTTTAGCTTGCTCCACACCCCACTGACCAGGTCCAGGCTCAAGACATCAGCAATAGGCTCATGGTAGGGATCCACCCCACCTGTCATGATGACATGACCATTCCAGTAACTGACACAGTGGGAGTGACGGGGCCCTGGCACCTCCCCTGTACATGTTAACTGTCAAATAACAATATTTCATTAGTAAACTACATATTCTTTAATTAACCAATAGATCAATTAAGATATAATCAAAGTGTGAGTATACATTTTGATTCAATTCTTCAAGAATTGTGTTCATGAGATAAATTAGTGAGACAACCTTCAGATGTGAATTTAAGGGAAGCCTAAAGACAAGTTCAAGTGAGTTCAAAGTTTGTTACATAGAAAACAGTTTTCAACATTTATCTCCCTTAAACTTTTTCCTGTATACCTCATGACACAGGCCTTTTTTTGTTAAAAAAAAGCTGTCCACTTCATTTTTAGCAAATGAGAAACATAGTGCTTTAGCTGAGTTAAGTGCCCTCTAAACACATGGTGTCTGGATGTTACAAAATGTTTTTTTTTTAAACAATCCTTTATAGTGATTGTAAACAATACAGAATCTAGTGTTATCAAGGCATTGCAGTAAATCAAAACAGAAAACTTTTTGTTTTTTCTTTCTTTAACAAGATATCTTGTTCTAAGTCAGGAATGGTATAAATGAACGATATAAATCGTAAACTTGTCCTGATTATCATTGTACAAGAAAAAACACACACTCAAGTCTAGATATCAGGAATAGGATCTATGAGGATGTACATGTGTTCTATATAATACTAAACACGCAGGAAGGTTAACGCAATCATTTTTTAAAAATAGAAATATGAGGTGCTTTTAGTTTTACATTAAATAATTGCTTTGTTAAAGCCCCAGTTAAAATTTTATGCAATATTTATTTATGGGTGTTGATAGAAATTTTTAAAATTACAGAATATTTATAAAAAGATGGTGAAAGAATACTTTAAATTTAAACTGTCAAATGTAAAAATTGTAAAGAATATTTAAACAATGATGTGTTTTCAGATGTATATCTCACAGTTAAAACACACTAAAAGAAAAGATGCTGCCTCTCACAGTCCTGCACTTAAAGGGAAAACCCATTGTGTTTAACGGATACATTTTTCAAATATTTTACACTTGCTTTACAAAAAACAATGTATCCTTACTCAAATATCAAGAGGTTACTATTTATATCTTTGAAATCAATGTTGTAACCGAGTATAAAAAGAGAGTAGACTACTTAAGTAGCTCATTCTAAATGTACAGTAGTAAATGTCTCACGGGACTGACAAATAATTAAAGTTTTACAGTTTAATGAATTTGTAAGCTGTGAAGTATTTCTAGATAAAGTTTAGGTCAAATTCAAACTCTCTATACAAAGGTTCACAATGTTTAAGATAAAAAAAAAAAATAACATTCATAGTCTTTATTTTTCATAGAAACAATGAATCATTTGAAGAGTTTTACAGTATGACCAACACTTGAGTGTAGTGATACAGACTCTAAATGTAGCTACTTCACTGGATGGAAACTTCTAATATCACAAGCAAATCTTTCCATCAATTTCAGTACACATCAGCTGACTAATTATGTTAGAAAATTTATCAAGTTGAAGGATTTGTGTTTAATTTGTGTTAAGATTTCATGGTTAGATAAAAGAATGAAAACACATATTGAAGACTAAACTGATGCAGTTGTATAATAAAGCCATGAATTCCAGCATCAATGGGCTCAATGAGTCCTTCGTGGAGATGTACAGAGAACAGTTAAGTGATGAGATGGCTCTGACACTCCTGCCAGCCATTTTGATACTGTGTTTTATTATCATCATTGGTCTGGTAGGGAACTGCCTTGTGTTTTATGTGTACTACTACAAATTTACATCCAGTTCTGCAAGGACTGCCATCTTGGTTCTTGCATTCTCTGATCTGATCACATGCACCATTAGTATCCCTGGAGAAATCATTGACATGCGCTACTCATACAACTTCACCAGTGAACTCCTTTGCCGGGGCGTTCGCCTGGTAGCAACTGTTGTGTTGATAGCCTCAGGTTTTGTTCTGGTGACCGTGGCGGTGGATCGCTACCAGAGAATCTGCCACCCGCTGGGGAACCACCTGACAGCCAAGGCTGTGTGGAAGCGTGTCTTGTTTCTCTATATACTGGCCACACTATTTGCTGTTCCGGCGCCCATTGTGTATGGTATCGCTGAAGTAGCCACGCCCATGTCTGGTGTTTATGGCAGCGAGTGCTCTACTAACCAATTCTTCAAAAGCCACCCACTTCCTATTGCCTACAGTGTTATCTTACTGCTAGTTTTTGTAACAGCCTTCACTATAATGATTGTAATATATGTCTTGATTGGACGTAAAGTCTTAAGACAAAACAAGTTTAGAAAGAATGTCAGAGTAAGGAAGGGAAGTATAGCATCTCAGGACACCAACCACAGACACACAGTGTGTAGCACCAGTCAAGAGAACGAGCCTTCATTGTCTGATGGAGTCAAGAACTCTTCAATTGTTCAAGAGGAACCAGAGAATAACATGCATCAGGAGGAATCAAAGTAAGTTTTGTTGCAGCTTTCAATCAGGTCATACACCTTAGCTACATTCTAGGCACAAGTAACACAAACAATTTACATTTAACCATTTGGTAGCATGTGTAGGCACAAGTAACACAAACAATTTACATTTAACCATTTGGTAGCATGTGTAGGCACAAGTAACACAAACAATTGAAATTTAACCATTTGGTAGCATGTGTGTAGGCACAAGTAACACACACAATTGAAATTAAACCATTTGGTAGCATGTGTAGGCACAAGTAACACAAACAATTCAAATTTAACATTTGGTAGCATGTGTAGGCACAAGTGACCCAAACAATTCAAATTTAACATTTGGTAGCATGTGTAGGCACAAGTGACCCAAACAATTCAAATTTAACCATTTGGTAGCATGTGTAGGCACAAGTAACACACACAATTGAAATTAAACCATTTGGTAGCATGTGTAGGCACAAGTGACTTAAACAATTACTAGCCCAAACCTAACTAACAACAACAACCACTCAATGAAACCTACCATCACTTGCATGGGTGTCACTTATTTAGTTCTATTTCTGAGTTCATGAGCTGTTTCAATACTAATGGCTTGAGTTTCACAGAGCTCAACTGTCTTACAATAATTATCACACTAGTCTTAAGTTAGATCACACAGACACCACATCAGCTAACCATATTTGTATTATTCTCCAGAGTAAAACAACACAACAACAACAACGGCACTAAGCTGACCAGAAAATCATCAGTAATCCGCCACCTGCGTAAGCTATCAAGCACCGGGGATGCACGCACTAGAAAAACAACCATGATGCTGTTCTTCATCACGCTGGTGTTTGTCCTGAGTTTCCTGCCCCACATAGCACTCAAAGCCGTGCAAGCTTTAAACAAAAACTTTATGTCCAGTCTCAGCGTAACAGGAGTTATTTTCTACAATATTTTTGTGCGCTCCTGTTTCTTCAACACAGCTGTCAATTTTTTTATATATGGTTTCTGCAGTCCAAAGTTTAGACACGAATGCAGAAACATCTTTTTGAAACTGACGTTTTGGATTAAAAACAAGAGGAGAGCCTCTATTCGAAGTGATGACATTCAGTAGCTTATACATTAACTGACTGTGCTAATGTGCGTTAATTAAATGTTTGAGGGAAAAGTTCATTTTAAAAAATTATGTCTTTATGCTTATACTGTTGATACTACTTTGTTCATAAATCAGGCGTGAAGATATTTATCAACTACGATATGAATACATAAAATTAATCTGAACTTTTAACATTAAGTTTCTATATTCTGTGGTTTAAATTCACATTATATGAAGGTCTAACTGATTGTTCAGGCATTTTAATTTCCCTGACCTATGATAAAAAAGTGCAAGCATTTTACCTGCACTATGAATGTCTGTCAAGTGTTAACTTTAACATCTATTCCCAACATTCCAATAATTAAGTCATCTATAATTTTAAGATTATCAACTGATATCTGAACCTGTCTCTCAATTATAAAGAAGAAGAACGAGCAATAAATTAAATCTGAACAAAATTATAATTGCCATTTCTATTTGAGTAACATGAAATCCAAGTCACTTAGATATTTCTTTTGGAATTTCACAAGATCATGTTATTATATTCATTTTACATTCTTACTGCTGGGTAAGAAACTTTATTTAAAAAATCAAGATTTTTATCAACCATCTTTTTCCTTCTAAATCTAAATATTTCATCAATTTTTTAAAAAATCACATGACAATTCCCCCACTCCCAATAATAATAGCACAATTTTCTAACCCACTTAAAAAAACATGATTCTAATGAAAGTTAACTTTTTTGTTGCTGTGAAGAAATACAACATCCAGTCATAGACATAACAATACCACATATGCAGAGATCTTTAATCAATGATATTTATGGTTACTAACTGAAGTAATGTAAATATTGAATGTTAACTATGAATTTATAAAAATGTACTGTAAATATTGAAAGAAATGTAAATTATGTAGTTTGTTTTTAACTTTTGTAAAAATATTGTGTACAATTTATTATACATTGGATACAGCAAAGTATTGTAACTACGTTACAAAATTTAAAGTTGAGTTGGATGCACTAATTTGAAGCTGAATGTTAACAAAGATTTTTAGATGGGGTTGATATTTTGGATGTTTCTAAAAGGGTACTAAAATATACTTGATTTAAATAGCTAATATATTTCTCCAGAGCACATATAAGTTCTTGTGTATATAGTGGACAATTAAAAATGAAACAATAGTGCTTAAGTAAAAGTTCTAAGGAGTTTCTTACCTTTAATAAGACTGCTAACAATTTAGACAGCATAATTATTTCATACTAGTGAGAAACTATTAAATCTTTCTATAAAAAATGTTTTGTATTCCATATTTCTTTTAGAGCTTGTGTGTGTATAGTGAATTAGAAGGGTTAAAATAATGGATCAGTATTTGATGTACTTCAAAAAATTAATGATTAATATGCTTAGAAAAAAAAAATTTTATGCAACAACTGTTTATTTTTTTATATAAAACAAATATATACAAAGAAATAACAAAGCCACAAAAAATACAAACAATAAGCAAAAATTACAATCAATCCATATTTAGATGAAAGAAACCTTACCTCACTCCAGCAGTTAGAGACTGGATCAAACAGGAAACTGTCCCCTAACACCTGACATGATTTTGTTTTCCCGCCATGAATAAATATCTTTTCCTGTCCTGTTGAGAAACATTCTAGTATATAATATACTATTTACATGTTAACATTCTGGTAGATATTACACCATTATAATGTTCTTCATTTTCTTTTAAGAAAAACTTAAGAAGATGACAAACTGTAAACCTTTAAGCTGAGGAATGTGTCAGTGCAAGACTCTAAAACCACATGACTAAAAGCATTCTGTCTTGTATAACTACAAGCTAGGTTTATTTCATTTTTTTAAATAAATATTGGGCTTAATATTCATTTTAAAATTTAATTATCACTCTATAGCATTGCTAGATTGACTCATCTCAGCTGCCATGCAATGATTAACACTGACATCTATTTCAATTCATGTAATGTTTAGTCATTAGGTAAACTATAAAAAAAACTTACCATCAACAACAACAGCCACAGCAGCATGCCTCCATCTTTCCTTTGGAACAAATCCTTTTTGTGAAACAATGCTAACCTCAACATGACCAAGCTGAAATGGCCATGACGTTGCAGACAAATCAGTATCTTTGTTGGATAAGTTACACTCTATATCATCAGCTTTATCACAGCAGATTACTGCCTCAGGCTCACAAGGATTAGACATCTCATCGTTATACTGAGGAGGTGCATCTTTTGGCTCTGTATTGTGTTCTTTCAAGCAATTCGATGACAAAGTTCTTTTACTGGCTACATGTTTTTCACTATGTAGTTCAGTATTTTTATAAGACTGTGTTGAAATGTTTTCCGTTGATTTTTCCACAAAAGAATTCAAGAGTCCACTGTTCGTGTGTGAATCACAATGTTGATGATCGGAACTGATAAATAAGTTTAATTTTAACATCTGATCACACATAAAGTAAGGGGACTGGCGTCCACCAATCAGAAATGTTGTTCCATCCGATAGTGTAACCGATGCATGGTGCATTCGTGAATCTAGAGATTATAAAAATATAAACAGATACATAAATATCCTTATAATAAACAAACAATTTTAGTGTATAGGGTTAAATATGTATTCAAATATCTTAATTTGTATATGCTACAGTGGCTGATTAATAAAAATGTTCTCAGACGTTAAGTTTTAATGTGAGGCCACAAAATTTGTTATCCAGAAATCCACTATGTTGACTAGAATCATAGAATTCTAAGTTCTGATGAAGATTCAGACATTACAAGGTGTGTCTCATGTTCTCATAAGTTCCCCGGTTCCCCATGAAGAAAGTAGATTAGTTAGAGTTGTCTGAAATATACTGGACAAACCTTAACTTGCCAGTGACTATACATGTCCAGAGTATTACCAATTTTGATATAAATATTGAAACAAACAATTAATTTAGAATGGAAAATGTACTTAAAATATCAAGGTCACCCTCATACACACTAAAAAATTAAAAGCAGCCATAAAGATGATGTTCTTACACTGTACATGATTCAAGTAGCATGGCACATGAAATGATTTAAACCCAACTGTATCTGTTATAGTAATTTCACAAAGTCGTTGATGGCGGCCATCAATTTCACCAAAACCCCCACTGGTTACAGCATATCTGTTGCTAATCAAGCTTGATGCATGTCCAAACCTTCTTACTGACTCATCATCCTCTGGTAATCGTTCAAAGGTTAACGAACTTGGCACGGATGGGGGCAAAAAAGTTGCTAATTGAGGAAAGCAAAAACATTTTTTACGTAAGACATCATCTTGATAAATTTCATTTTTTTATAGAGTTTCCCAATCAAATGATTACCTTTGAAATCAATTGATGTAGTTATATCGGTAATTAGGCTCTTAGCCAAATGAGTAGTTGATGCAGTGAGAATAAAATAATGGGAATACTTTAAATTTAATTCTTCATATTCATCAAATGTCTCCAAGCACTCAATGCGTCTTTTTTCTTCAGCTGGTACAAATTGATAATAAAATGTGTTCATATCAAAGGCCTCACACCATACCCAACCCTGAAAAGTAAATGATTGCAAGCTGTCAGAATTCTATAAGGTAATCACTGACACATGTTAACACTTCCAAGAAGGGTTCATACCCCCTCGGAAGTAAATTAGAACGATCCACCACCATTTAGAAAACTATCAAAGGTATCAATAGAAAAAACTAAAAAGTGTATTGAGGTAATAGCCTGGTACATTTACTTTAAACTTATATTAGTATGGGAAATTAAAATACCATAACATATAAGGACAACTAAAAATGTAGCTGTATTTGACAAACAAGAGATTGAATAAATGAAGTGACTTACTGTGTTGAGAAAACGTTTAAGCTGTGATTCCAGAGTAGGGAATGCATTAATACACTTAAGGGGTGAGCCAATAGAATGAAAGTGATGTTGCCTGTAGGTTGTAAAAAAAAACTTTAGTTAGTTCAATCCAGATGGATTTGACTAGTGTTTATAATATCTAAAGAACTCAATTTTCATTTTTTAAGTCTAATATACAAAATGTATGGGACGGTGTGGCAAAGCGGTAGGGAGCTAGACTGCTAACCCGAAAGTCTCGAGTTTGAATCCAGGTTCAAGTCAGTAGAATGTCCCTCAGTCTACCTAGCTCTGATGTGTACCTTACAGGGAAAACAAAGGCGGCTGGGCATAGTGCTGACCTCACTATCCCTTCATTTGTCGAGGTCTCTAAAACAGATGAACTCTACTTCATCTGCCCCATGTGTCATGAGCATTAACGGGTAAAAATGATATAAAATGTATTGATTTTTTTAATGTGTATAATGCTTACATGAAGAGGCCAAACGCATCATCTGGATTAATCTGTTGAATAAATTTACAAGTAAATTAATTATGACTATGAAAAGCTTTGAAATATAAATGAATAAATTAATTCAATAAAAAAATTATGTATAAGAATTTTTCTGGGTTCAATTGTCTCTGACATGTACAATACCTGCTCATACATTCCAAAAACTGCTTGTTCAAAAGTTTCAGAGGCCCACTTCACCAGCTCTGTAGAACTACAATTTTAAACAAAATGTTGAATGAAAAAGAACATTTTATAATAAAACAATTCTTAATTTAACTGATAATTTTGTAAGCAAAAAAAAAGTTATTTAAAGTCAGAATAAAGATAGAACAAAGCCATAATTTACCATCTGCGAGTCATGTATGTCAGTACACATTCTGAAAGCAGCAATGTTGGGACATCAAAGTTGACACCACAGATTTTGAGAGCAGCCTCTAGTGTGTTCAGCTGTGTTAGATCAACTCCCAGAAGGTGGTAATCCGAGCAACTTAATTCTGAAATAAACACAACAGATTTTAAGAAGTTTTTATTTTATTAATTGTTGTTTAGTTAGTTTTATGTTAAACATATTACTGAAAATTTCTCAAATTACTATATAAAGGTTTAATTTGACATGTATTAGACATTTTGTTGTAACAAACTCCACCTATATGAGGTGAGCACGGCTGTGCAGAATTTTTCTCAATTAATGCAAGAAGCTCATCAGTGTGGTCAATTAGAAGACATTTTCTCTTCACAACTTCTGGAAAATCAATCTAAGACAAAAAAAATAGAAATGCAAAATTGTGTGAATCACATAACAGTTTTAATGTGTCTTCTATAGATCAAAAATGTATTTAACATCAAACTCTTAAGTGACAGATCACAAAACACTCAGTCACTGTTTAATAATATACTTCTTTATTTTTAAAGGAAATTCAATTCAGAAGCTCACCTCACAAAATATTGTATTTTTAAGATGTCCACTAGCTTTAAGTCTGAAGTAAGTTGAATCAAAGCCACACCCAAGGGAGATAATCTAATACCGTTATTTAAAATTATAATGTATACAAAGTTCAGTAAAAAATACAATTAAAATGTTTAATTTTTTTCAAAATAGTTAAATTTCGTACTTTTGTTTCACTTTATAAAAAGAGTGAATATTTGATAATGTCAACTCTAGGTCAGTAACAAATGACTAAAATATAGTTATCAAATTAAATTTTAGTATTTTTAGCAACTAAAAATTCTTTGTATATCAACATAACTTTGCATTTATACCTGCTTTCTTGAATCTTTTCCAAAGACCTCTAGAAAGTTTTTTACAATTCTGTCAAAGGCAACAGCTCTAATGTAGTAACCTCTGTTTAAATAGAATTGATAAATAAAACAATTAAATTAAAAAGACTAAATAATTTGAACTGCTTCAGAAGGGAGTTCTTTCAATGTAGCACAGAATGATCTTAAGCTAATAATTTTGTAGTTATAGTGCAATTTTAAAAGCCTATGTCTAGCTTTAAAATATTGCTGAACAAAACTTTTTAAAATATTTCACCATACTTATACCATCCATGAGTTACTTAGGAAGAATGTTTATAAAAATTCTTATATGTTGTAGTTACAGAATTTTAAATATACATTAATATTAAATTATGTCATATAATTTTAATAGGCCTATTAAAGGTTAGAAGTTGCTATAATAAATACCTGTGTATTAGTGGTGCTCTTCTACTTAACTTGGAGACAAAGAAGTGAAGAAAAGGATCATTAAAATAACCACATGATGATGTAGAGCATTTACTCACAATACTACTGTCATTTGTGCCTTGGACCTATTAATAAATAATACATCTCTGAGTGAAAAAATTAATACTTTTTCTTTTCTAAAATTGTTCTACTACTAAATAAGTTAGAAGTGTAATATATTTTTATTTTAATCAGCAAGATAATGAGAAAGCATAAAACACTAACAGGAAATAAGGTATAGTAATAACAGTTATAAGACACTATAAGACTGTAAGATATTATATAATGACTAAGTTAAAGAGACTAATCTTGAAACTTCTATTAAGGCCATAAACTTAAGGGCTTAGGGGGGGGTCATCCATAAGTAAGTAAGATTGATGATTTTTACCTTCCAGTCCCCTTTGTCTCAAAAAGCCAGACATCCCCCCCCCCCCCCTCATAAAAATGACACCACACCTTGGCCTTCCACCACTGCCCTCAAAATTGCAGTTTGTTTTTTAAGACAATCAATTTCTTTCTATATTAATAAATTATTTAGGCCTAGTATTTAGCCTACTACTATTAAATCAATTGCTATAGAATTTTTAAAAATAATTATTTATTAATTAGCCTGGCATGGTGGCTAAAATAAAAATAATTTCAGTGAAATTCAGTTTCAAAATGACTTTTTAATAAATTAATAGGTCTACAAAAAAGTGTGGTTGCACTTTCTACTTTCTGAAATGTCGTCGTCCCCCCCCCCCCCCCCCCCCCCTCCTTCCACAAACTAAGAGTGTGATGTCGTTTCAGGACGTCCCATGGGCAGAAGTTGAGAAAAGTCCCCAAGCCCAGAATTTCACACTTCAAACTAACACAGTGTAGTGAAGTGTAACACTTCTTAGAAGATCTAGAATCTAGTTCTTAGTCATTTTAGTGACTTACGGCTGTCTCTCTCCGAGTTTTATTGGTTTTTCTGCCAACACTTTCCATTATTTATTATCTATTAAGTTAGATTTTGAATCTTAAGTTAAAATTTCATGAAGTAATATTGCTTAAATAATTTTAAAATATACAGATCTAGATCTAGACTGATTAAAACAATTTAATTCAATGTTTGGCTCTGCATTTTACTTGAAATTTTATTGTGACAGTCAATACTAAAAGTAAAACTGTCGACATATTCTAGAAATATTAGAGTAGCCTCCCCTAAAACCATTTAAAAAAACAAATTATTTCACCAGGTCGAAATTCATTCTTTTTAACAATAAAACTGATTAATTTAGGCCTAGTCTACTAAAATATTATGCCTAGGCCCTATATAAATACAATAATTTTAATAATATAGAATTATTGAAAGCCTATTAGTAAAAATCAAGTAAATTGGGCCTAATATGTTTTATTTTTCTTATTTAAAAGACAACATAAAGTTTGAACCCTTTATTTTTTATTTTTGGTTATTAAACTAGCATTTTTAATAAACTACTAGACTATTTCCGTATGGTTGCTACATTCAACAAATATGGCGGACACTACGTCGAATAAATCTTCAAGCAAGATAAACGAAGTTACAGTTTTTAACCAGGATCAAGATTACAATTATTATGAGGTTGAAAAACATTTACAAGAACGTGTACTTGCTGTTACAGCTGTGGAGAAAAATGATGAGATGTTTAGGTATATATCCTTAGCCCCTGACCTTTACCCAGTGCCCATTTTTTAAAAATTCTGACTTGGCCAACTTTTTTACCTAGGGCTAGACTAGACTACTAGAGTAACAGAGTTAGAGTCTAAATAAATTAGTTAGATCTAATAATTATTTGCAATCTACATCTAGGTCTAACTTTAATTTAAATTTAGTAAGACAAGCTAATAATTAATTGGAAATATAGTATTATAGGCCTACATCAATTTATTACAGCATTTTATAATTATTTAATTATCAATATTAAATAGGATGAGCTGCTATTTTTAACTGTTTAATAAATTCTAATAGATAATCTATCATGCTTATTTCATAACTAATAGTAGGCATATTGTTATAAAATTAATATTAGTACTCTCTTTTAGTCAGTAATATAATTTATTTTTAATATTTACTCACACATGCAGTATTAAAATTTACAAAACTGTATTTAATATTTATCATTCTACAGGCCATCACTGTCTGATAACACCAAAATTGGATTCTTTAGTCTGGATCGATCATCACAAACAGAAGTATCAGAAATGATAGATTTAAAGGATATGACAAAAGTTTTACAAACTTTATTACAGGTAAATCCAATTTAGAGAAAAAAGAAGTGATTATTTGTTAAATTATAAACATTAATTCGTTTTAAAATAATTTTATGATTAGATTTAATATTCTATGATTAATGCTGTAAAAAATGTTGATGGAGTAAAAGGGAGACTAATTTATTTACTTTAGAGTTGGGAATCAATTTAGTTTTCTCTGATAGTTTAGAATTAGATGCAACTGCTTGTATTGAATTAGCTAATTCGCTGGACTTGAATCTCAATTAAAAAATTATATATATATATATATATATATATATATATATATATATATATATATATATATATATATATATATATATATATATATATATATATATATATATATATATATATATATATATATATATATATATATATATATATATATATATATATATATATATATGAAAAGAAAAAGATTATCTGTTCAGGGCTTTAAACCAAATGCATGTGTATTTTACATAATCTCTCTCAGGATGCATCAAATCTTCGTAGAGACATTAACTTTTCAAAACATGTCATTCAAGCAGATCATGAATCAAAACTTCAAGAAAAGTCTCTAGAATTGTAAGATTTATCTGTCTTTGTGAAACCTTCATTTTTAAAGTTAATTATTTTAGCTGGCTTTTAAAGAAGACAATGTAGAAGCATGGTACTTGCTTGTTGAATTTACAGTAGGCAAAAAGTTGATTCAATTTTTGGTTAGCATTTATAATCACCTTTTCCCACTCTTGCCCAAGACACAAGGGGCAGATGAATTAGGGATAGTATGTTCAACACTATATCCAGCTGCCTTTATTTCTCTAACATTAGTTAGCTACCCATCAGAGCTGGGTGGACTCATGGGCATTCTATTTACTTGAAACTGGATACTAACTAAAAAATATCAGGTTAGCAGTCTAGCTCTCTATTGCTAGGCCATGCCATTCCATATTGTTAGCATTACTTGTCTCTTTTGTTTTAACAGAAAGTACTGAAAATTTCATTTGAAAAACTTCTTTATTAGATGATAATATTGTTTAAAAAACCTGTTGTTATAATGTTTATGATATACTTTTGTAAAATTATTTACAAATGTATGTGTATTTAACAGATATTGCAGAATAAATGAAAAAGTAACTGAACTCGAGAAGATGCATCAAGATGTAAGTAAAAAATGTTTTTGAAGAATTTCTTTAAAAATTTATAAGTTCATATACACCTAATATGTTTTATTCAACACAGACTTAAATATAATAAAGCTATATTACAAACTATTTTTCTCATCCTTTTTACAGAGAGTTAATGCACTTCGCAAAGCTTTTCGGCAACAGCTGGCAGATGCTATAGCAAGATTATCACTTCATTTCAGTGTATGTAGTGATATATCATATTTATAACTTAGAAGTTATCATATATATTCATTACACTTAATGCAAATTTTAAGGTTTTATCTGATTTCTTTTTTAATTTTAATTTCATTGAAATCAGAAAAATCTTCAAACAAAAATAAATAAAGAGAAATCAAAGCAGGAAAATAGTCTAGCAAGCAAAGAAGAAAAATTCAGAGAGATGCAAGCTACAATACTTCGCAATGAAGGTATAATACAAATGCTCAAGGCCCAATTGCAGCAACAACAAATGAAAGATGAAGATGAGGATGAAAGATTTTTAAACAGAGAATTATCTGAAGAGGCTTCTGTAAGTGGACAGTTTTTATTTTTTAAAATAAACTTCTTTAACTAATTAATTAAATTATAGTAGCTATTATTAATGTATAATTGTAAAAATCATTTTATAATTGACACCTTAAGTACATGTTTTCTTTTGATAGCATTTTAGTTAATAAAGCAAAATGAAATAATTCAGCATAGCATCTTATATTCTCATATAGAAAATTGTTTTACTTGAATATATTTCTTATATTTAGCCTCAACCAGATTTGCAGGATGAGATCAATGCATTGCAGGAAGAACTAGAAGAATCCAAGAAAAACCTGGAAAAGTCAGAAAAAAACATTAGCAGACTTGAAGAAACTTTAGAAATCAAAGAGAAAGAAATATTAAGACTTGGTAGTTTCTTTTCTAAAATGAGATACTGTACCCAATATTTAAAACATTGTTTTTTATTCAATGACTAAATGATAAGCTTGTTCTATAAACATATTCTCTTAAAATAAATCATCAGAGAACTATATTTAAATGTCACAGCAAAAATACAACAGAACAAAAATACAACACAGCAAAAATACAACAGAACAGAAATACAACACAACAAAAATACATGACCCAACACATCACAGCAGCCTGATCAGTACAATGAAATACTAAACCATATCATATTATAGGATTTACACATTGCAACAGCCTTATCAGTACAATACAACACTAAAACATACCATACCATAAGATTTACATATTGCAACAGCTTTATCAGTACAATACAATACTAAACCATACAATACCATAGGATTTACGCACACTGATACTAAACGTAATGCACATTTCTTTATATTTTACTCTTTCCTGTTGTTTTTGAATGTTTGCATCTAGTGCAAAAAAGGTGCATACAATAATATAATTATAAACCACACCTTATTAAAAATGTTATTAATTCAAACACAATTTTATTTTTCATGGCTTACACTTTTAAAGTGGCTGTGGACCTCCTTTCAGGCTTTAGATTTTTACTCAGGGCATCTATATAGACCCTAAGTTGATATATATTTATACTTTTTAAAATTGTAGATTTCAATGTTTTAATTTTTAATGTTTATGATTCTGTTTTAAAGAGAAAGATTTAAGTACCCTAAAAGAACAGTTTGAGAGAAGCAGTATTCTGATTCAACAGGTAGGCCTGTCTTACAGTTTCTTACACCATAATAGAAGAAATAAATCTTAAGCTAACCACTGTGAATATTTTCTCTCATATTATCCAATTTACTCAATTCTATTTTCAAACAGATGAAACAGGAACAAATGGAGATGGCTGATGAAGCTGCAAGAGAAAAAGAGAATTCTAAAAAACTGGTAAGTTGTTTTTTTTAATTTTACAACTCAAATAACTGATCAGACTCATATCTTTATCATAATCAACATTGGCTGTATTTACCTATGCAATATTTTATATGGCTGATCACTACATTTTATTTTTTTTTTTAAAGCTGGGAAACCAAAAGGATGAAATGAAACGAATGATGGATGAACAAATACGGCTTGCTAAAGAAGAAGTAAGCAAATTATATTTTAATAATTAAAAATAGAAGTAGCAAATTATATTTTAATAATTAAAAATAGAAGTAGCAAATTTTATTTTAATAATTAAAAATAAAAGTAGCAAATTATATTTTAATAATTAAAAGTAGAAGTAAGCAATTTTTTAACATGCTCATTTTTCATACAGGGAACATATTTACAAAATATTAATATTATGTTGTATTAAAATTATAAATGAAAACTCAACAGGCTTTGAAAAAATTGAATGAAGAAGCACAAAAAATGACCGGGGATCAGGCTAAGATCAAACAGCTGCAAATCCAAGTTGCAACATTAGAGTCACAGCTGGCAAAGGTGGGTAAAACACTTTACTCTGAGATTCACTTCTTGTCTTGTCTTTGAATGAATACTGTATCTATTTTTAAAACATTTTATTACAAATTTTGTAACAAATCAAGTGATGTATCTTGTTGTTTACTGATACCCAATTTTTGGCAACCGTTTTTCCACTTTTTTAACTTTTGTCAGTTTTGTAACATAAAAAGCTAGATGTTTCAATATAAGACTGTTGCATTTCAATATACTCAATCATAAGGAAAAAGAAAAGGTGACAATATTAACCAACAATGCCTCAAAGTCAGAAACACAGAAAGATTCAGAAAGCAAGTTGAGGGCAGAAATTATCAGGTAAAACTTAGCACAAGGACAAATTCATAAATTAGGAATGTCTGAATAACAATAACTTAATGAATTCTATAAGCATTGAAGTAATCTAACATTAATCTATTTTATAATTAACATACATTCACATAGACTATTTGTTATTTTTTAAAATTCCTTTTTTGTGCCATTGGTAGGCTTCAGTCAGAACTAGAAAAAACACATCAAATGTGGGAAAAGAAGTTTGCAATTTTACAACAAAGGTAACTTTCTAAAATAATGTTAAATCAGTTGTAGCCTCTACCAAGTTTTTTGTAAATTTGTAATGTTGACAATGGTGGATGCCCTCATAGAAAACTTCATGTTTCAGCATGCATGCTCTGAAAGATGAGAGTTACTTAAGGCAAACCTTACAGAGGCAAGCTGCACAGTTGCACAAAGCTGCAGTTAGCTACTCTGTATGCATTTTCTTTACAACTTGTATTGATGCTATTTTAAGTCAAAAATCAATTTTGTATTAAAATGTTCAAAACATTTTTCTAATGCTCTCTATAATTTCTAGTAAAAAGCTATACATATAAAAATTTAGCCTCTAATCAATTATATTCCCATGAACCTTATAAAAATAATGAGTATATACTTTTCAAATTAGGTTGACAAGCCATCTGGTGTAGCACCTATAAAAGAATATCCATCAAGCCCAAAAGCACCTTTGGTAATCCTAAAGCATTGTATTTTTTAATTTTAATATTTATGTTTTAATTAATAAATAATCCAGTAACTTACATTGAATGCAAATTATTTCAAAATAATTTAGCCTGAAATAGGGAGAAGAGGAAGTCGAGGGGGAAATCAAGCACAGGACAGAGATTACATCTCATACACAGTATCAGCTCCTAGTGGCAGAGGAACAGACATGTTTTCACCTGATGGTAAGACTTGTACATACATGTAGTGAAGAATCACATGTTGTTTTAGGCTAAAATACTACTTTATTCATTCATTTCTCAAACATGTAACTGTATCATTGACCAGAAAACCAGATAATGTTTGACAATGAGATAGAGATGATCCCCTCAGATGTAATGCTGTTGCCAGAACCACCACAAAAGTAAGTTTAAAAAAATATATTGAATTAAAACCAAATTCAACAGAATTTTAGCTAAAATCTATTCACTCTTTTACATAATAATCATTGACATTTTTTTTCCTAAGAAAATGTATATACCAAGTCACTTAATAACTATGTATTGTTTGAACAACTTTTTATTTTCAGAAATAGAAAAGATTTCAATGTAGAAAGTAGACCATCCTCTCAATCAAAGGCAATGAATATATCAACTATTGCTGTTAAATAGGCTAATTAGCAATAAACAGTTTCTTCCAGCCCCCCCCCCCCCCCCCAGGAAGTCTACCCCCCCTCCCAGAAAATTTCTAGAGCCCCCCTGGAAAAAAAAGTCTGGAAGAAACACTGGCAATAAATGTGTAAAGTTTTATTACACCTGTATAATTATATACTCTCAAACAGATGTTTTAAAGAGATATGAGCCAGCTTATTTGAGAACTTGGAAGAGTTTTATGAATGACGTTTTAAGATCAAGTTTAATTTTCTATGCTCACTAATAGTCTCTATCTCCTTTAAATCTGTAAAAACTCCAAAGATGAATGTTCCAAATTTTAATCAATAAGTGCCAAATCTGTATAAAAATGAACCCAAAAAATAATTAAAGGAATATTAATTTATGTGAAAAATGTATATTTTAATTTTGATAATAAACACAAAGCAATAATTCTAGAAGTAATTTATGTGAAAAATGTATTGCTAACATTTGTTTTCAAACTGTGATATTTTATTTGTGTTATGTTCACATGTACTTGCGGACTGAAAATAAACTGAATGAAAACATTAACTTTTATGGCTTTGGGAAAATAATTTAGATACCACATTATGCAAGAGCTATTTCAAGTCCCACAGCACACTGTGATTTCATCATTAGGCAATGCCACCTATCTTTTGTATTTGGCCTTTTCAATCCACTTATCAATTTATCACACAGATTGAAATTTTTTAAAAAGGTAATGAGTAGCCACAAATGAAACTTATTTGTTTTATTACTAATTAGACTAGTTGCAATTATTACTCTTTGGCTTCTGTGACTGCGTTACACAGCACTTAAATATAAGTCTGCAAACAAATGAAAGAACTCTGTTCAAATTTTCTGGGAATTTGATGCTGAACAGATACACTTCAAGTCTCAAGTTTAGAAAGTGATGGTCAATAGATGAAGTAGAGTTTACCTGTTTCTGTGATTACTATTTTGAGTTTGGTGGTATCAGAGACATCCTACAGACTTAAGAAAGAAACTTTTTCTTGAGACTTTCTAACTAGCAGTAATGCTTTCTACTGCCTGGCTATGCAATTCCATAAAATATTTTTACTGGAAAATTCAGTAAATTCAAGAAAAGCAAAAAAAATCTACCACAAAATAATTTCTTATATAATTATATTGATCATGTTTTCTTTCAAGCTGCTGAGCACCTTCACAAAAAAATGTAATACTTCAGTAGCAGTCATGCGATAACGGGATTAGAATTTTCAAAATTATAGCTTTGTCAACAGACAGAACTGATATGTAAAACAGGTCACAAATAACTTTTGAATCCTGACAGCTACCCTGAATGCTGGTTCACTGTCTAAAACAAAACAAACTGTGCACCTTTCTGAACCTCACAATGTTTTCTACGAAGTCTGAAAAGTTGGCTTTAATTTTCAAGTACTTTTAAAATATTCATGCTCTTTATAGCATCTGTATAAGACTAGCGAGGACATATGATTCCACAATGACTGCTAATTAATCGGCTTACATAATTTAATGTTATACAAATGTGGAAAGTGAAATTGATGAAAAATAAGGGTGTAATCATTGCCCACTAAACTTAATAAGGATGTAATTTTAAAATCATAATAAATTGAAAACCTTTAGGCCTATATTTCATAACTAAAGAATAATTGGAAAAAAAAATATATATTTCTTTATAAAAAAATGATTCTTTACATTTAATATTAAATGTTACATATTTCCTGTATTTCCTAAATCTTCTGTCTAAATTTTTTTTTTTAAATCAACACTTGAAGTGCAGTCAAGGTAAACCAATTTGTGAGTGGGTAGACATAACAAGTAAACACATGATAAAATTTTGATACTTTTAATTTCCCTTGTCAATTGTGCAAAATCAAGCAGAGATAAATGTTAACAACTTTTTAATTAGATCTATATGTACAGTGATTTTATAGGGAAAAACAACAAGCTATGGAACATGTTTAAAACCTTATTTTCATGAACATATACAGTTAATGTTTGAACTATTGTTACAAGTGCCAGCAACTGAGGGTACTAGACTATCTATACATACATATATCAGGTCACATTGTAGATCCTTTACAAAAAATGTATACTTGAACAAAATATATAATTTACCAGGTTCAAACAAAAATACTTTAAAACATGCTCAGTTTTAGAGTATTCAGCAATTAACATAAAGGATAGTGACATGTGAATATGACATTTAATCTTATATACAGCAAAGGTAAAGATTATAATAAAAAAAAACAAGCTACTGTACTGCCCGTACGTTCAAGACATTGGGCTTACTATGTAGGAAGGTTGTTTCTTTGTCAGCTGATGTTAAGTATCATGATGTATTCCTCATTCCACCATTAATCCGAAATAAAACAGCTAGTACTTATGAAAATATTGCCATTTATTTTTAGTAACAGTAAATAAAGATTTAAAAATGTAAAACTACATAATATTTATCTTTTTTTTTTTATTTAAATTAAAAACTTTCCATCTACCTCCATGGTTAAATAAATGTTTAAAAATTCATTTTAAAAAATTATAATTGATTTTGATTTAACATTATTTTGTACATTTGTTTCTTTTCTGATTGATAAAAATGTGTTGTGTTTAACCTTTTAAGCTAGTACTACTTTTTTAAAATAAAAAAAAAGGTAAAAATCTGCTATCAAATTACATGATTAAAAGATAGAGCAAGCTATGATATATGAGTGACCATAAAAACAAAATTTACACTACTTTTAGGACAGGAATGTTGTAAAACATGATTACAAAGAATAGAAATACATTTTAGAAGTAACTTAAAATTCTAACTGTCTGTCTTAAACATTTTAATTCATTCATAATCTAAGGAATTCCAATACATGCTATCTTGTTTGATACCAAATAAAATCAGTTTTTTTTCTCAAATGGCTGTTAATATGTTTTAGGCTTAGTGCTAAGTGCCGAGAGTAAAAAGTGCCTGGTTGAGATTAATTTCATCACAACCTGATGAGAGATCACAAAGTTTAGAGACAGGAATCTAAAGGAAATAAAAGACAATTATCTCTTGCTGTATTCTGAATATTTAACATAACAAGCTAGCTTTTTTTTAAAATTTGAACAAGACTAAAACATAAACAAAAGATTGCATCTCATTATTTCATTGATAATCTACTATCTAGTAGAGGCAAAAATCACAGCCTTATAATAAGCACTTTAGGTGCTAGTTTAAAATGTTTAGAACACAAGTTTGTATTGGTGAATAAAAAATATCAGACGAAGAGTAATTGCTTTTACTTAACATCAATTTTAAAGTGCCAATTTTGTTTTCTAGTAAGAGTAGATAAAACGCCCATAACCTGACTAGATAATTACAATTGATTCAAGATCATTATAGAAAAAAATTCATAGAAGAAATAAAGATTTGTAAAGTTTTACATAAAAAAAAAAGAATACAAATTAGTAGGTCAGTTAAGCGTGCATTAGCTAATATTAGAAATAAAAATTGTGAGTATAATCTTCTTTACCTCACTCATAGGTTTTCCTTTTTCACCCTGTAAGAATGATCACTACAATCATTTGCTTATCTTTTAATATAAAATTTAATGTAAACAATTTCCTGTGATGAGCATCTTCTGCTTTATGGAAACTTAATTATTTCATATACTTCAACATAAGAAGCCAGTAATGAAGTAATATCCACCTGGATTTGGCTCTCACAAAAAAAAAACTTTTAGATAAATTTTGTTTGAAATTTATTTAGAAAAAGGAATGTCTAGAGTTATCTGGCAATAGATTTTAGGATGTGTGAAATTGATAGGGGACAAAAATGAAGCAAATGTATTACAAATTGAAGATAGTAACAATAATGATTTCAAACAGTAAACATTATTTGGAGCCAACTGGGTGGATAAACCTCAAGTCTATGACCTCAAGTCAAGTTGAGCTTTTATCAGATCAGCTGGTTAATATACACAATGGTATGATTACAGCCATTTTTGTCCAAAAATTATTGTGATAAAAAATTAAATGCTGAGGCAATTTTTTCACAGAGCAGAGGAATGGCAACAAAGGAAAAATGTAATTCATAAATATATTTTTTGGCTGAGAATTTATTTAAAAGTTGATCTTATAAATCCAAGAAAGCAAAATACAGCATGTATATAAAAAAAATCAAAAATAAAATGTAAAACATTTAACATTTCATTCCATTCAGAAAAAATACTAACATATTTTAGTTAGGTAAAATCCACAGTAAAAAAAAGATAAAAAATTGTTGTACATTTCCATTTACTAATTTCTTGCACCAATTTTATAAAGGATTATGTAAATGACAAGCAAGTGTAGTTCAAATGAAAATCTGTTTAAACATAGTAACAAAGCATCAAATGAAATACACCAGTCTCATCAAAATAAAAATGTTGACAGGAAACTACATACAGAGAATAAAAATAACAGATGAACAACTTTGCTTAAAATAAATCTTTTACACTGGTTTGTTTTCAATATGTACAACATACCTGATCAAAGGTGATATAAATTGTAAAATAATGACACCCTCTCAAAAAGCTTTTTGAACTACTGGTCTGTAAAACCTATTTTTAAAAAGTATAACTTTTTTTTAATTAGGAGTACTTTTATTTTATGAAGAGAATTTCTCTAACAGAAAAGGTGTAAAGGATAATTTAAGTGAAGTTGAAGTTAAGACCTAAAAAATTATTTTAATCATTATCTTGCATAGAGAGTGAGCACTGACCTAAGGGGAAATGACAGACAGAAACTTTTGATTTCAGTAAGAAGTGAAGGCTTTAAAACTGTTATTCAAATATAAATATAAAATAATTTACATTATTATTCAATGGGTTATAAATACCAGTCAGTTTTTAGAAGCACAAGTGGTTACTGAATAACATTGCATTGATAAATGTATCTCATTCACCATGATCCAGTCTGTAAGAAGGCTTGTGTGCCTGATGTTATTTGTTGATTTCTATTTCATCTCTTTTTCATTTCTCTTGCGACGACATACTCGTTTATGATCTTTATGCCAATGTGCTTGCTGGCATGTGACGCTGCAGTAGGATGTGTTCCAACAACAGTGGTACATAGCCTCCTCTTCACAGTTTTGACACTGAAAAAATTAATGTCAATTACAAAACTTTGACCAGTTTTTTGTCTTATTTCAATCTTGACATCAATTTAAATAAAATAAGAACATGGCGCTATTTTACAAAAATTAAAAACAAAAGGTCATAAATCACAGACTTTAATAAAGTCTTTATTTTTAAACAAGAAGCAATAAAAAAAGGTCCACAATTACCCATTGTTTTTTCTTGACTTGAGAAATGGCATCCTTATGTTTAGCAGCCAGTTTCTTCATTTCTTCCATGTATTGTTCTCGAGTTTTGTCTTCCCCTGCTTTCCTGGCTTTTTCTACTTCTAATTTCATGCTAGCCATTGTTCGTTCTACTGCTTGCTGCTTGTCTTTTCCAAAGTCCTCTTCCAACTGATGTTAAAAATTACAGTTAAATCTCTAATCAAAATTCAAAATATTGATTCTAATTTTTATAGTATATTTTATATAATACTATTTCAATGTGGTAAGAAGCATAGCAACTACCTTTTTTTTCTGTAAGTGCTACACAAATAAAACAAAATGTGTACCTGTCGTGATAATTCTTTAAGTGCCAATGATTTATCTTCTTCAAACTTTTCTTCCAGTCTTTTGGTAAGATTGGCCATCGCTAAAGTCATTCTTTCCTCCAACTTCTGATCATTTGTCTCTTCTTTCAGATCAAATGATGGTGAAGATTTTATATAAGCCTTGGGATCAATAAAATTCTCAACAGAAACTGAACTGTCCACCTCAGTCTGTGAGCTTGTGCTTTCCAACTTCTATAGGAAACAAAGTATCAATGCTTGACAGTTAAATTTTTTTTTAAGAAAACAATTTCATTTAAATTTAGATGAAAGCAAACACAAAATTACTTGTAAAGACTGCATAATAGTGTTCAATACAATATTTATATAAACTTTGGCAATAATTTTTTAAACATTTTTAGGGCATTTGATATCAAATCAGCTTCAGCATCCTGAACAGGCTAAATTAAGATACAGATAACAGTATAAGAACTCACCACAGACAATGTCTGGACAGCTGTGGAGGTTGTTGGAACAACTATATTGTTAACAACTTTGTCAACACTTGAAGTAACAGTATAAGACTCATCATGACTGTTCAACTAGAAAAAAAGAGTGAATAATGGGTTTTTTACTGTACGCAATCTTAAAAGTCAAAATTCAGGAGACTAGTTATTTCTTTCTTTTTAATTTACAATTTTCTAGTTGTACACTCAAATATTTGTAACAGTACCTTAGAGGATTTCCTTTTTCTCATTTTAGCATTTTTTTCAACACTTGTAGAAGTAACTTGTCTATTATCAAACTCATCTTCCATGTCCATCAGACTGTCAATGTCCTCGTCATCCTCTCTGTGCCGCTTAACTCCCTTTTTACTTCCAACAGATCCTATCAAGGTTCAACAGTTAAAATTAAATATTTCATCAACAGACACATTAAAGTTTCTAAGAATGATAATTTTTTTTTACAAATTATCAAAAGTACATTCAATGTAAGATTAAATTCAAGTGCAGTATATTTTTCTATTCCAAATTAATAATTGGGGTGCATGAATAATCTTGCATTGCTCTACCTTTAGTTTGTGAACTTTCTCTACGTTTAGCTGGTGTCTTTTTAGGTGTTCGCTTTTTGGCTACATCCTCATCTTCAATCTCAGACAGATCTTTCTTCCCTGTGACTTGATCTTTTATTTCATCTTGTATTTCTTCTTCCTCTTCTCCTATTTCCTCTTCCTCTTCTTCTTCTTCCTCTTCTACCTCTTCTTCTTCCTCTTCTTCTTCTTCTGATTCTTGTTTTTCTCCATTAGCTTCAATGTCTTGTTCTCTTTCTTCTAAGATTTCCTGATACCTTTTGAGTTCTTTCATGGCTTTTATAAAACCTGCATAAATTAAACAGAATCATTAGCTAATACTTCTCGATTTCACATACTGAGCGTAGATATATATGTTGTTAAATGTTAACCTTTTTTAAAGAAAAGAGGCATAACAAAATCTCTATTTACAAAAGGCTAATTTGAGAATGAAACGAATATTTAGATTAAATTAAAGCATTACAAGTTTATAAGGACAAATTTACCAGCTGTTTTTTTTATTGTCATTGTTTTCAAATCAGTTGTGATGGGCTTAATGTATTCTGCAGGTATCACAGCTCTAAAAATAATACACAAAGAAATACACTAATTAATAAAATATTTCAAAATGCATCATACAATTAAAAGCTTGTTATATAAAGTCATTTTTTGGCTGCCAAAAAACTGCCAATATGTATACAAACAATGTATACATACCTCTGGTGCCAACCTCCAAAGAAACGAACATCAGATTTACCACCTAAATCACGAACAACCTTTGCTGGCCAATAACTATATCCCTTCTGTTTGGCATACACAATATCATGTGGAGGGTTCTGTAGAATACACAAATAAATTTACTTTCAAATAAATTAAATGTGGAAATTATAATACTGATACTTGTGGGTCTATTTTCCAAAAATGTTATTTTTCTTTTTTTTTTAAGGAAAAAACAATACATTTTTTAAAAAGTTGAAGGGAAAATTAGTTTAAAGTCACTTACACAGGGTTGAGAAAACCAATCTTCTGGTTTTGCATTTGACATGTAGTAGCAGTTAGGGCACAGTTCTATTTCATCCAGCTTAAAAAATATTAATGAGTATATTTGTCTAAATTTTAAACAACAGATATGGATATTTGCTTATAAAATAACCTTTGTTCAGTATTTGCAGTTTTTTTAATTCGAAGGAGGCTATGTGAAATAAAAAAAATTCTAATTTAATTTTAATTAACTTCGACTAATATTTTATTATTGTAACATAAACACATTTAAGTAGAATATCTGTTTTTTCACAATAATAAAACCTATCATAAAATCACATATCATGGAAAATAAATCAGATATGTCATTGAAATTATTCACATTTACTTACATCATATTTGCAATCTTTAACCATAATCACAGCAAGCTCAGCCAGTCCATTTTTATCTTCTGTAAACACAGAAATTACTTTCATGTTTGGAATTACAGTTTGCTATTGGATTATACCAAACACAATCAAATAAATTATCCTTAATGTCATTGCATTACTAACCTCCAAATAACAGTGTGCAGTTATGAAGAATGGTACGAGCATCAGCTAGAAATTCTTCCAAGCATTTGTAACGTGAAGCCTGAACTCTCTGCTCCATTCTGTTCAAGTCCATTTTTCTGTAGATGAATCTTTTAAAATCTTCTGCATTTGACTTGGAACTAATTTTATGAAGTTCTCTTGTCTAAAAGAAAAAATTAATTCATTACAAATAGCACATTTATTAAAAATAAGTGCTAGGTTTTTATTAAACTTTTGTTATTGTAATGATACAGAGCATTTTCAATATTTAAATCCCATGCTAAATCCCTAAACATGAAAATATCAGATATCAGATGTGCTTGATATGGACATTTTCTAGAGAACAAAGATTAACTTAATGAGATCTTTTTGTAGCTATCAATCTCTGTGTTTTGTTTCCACATCTTATTTAAAGCAGTTGTAAGTATTTATTAATGTATGAGATATCTAAGACTATAAATGCGTCAGCAACGGCAACAGAAACCAGAACTAGCAACTGTCTAGAAAAGTATCCAGAAATTAATTTTATTGAAATATAATTTGAATATTTAGATGTGGAATGGTAGTGCATGCGAATGCCAACCCAAAAGTCTTAAGTTCGAATCTGGGTTAAAATCCGTCGAATGTCCCAGAGTCCACCCAGTTCTGTTGGATATCTAACTCACATTAGGGAAATTAAAGCGGCTGACCACACTATCCCTTTGTATGCCGAGGTCACAGAAACTGGTGAACTCTATTTCACTTGCCCCATGGACCATCAGGTACAAAAGGGAACTAAAATAATTAATTTAAATACTGAAAAAGTACATATTACAAACAAATTTGGGCAATCAAAAACAGTTTGTATGAATAATAAGTACCTTTTCTCTAAGGCGCAAAACGGTATAACTAAGTAGGGTGTTCAGCATTTTTTTCTTCATCTTGTTCTTTTTTTTGCTAGCCTAAAACAAATTTTTTAGAAATCATTTTTAATTCTCACAAAGAGCACATTAGTAAAAAAATAAATTTTCCAGTTAGAAAATAAAGCATGTAAATAAATACAATTAAAGGTAAAGAACATTAAGTCATGAAAAATGTACTGTGAGTCATTGTCATATTAAGCGGTGCAGAAGATAACAAAGCTCAGCTAACCTAAAAATAAAGTTAGTTGCTCCTTTTATTAGGGGCATGTCATTATCTTAGCAAGTGATGTTTGTGGAATTGTACTGATCATATTAATGCAAAAACAAACTTTTGTTAATTTAAATGTATAGAGTATTAGATAATGGTAAAAAATTAGAAAATGTAAGTATTTCACTTTAACCTAGTGCAGTAAATAAAATTTCAAATTATTTCTTCAGAACAAAACTTTGAAGCTAAAATTGAAAAGAAATAGTTCCCGATGACAATGATAGTTCACATTTGTTGAAATTTTTAGTAAATTACTTTTGTTTGCAGAGAGAAAAAGTACAAAGATCAAAGTTGAATTTATAAAGATATTATTCAAAGTGAGCGTTGAGCTGTGTACAATATAAATTTGAACATGCTAGTACAAAGATTCTCTGCCTCATCCAGTCACAACCCAATTGAGTTTGGGCTAATTGTCAGTCTACACTGAATTTTGAAAAAAGTTTATAAAAAAAAATGTCAGCATAATATTCATCCACATTTTAATTTAAAATTCATCATTATTAATGTAGGAATGAAATTGTCAATTATTAAAGTTTTACACTTCTATTAGTTATTCACAAAAAAATATAATAACACTTTGTGACTCAATGTGCTGAAAAATTGTTCTGGAACATACGAACTTGCATCGCAATTTTAAAAAAAAAAACTGGTGTGAACAGCTTTATGATAGTGTTTAAGAAATTTAAACATTTATAAGTGATAATTTAACATACAGTTTTAAAAAAAAAAACTGTATTATTTTTATACACAATACTGTAGTGTTTTTAATTAATGATGTAATAATAACAAACAAGTTATTTTAAAGATGACAGATATTGCAAATTAGGAGATGAAAGCTTTGTGCTGTGTGGAACCATTGTGAAAATAAAGTGCAGCATTAAAAATGAAGATTTTCTTTAGTTGTGTTAACACAGCAAATGCAGCTTACTGTTGGATATGTATGATATTTACACAGTCAGGAGACTTCCAGTGGACAATAGTATTATTTTTCACATTATTAATAGATATAATTTCTTTATATATAAAAACCACTTTGTTATAACCACAAAAATTAGAGCTATTAGACTGGGACATTATACAGTGGCAAGGAAAATACTAGCAATATAGTGAATAATTAAATAACTCAAGAAAGGCGTGGAATTTTTTATGTTTTTTGTAATTGAAAAATTATTCAGAACTGAGGACTATTATTTCTTCAATTCTTATCTAGACAATGAACAACAGCATCTTTTAAAAACAATTCAACAGAATTGGAGAACCCACAATCTTTTTCCCTTATTTAAACTATGTGATAATATATTTTGATTTTTTAATTATGTATGAAAAATTTAATCAAACAATGTTTTAAAACATCAAAAATTTCAAAAGCAACCTAACAAAATTAACTGTACATTAGCTACCAATACCCTCAAAATCCTGCATTATTTTCACTAATGTGTAAATGAATTTTGATTTTTTTTAAATCATAGAAGCAAAAACTTATTTAAAATACAGTTGCTGATATTCAGATATACAAAACAAAAACCACTGTTAGGGTCTAGGCCTTACCACCCTCCCTCCCACCTACCGGTCATTATTCCCAGGTCAATTATCCCTCTCCCCATGGTTATTATTTTCCTTTAAAGAATATCTATTATACATGTAACCAACATAATGAAAAACACTGCATTCTAAAGAATGTGGTGGTGGTGGTTAATGACAGACTGGTAGTTGATCAGAGGGGTAATATTAGTGGTGGGGGAGGGAAGATTCTCCCACACAATAAAACAGCAATATGAAAGAGAAGCCTTCAGCTCTTCAACAAAATAAGTACAATCTAAAGTTTGAAATATTTAGTTCATTTTTACTTATTCTGTGAAGTTTAAAGACAACAAAAATAAATGTAACAAAACATTTAGGTTGATACACTTGATCAGCAACTAGGTACAGAGGTTTTGAAAATGTATCAGCCATTTTTTAAAAAATATTTCAGTGTACGATGAGTGTGGGTATAGTCGTTGGGCTGGTATATGCATGAGGGGGTGAAATGTTCAGGTTCACTGATTTGTGTGCACCTAAATCAACACATGTTATTCAATGATTAATAACAGTCAATTTTAACCACAATAATGGTCTCACACATGATGTTTGTGTGCAGAAGGTTGATGTGTTTAGGTGAGAAAGTTGTATGTGGTATGGAAATTGAATATGTTTGTGGAGGAGGGGGAGGAGGAGGAGAGAAAGGAGGAAATGGTTTATTTTTTGTTAGTGCTTTTATGCCGATAGTGGGTAACAAAGGTTGTCACTTGTAGAGAGGACAGGTCATAAAATAATATTTAAAATGGTGGACAATATTACACCACTGGAAGAATTAAATCGACTATCTTCTATAAGTAATGTGTTCTTAACTCATTTATCCATAAAACAATAAAACAGCAGTAATGTAAAGTTTCAAATTAGAACTACTATATTGCTAGTTGCTTTTTCCCATCTTGTTAGAGTTGAGAAAGTAGATATCCCTTTTAAATTTTCTGTATTAGTTTATTAAAATTTAGATTAAACAGTTTAATGCATTCATTTAGCTTAACATTAACAGAAAAAAATCCTGCCTTTAAATGTTGAATATATTGTGTAAAGCTCACTTTTTAAAAAAAAAAAGCATATTAAACTAGTAACACTGAGAAAAGTTATTAATGCAACATTAGTAATCCATACCTCTCTGTCCTTTAAAGCATGAAACAGAAAACATTTTTAAAAAATTATGAATTTATTAATTGTAAATAATTGCTGGTAATCTGGCATAGTACTTATTTTCAACACTCTTGTCGCATAATCAAAAAGAAACATCCTGATCAAATAAAATACTTAAATTATAAGAAGATGGGTTTTTTTTTTTAGTTGCAATAAATGTTATAAAACGTAAATGAAGACATTATCTCTATAGACACAATTCTAAACATTTTTAAAATAAAGGACAATTTGATGACAGTTATATATAAAATATCTTTTTATTTAGTACCCAGGATACATGGGACTTGTATATAAATAAAAGTATAAAAATATAATCAGCTTCACTGTAATGGATGTGTTGTCCTTTGAAATAATAGTAACATTTAGTTGACAAAGTAGGTAGCTGAATATTGAAAAGAAATGTTTTCTACCAAAGATTTTATAATAACTATTTCAAAATACTTACCATGCATACACTGCAAGTAAAGGTTTCACCAGAAGTGTCTTCTCTTGTGCAGCCTTGATGGTAAACACGGAAACAGTCACTGCATTCATATACTTCTCCAGGCCCATGACATTCAAAGCAATACCAATCATGGCCATCATTTACCTTTTAACAAATATAATTCAGAGTAATTTGCTATTAAGTTCCAAATTTACTAATAAACTTACAATAATTAGATGATTATAATTGTTTTCATGTTTCTTGCAACTAAAAAAAAACCCAAGCAGATGGTTAGCTGCTCATTTAAGTTGGAGTGGATAGCTGATAATAAAGACACAACACGACAGACAATCCCAAACATATATCAGACAGGATTTATTTCCATTGGCCAGCAGAAGCAGAAGAGAAATGCTTTGCTTTTAATGTATTATAATGCTTTTTTAAAATTAAAAGCTTAACATAACTCAAAATTACAGCTGGGTTAAATGTTAATGAAGGAAATATCAATATCAGTGACACTAGTTGTAGACTTGCTAGGTTATAGGTAAGGATAGTGTATCAGTTGTTCTTTAATTACACCATTTTATTTCTATGTATTCTAATAAAGTGTTTGGACAATTAGTGTGTAAAAATAAACAACTTACTTCTTCTATTACTCCCTGTGGTAGTCTATAACCTTCTTGTTCTAAGCCAGTTCGTTGACCTTTAAAACCCACTGCAGTATATTCTTCAATAAGTCCATCACTAACAGCATTGTTCAGATGCTCCTTGCATCTTCTGGGTGAAATTTCTGTGTAACGTTGAAGATAACGTGAAATCCTATCGAAGTTTGGAATTTGTTTTTGTTGTCTTATTGATATTATTGCATTGATAAGTTGTTGTGCATAATTCACCGGAGTATGCCTACGTCGCACTGATGGAGCCATTTCCTGAAACCCAAAATGTGTATGCACAATATTAAACAATAAATTGGAACTAAAACTCTTGAAAAGGTTTTGGTTTACCAAACTGTAACACAGTCCATTCAAATTATTATTACTAACATACAATACAAATATTTAACAAACTTAACATTCATGTTTATATCTTTTCAGTATTTATTCAACTATATTCAAATTTTAAACTACAATTTTTATCATGATAGATTATCATTTGAGATTTTTTTTTTATCTTAGGACATTAATTATATAGGGTTTCTACAATCTAAGCTTTATATTAATTGTAGAACATCCATTTCAGTTAGTGCTTAGAAAATATTAATTAAAAAAATAATTTCCACTATAACCTGTGATAAAACAATGTTGGAATTTAATTATCAAAATTTATTATACTATTTTTAAGTTGAAATGTCTATAAGTTGTACTTAATTTCTACATATTTAAACTTGTTTTATTCTTCTGAACCACATAGGTTTTTTTTAAATTACTGAATCTAAACATTTTTAAATAGGGTGTCACTTCACCTATTATTTAACCTAAGTAATGGTGTCCACGCAAAAAGACCAAGCCTCATTTTTGTTTTTTACAAAGTTTTTTTATATTTTAAAATAAAGTTTTGCAAAGTCAGCTTTGCTACTAATATAATAGTAACAATGGATGCTTAGTGTTTATTGTACACTCACAATTTAAAGTTTATTTGTCTGATATGCTCTGTATGTAACAGCAAAAGGCATGAATTACATGCAGTAGACTACACTTTTTTTTTAATATGGTGAACTGATGTCAACAATGCAAACACCGCATTACAGAGAAATTGAGTGTCATTTCATATTAAATGGATGATTTGGAAAAGTGTTTTCCATGGCTGTTTTACTTGGACAATTGAACTTGGTAAATGTATTTTTTTAAAAATGTTTTAAGTTTAATTATATAACATATGAAAGCCTAGGATTCTAGAAAAAAAATATTGAGGATAATTTCTATTTACATTGAAATAAGTAAGTAGTACTAAGTAGGTCCTAGATCTATATCTTTAGGTAACATTTGTAACAACTGTGGATTTTAAGGACTAATTCGTTGAGATATGGATTATTTTCATTTTGCTGTGTGAGTGTGGTTGGCATACCTACAATACAACAATGTACCCTATTTGCCCTATAGGCCTACTTTTAGTACTTATACTAATTTAACTAGATCTAGATTCTACCCCTACACTACAAAATTAATATTAAACTTTCAAAAAACAGGAATAACAAAACAAATAAGGCACAAAATTGTAGGCCCTAATTGTATTTTATAGTAAATTTATAGGCTTAGAAATCGGCTTAGACTTAGATCTAGAATCTCTGGAGATCTTTTAGATTTTTAAATTTAAAGTTTAGGCCTTAGGCTAAGGCAAGAATTGTAATTTATAATTTATAGACTGCCTAATCGCCCTAAGTCATGATGTTGATTGTAATGTAATTGTAAGATCACAGACATTGTGATTGTTTTGTTTGATTGATTAAAGTTGAAACATCACCACAAACAATTAAAATAATTAAAAAATTAAAATCACTCAAACATGGGCCAAATATGCTTGCAAAAACTGTTTTATTAATGTCCTAATAGAAGGCTAGTCTTATGCTCAGCTTAGACAAATTCAGAGAGCCTATTTCAAGAAAGATGCAAACAACAATGCTTGGTCGCAATGGTGCTCGGAACTGTTCCGATAGCAGGATGCGAATCTTCAACTTCGACCTATGAAAACAACCAATATGGAAGAATTGGGTAAACGTAGACAGCATAAAACTACACGTCACTGATATCGCTAAGGAAATTGCGCGACGCGTGATGACGTTTTCCACAATTCCTAAGAAGACAACTTTTTGTTTATGCTCAGCTTAGGCTAGTCGAGTAGATTATTAAGCAAAGAAGCAAATAGATAGCCTTGCCCTACTTTAATTAAGAAGCTAACTGCTGGCCGCGGTCATACTTATCTCGCTCTCTTAACTTAAGCTTATCTCTTGTCCTAGATTTCATAGTTTATAAGTACATTTACTTTCATGGTCATTTTCATTTCACCAAAATGCCTCGCATAGTGGAGTGTGTCCCTAACTTTTCTGAAGGAAGAAATAAAGAGGTTGATAGATCTAATATCTTTTTTTTTTAATGTCTTTAACTTTAAATAATAAATAACTATTATAATATTAATAATAATAGGATAGGGGCCTGATTATAAATGCTGTGTGACGTGTATAAATCTAGGCCTATCCTATAATCTAGATTCTAGAGGATCTAGAATCTAGATCTAGATATTATTTTTTAACAATCAATGATTCATACTCAAGATTAATAAATATTATTAATAAATAATATTGTTAAATTATTAGTAGGCCATATTATTATAAAGTATAGGGCCTAATTATAATAATAACACTATTATAGCACTAAACTCTAGTCTACTACTACACTTACACTACTAGTACTAGATCTACATTGTGTATTTTACAGAAATGATAGTTGCTTAAAAAATCGGAAGATATTTTTAATAGATCTTAGAATCTAGAATAAAATAAGATGGCCAGACAAAATATTAAAATAAGATGGCCAGACAAAATATCAAACAAAGACCTGTGGCAAATTATAAAGCAACAGGCAATAGAGAAATGGGGATGGATCGGACACACATTATTAAGAAAAGAAAATGAAAACTTTGCAAAACATGCTTTGGACTGGAATCCCCAGGGAAAAAGGAGGGTGGGCCGGCCAAGGAAAACATGGAAGAGAACGGTTGAAGAAGAGGCGAAAACAGCTGGGCTCACATGGGCACAGATTAGGGGAGCAGCCCAAAACCGAGTCCGCTGGAGATGTGTGGTTGCAGCCCTTTGCTCCCCAGGTGCCACAAAGGAATGATGATGATGATGATGTTAGAATCTAGAAGCTAAATCTAAAATTCAGATTAGGATTGGTAAATTGAAAATTGTCAGAGGCTACTAAAAGAGGGAATTACCTAGATCCTAGACCCCCCCCCCTATTAGCTATGTAGCCTAACATTCAGTTTCCCTACAGCAGATTATACAGTGTAGTTTTAAGTGTAATGATTGTTAGTATTTAAAGTAAGTCATTAAAGTCTTCAAAGTCTTTTGTATTTTGAAAATTATTAAAATTGTTTCCACAAGCCATACATAATACATATCCATTTTCAAAGGAAAAACCAAACATAATGCTCTTTTAAAACCTTTACATTTAACAAAATTAATATATACTATGAAGATAATGTTAATAAAGAATGAAATTAGACACAAGCTTTTAGTTTTTAGCTAAAATGTGCTTGCTGTGTCTCATGTATGGCTTATCTAATATGTTTGTGAATTTTAAAAAGTAATTAAAAAGGTTTTAAAGATGTTTTTGTTGACTTGCATTTATTATAAAACTCAAACATGTAGAAAATTTTACTTAAGCCATACAATGAGTTGGACATAAGACAAAAAATGTAGGCCTATATCACTGTTGTACTAAATACCGTAGTTTAATACTTTTCATTAATCATTGTTAAAAATAACTCATTTGTTATTAGGTAATTGAAGCAATAGCCTCTGCTATTGCTCAAACTTCAGGATGCAGCCTTTTAGATGTCGACCCAGGACAGTCCACAAACAGAACTGTCTATACATTTGTGGGCACACCTGAGGCGGTCATTGAGGGAGCAGTGAATGCAGCAAGAGCTGCTCATCACTTTATTGATATGAGACTTCATCAAGGTCAGAGTTTTAAGTGTGATGTGTGTTAGGCTACTCTAGCTTAAAAACATAGATATTTATACACATAAAAAAACAACTCTAATTCATATGTGAAATTTTACAAGTAAATTCAAGCAGTAGACTTTTTTTTCTATTTATAATTAGTCACCTCAATATTTTGTATTTATCTTATGACTACCAATCAATTTTATGTAGGCCTATAGATCTACTTACTAAAGAAAAACTCCAGTTTTCTCACAGATTTTTTTGTTCACTCTCTGCTTACTTAGTTTTAAGGTTTATATAATGCACTTTTTTTTATTTCAGTTGAGTTAGAAATCATTAATTTTAAAAGAAATATTTTATTGCTGCATAACCTATTTTTAAATCACCAAATGTTTAATCTTTTGATTATTTTGAGCAACAGGTATGAGGGTTATTAAGTTAGACTTTTGGGCTGAATGATAATATCAAACAAACTGTAATTTTACAATGCAGTCTCAAGATAAAAGTAGAGAAGAAGAATTATTGTGATAACATAACACATCCCCATATACCATATAGACATTTAATTGCCTGCCTTAAACCTCAAGTTAGGTAAGGTAAGTAACTACTTTGACAAGGAGACTCCCCAAAAAAGAAGTATTTATGGGGTTTGTAGAAATACTTTATGTTTCATTAGTAATACTTTAATGGGTGAAAGTTTTATTAAAACATATTTTTACTTCGTATTAATAAAATTCTTTCAGGAAAACTCAATTCTGGTAATTTTAATAAATGTAATAAATTTAAATTGTAAGTAAGTGTAATAATTACATCAGAAAATATTTGTATTGGTAGGTGAGCATCCTAGATTAGGAGCTCTGGATGTTTGTCCTTTTGTCCCTGTTCAAGATGTTAGCATGGAAGATTGTGCAAGATGTGCTAAAGAATTTGCATCAAGACTGGCTTCCGAGCTTGACGTCCCAGGTAATTTTTGTTTTGGTTTACATTTATTTTTCATCATGTAACAGATTGATAAATATTATGATAATTTAAATTAATAGAAAAAACTTCTTAATTCTCATTGATTGATTGATGATACCAGCTGTGCATAAGCCATTTCATTTAATTGATAAGCAATTTTTCTTACACTATAACTAATTATTTTATATAACAAGTTTCTGTAATTTTTTACAGTGTATTTGTATGGAGCAGCATCAGATACAGAATATAGAAAAACTTTACCTCAGATCAGAGCTGGGGAGTATGAAGGTCTACAAGACAAGGTAATAAATAGTTTCCCTTCTTCCGGATTTCAAACATTTGGAAAAATTTATTTTTATTAAAAAATGCAGTAAAAATTTAATTGAAAGACAAGAATAATAATTCAGCATTTACTGTTAGACAAAATATTTAGAACAATTGCTTTGAGATTTAAAAAATTATTACTAAATTAATTAGTTTTTTTTAGTATGGTAAAAACTTAAGTATAATAAAGTATTATTTAGAAAAACATTGTCAACCCAGTATTTAATTACCTACATACATTTTTAATACATTGTAAATTCTGTGACTGAAACAAAAAAAATATTTAAAAAATGTTCTAAAGCTGAAAGACCCACTTTGGAAGCCTGATTTTGGGCCTACTGCATTTGTGCCATCATGGGGGGCAACTGTTGTTGGAGCAAGAAAATTTTTGATTGCCTACAACATTAACTTACTAGCGACTAAAGAGCAAGCCCATAGAATCGCACTGAACATACGGGAAAATGGAAGAGGAGAAAATGAGGTACTTAACAATGTTTTCAAGAGGTAGTTAAAAATTTAATACTCTATATAAACTTTAACCAGTGTCTGTATAATAGTCTTAACCCATAGAAAAATATCAGAAAAAATAGTGGTGATATATGTATGTCTTTAAAATAGTAACAAAGGGTATTGTGATGCAGGTATGGCTTTACAATATTTACTAATGGCAATGTGACATGGGTATGTCTTTACAAAAGTTACAAGTAGTAGTGTGATGAATCCCAGTGATCTTTGGCTAGAGTTTAGAAGGGGGGGGGGGGGCATTTTTTTTTTATTACCTCATCTCAGTTAGTTGAATCTGTGTTTTTACAGAATTAAAAAAATATTTTAAAGCTACTACATTTAGAATAGCTAGTTCTGTTGTGTTAACAAGATTTAAAATGACTATTGATTCTATTTAAAATCAATTTTGGCTACTCCAAAATTAATTTTGGCACTTCCGGAGGATTCAGTTAAAGTTAAAAATGATATGTGTCCATTCATTTATCAGCCAGGTAGGTTGAAATGTGTTCAAGCTATTGGCTGGTACCTAGAAGAAGCAAACATGGCCCAGGTATCTGTGAACATCACAGATTACGAAGTCACTGGCATTCATACAGTGTATGAGGAATGTTTAAAAGATGCTAATGTAAGTCACTGTCATAGTTTCTCTATCATTGTATTCATTCTACCATCTAATACCATCAACTTAAATATATGTATGTGTGTGTGTATATTCGTTGTTTATTAAATAGTTATTGACAAAAGTTATTCTTAACTGTGTAATTTTAAATCAATTGAATATTTTAAGAATGAACTTTTCTTAATACATTCTTGACTTCCTAGCATTTGAATGTTAGTGTTCAGGGTTTGTATGCAATCTGGAATATTTGTGGAATTAAGAAAAAAGTAATGCAGAATGGAAAATCATAAGTGTTTGTACTGGTATAGAACAAAAGGTCTGTAGTAATTAATGTAAAAAACAAAAAAAAGTTTTTGTGTCCCATGGTATATTGTTATTAATAAAGACATAAATGACATTGCATAGTATCCAGACTACGTTGACAATACGGCTTCAAAGATCATATCACTTTCGTTGTTTTCTTTTGCTTGAGAGTATCTGGTAAAAGTTAGCACATGAAAGTATGACAAACCAGATATTTCTACTTTGTCATACTTTATTGTAATTATTCTTTGCTATTGAATCAATTTTTTAGTTTGAAGTCACATCACCTTGCTTTAAAATAATTACAGGTTTGAGTAAAAATGTTTGACATGCTAGTAGTTAAAATGTTTGCAACATACTTTAAAAAGTTACAGATATAAAGGTATTTTATTATGGAAAGCTAATCCTTTTTGTTTTTGCTGCAAAAATTTTGTTACAATTGGCTTGGGAAAGAAAACAGCTCTATAATGCTAAATTACATTCTAAATATTTGTTCACTGTAATTAATATAAGGACATTATGTTGTTCCATAATTAATTTAGTTATATATGAGTTTTTCCATTTATGCATAGAAAATCTTTCAACTGGAATCTAACTTTCAGAAACAGTATGAACACTTATTATTTGTTTCATTTCAGCTTGGAATTTTTAACCTCAAATATTAGCTTAGGTATAGGATTTTCTATTTGGTTACAATTGTTTTGGAATTTTACAATTTGATTCAACAAAATATTTAATTTTACATTTGTTTTGTAATGTTTTTACCTCGTATTATTTTAAACTTCAAGTTAAGAAAATCACACATGTATGTCTGGTAGTTCTTGGATATGCTGTATTTTTGTAGTTATGCTTAGCTATAAAAAAACTAAGATAAAAAGTCATTTCACTTGAGACTGAATGAAATTATATTGTTTTATAATAAAGATCTTAACTCATTTTTAATACTGTTAATACTTTTATTACATTGGTATATCTGTTCTTGCATATTTTTAAAAACTTTGATACAAAATTTTATTCCAGAGTTTTATACTTATGCTACATTTTTTTCATAGGAACTCAACATTGCTGTAGTTGGATCTCAAATTGTAGGGCTTGTACCCCAAAAGACCTTAATGGATGCTGCTGAATATTACATGAAAAATGAAAAATTGTTTATCTTGGAAGAAGACCAGAAACTGAGATTGGTAAGTTTGTATGATCACTATTTTATAGCTAAATTAGATCTAACTTCTTAACTATTACATAGCTTTTTACTAGCTTATAGACATTTATTTAAATCATCTCAGTATTACCCATAATAGTGCTTTTAATTTTAAACAAACAAAAATAATTGTACATCACTTATGAGGAAATATTGTCTTGAAGAGAGATGTCATTATTTAAATTGACTTTTTCTATTCAGGTTATTAACCGACTTGGATTAAACTCTTTAGGTGGATTCAATCCTAAAGAAAGAATCTTAGAGTGAGTAAGGTTTGCAATTCCACTCTGGAAATGACAAAAAAATTGTAGATTTTTAAATGAATCTGTACAAACATTGATTACATATTTGTAATAATGTAACTTGATCCTATACATTTTAATGCTTCCATTAATTTTGTTGCAAATATTCCTTTAACTGCTCTTTTTAAAAAAATCAAGTTCTTATTTTTTTAAATAGGTTTAGATTGTTATCATAATTAGAGTTGATCTTATCAAACAATACCAATGAAATACTGACCATTTTACTTGAACTATAGGTACATGATTCAAGCAGACAGAGATGGGCCACTTGCCAGCATGGATCTTAAAGACTTTATTCTAACTGTAGGTTCAAGGTCACCATCACCAGGAGGAGGCTCTGTGGCAGCATTAGCTTCATCTTTGGTTTGTAAAACATTTTTTTAAATATGTTTTTATTATGAATTTAATGCATTGTACTTCGGCCTTATAATAGGTATAAAATAAAAAATAGTCTAATATACTTAGGATTTAATGACATATTTTTTTCCAAAATGGTTCATTGTTATGAGTCACAGCAAATTTTTATGCTGTAATTCAGCTACAAAAAAAACACATTTAATTTGTGAGCTCAATATTATTAGATAATGAATACATCTTTTATAATTTTTTGATATAATTGATGCTAAATTTTGGTCCTTGTGAAGCCAAAGGGTATTCTAAAATATGCCAATTTAAAAAGTGCTTAACTTTTAAGTTAAAATCTTACTGTCTTAAATATTACATCCATCTGCTTAGAATCACTAGCTCTATGCTTTTAAAATCAAAGCAATGTTTGTGTGATTGATTTAAAAAATTAGTTTAGTGCACCTACTTTAATCAAAATGGTTTTGCTTTATTGTTGTAGTTTTCAAATAAAATATGCTCCATAATTTCCTTTCTAGGGTGCAGCTCTGGGCTCTATGGTTGGATTCTTGTCTTATGGAAATAAAAAATTTGCTGATCTAGATGAAACAATGAGAACTTTGATACCACCTTTGTATAAAGGAATGAAAGATTTAATTCCTTTCATTGATGCTGATGCTGCAGCTTTTAGTGAATACATGGTAAGCTTTAACATATTGAATATTTCTGTTAAATAACGCAGTTATAATATTTTTATGACAAGATAATATTTTATCTGTAAATTTCCCCAAACTCAGTACAGTGGTTTAACTGTTAGGTAGGATTGATAAACTACAAGCAGTAACTGGTATTTTAAATTTTTGCTCTCGTATTATAATGACATTTGTTCACATTAAATTGTATTTCATAATTCTTCTAAGCTATCTTAATTTCCTTTAATTTTCAAAATTTGCTTTACTAAATATTTATTTTTATTTCTTAAAGCTTGCTACTAAACTGCCTAAAAAAACTGAAGAAGAGAAAAAAGAGTAAGTCTGATCAATCATAATTGGCTTTTTAAAGAAACTATAGTAGGTTGGATTGATGGTTTCATTATACCATTTGTTGGATACAAAAGGATTTTGTTGTTTCTATTACCACATATCTTGTATCCTGTTCTAGGAGACAAGAGGCAATAAAGCAAGGTTTGCTAACAGCTGTGCAAATTCCTATGTGTGTAGCTCAAATTGCCAATGATATGTGGCCTCATTTAAAAGAATTGGCAAAAGTTGGAAATTTCAATTGTAAATCAGATTTACAGGTACAAATTAAGATTATACGTTTTATGTAGGTTTAGAAAATATTTTATTTGGATTTAATTCTTTTGATAACTGCATTTTTTTTTCACATTTGCGTTCTCATAATTGTATTTAGACTGGAGCCAGAATTTTAGAGACAGGTGTGTGGGGAGCATACTATAATGTACTGACTAACCTGGATCAGATTGAGGACCCTGAGTTTGTGGCCAAGGTACTGCTTGGTTTTGTTTCCTTAGACAAAAGTCTTGATTTCATTATTTTGTATAAAAACCGCAGCAATTTTTTCAGTTGTGAAGATATTTATTAATTTATATTTAACAGGCAAGGAGTGATATTGAATTGGCAATTGCTAAAGCACAAAAAGAAAAGGAAGAAATCTTGAGCATCTTGGCTGAAAGGCAAAAATGAAAAGTGTCTAAACCTTAACCACTTTTAAAAATAAAACTATTTTTCAACTTGGTAAATGTTTATAATTTGGGTGATGGGTGTTCGATGTAAGTTTTAAGCATATTTTTGGTGTAGTTAGTTTCCAAACATAATGAACTTAAATGTTGATTTTTTTTATGCTTGAAAAATTTAAATGTATTTTTTAGTTGAAACAGGATTCAGAATAATAGAACTGGAAAGAATTCAGTATTGTTTTTGTAAGCAGGAGTTATTTGTCCTGTCATTCTTACTTTGCAGTATTATAATATCATAATATTACTATATAATTTCCTGATGTCGTATTTTATACATATTCACCTGTTCATTTTATACAAATTATAACCACACTGTTTTCAGCAATAGATGATGCTTTGCTTTCAGTTTAATCAGAGCTACATTTTACATTTGTTGGCCTTTGATTGCAATGTGCATTTTTTTTCTTACACTGCCAGTTTCTCTACTTGTAATTTTTTTTTTACATTTTGTTCCTCTGGGTAAATGTAATACATCTTTTACATGTGAGTAGAAAATCAAACTATCCTCAGACATAGTTAATCCTGATCTCCATGTAGTGGTATTGCATGTTCACATAATTTTATATAGAAAGCTTTCAATGATTTTTTTGTCACATTTTAAAATAATCCCTTTTCTTGTTATTATTTATGCCATTTATCATGTTATTAAAACAAGTTATATCATACTGGTAACATGCTCAATGACCACACTGCTGACATATAGTCAACTTGAGACTTCTGCTGAGTATCTGCCTACTGTGCTGTCAAAATTCCAGATTACATCTGTTATTGCTAAGTGTCTACTTAAACTCCTACTTAAAGAAAGTCATTGGATACAAGCTGACATTTAATTGTCATCAGCAAAGCTTAAGTTTTTACTATCATGAAACAGCAATACTCTGTGATTATAACAACATAATTTATGTACCATTACAAGCTTTAATTTTTTTAATTTATAGATTGTTCTTAATTCATGGGAATAATTCTTATCATTACAAGAAAGATAATTATGAATTCTTTAAGGTTTAACTCAAAATACTTTTTTATGTCAACATTTTTCTTTATTAATAAACAGTCCATGAACTGAAGCAGCACAGATTTTAATAAAAATACATCACCATCATAAAACTGATGGTTTTCACACAAATTTATAAACTTGTAATTTTTGTATACACAAGTTTTCTTTTGATGTTAAAATGCAAAGCTGTGATCTATGTTTATAGCTATCTTTAGATAGAGGTTGTTTTTGCTATAAGATATTCACTGCTGATTTTTGCACTTTGCATAATTCCAGAATAAAATCTTCATAGAAACTTTTTTGACATTTGTTTGTTAATGTGTGTTTTGGTGAGACTGTATTGTTGTATGTGAATTGCACAAATCTAAATGAATCCTTATATAAGTCAATAATTGGATTGTTGTATTTGACTGGTACAAGAATCTCGTATACCATCACCATCATTTGATGACTGATTTAGCTTATAAAGAGTAATTCCTTCCCCAGCAATACATAGGTATACAGAGTCCCTGTAACAGCAAGGAAAAAATATATAAATATAAGTTGTGATCAAGCTTATTGATCTTGTGCATTTTCAGTTTATAAAACAAATTATTTCCATACTAAAGAAATCTGTTGTTTACATACTTATTGAAATTTAATTCAACTATCAGGTTACTGCCACATTTATTTTTTAAAATATCCACAAAAACAAACAAAAATGCCTAACCTATGCAATTTTACATCCATGCTTGAAACATTGGCCACATGAATGAAGTTACTTGAAAGAATCTGCAACTAAAGTAAAATAAACTTGTTTATTATTTTATTTGAAGTATCAAACAATATTGTGGTTCAAAAATAAAAAGTTCAACTAGGATAAGAAAATCAAAATAAATATTTGACAATTAGTAGAGGCAAGAGGGAAAAAAATTGAACATTAAATGATAGTATAACAATACTCAGGGTTGGCATAATACAATGAGTGATTGCTATCCCATAAGTTCACCCAGCACTAAAGAGGAAAGTAAATCCAGGGCAATGTGATGACCACACAATCTTTCAAACACTGAGTTCACCACCACTTTTGCTCTACACTGAGTTCACCACCACTTTTGCTCTACATTGAGTTCACCAACACTTTTGCTCTATGGATTATTGGAGCTGAAAATGTGCTCTTGTTTTTTAACAACTAAATGATGAGAAGAATTCTGATCTTAGCTTCACTCTGGACTGGTCATGAGATCCCCAAACAGAATAATAGCTTAGTTTACCTGTATAGTAGTAGATTGAATAGAATGATCTATAGCCCAAACTATGATCCTCTGGTCAATGGAAGCTGACACAAGCAATCCAGGTGACACAAGCCAGATTCCTGTTGGTTAATGAATGGGATGTAAGAAAATATTTCATAAAAAAAGTTTAGTAAACTCTGATATTAAAACTCCTATCTGTGTTACAAATTTACGTTATGCACTAAGATCTTGCCTCAAGCTTCTCTAATAATTGTTCTATAAAATCTCATTTTCAATTTCACAAGCTAGAATTAAGATCAATGATCATTTTCTGTTCTTACAGTGCAGCTGCAAAGACTAAACAAGTAAATAAAACTACCTGTAATTTGTGCAGCGTGTGCATCAGGCTTGACGACTTTGGCTAACACTTTTAAATCAGGTAACTGCAATTTGTGAACAGCTATAGCATTGTCATCACCTCCAGAGGCTACAAGCATGCAGGAGTCTGAAAAATATTTACTGCTGTAGTTAGCTCAACTCTAGTATCCATTACGGGTGTACATGACTTGCTAACATTTCAAACTGTCTGCATCTATTTATATTAAAGTATATATAGTTCTCAAATAAAAATAATTTTTTTGTTACCAATTAGTACAGAGGTAAATATAGCACTAAAGTGAAAGCTATAATGTAATACATAAATCATTAATTAGTTAAAAGAGGTGGGTTTCCAAGAAAAATAAACTACTGGATCAGCTGATCAACTTCCTACCTGATATCTGAAGTGTGTGTAGACTGTTGATCCCAGACTGGTGTGCCTTCAGTACAGCCACTGGCTCCCAGGGTGCTTTGCTGGCAACTGGTTGGGTAAAATCTACGTAGTCCTCCGCTTCATCATCATCACCCTTGCCAGCTTCACAAGATTTTAACACAGTCATCACAACAGTATCTAGCGACCAGATAACTATCTGGCCATTGGTTGACACAGTTAAAGAGAAAGGCAGTGCCAAGTTTCCTGGAGTTGTGTGAACGTAGTGCAAGACTTTGAGCATACATCCCCTATGGTAATCAGTGGCTACCAGCAGAGAGAACTTCTTCAAGCTCTCATCAAATGAAAATACCCTAGAAGGTTAAAACAGTGAAATACAAGCTAAAAAATTAAATGATAAAAGTAATTAGTGTAATCAAAAGATTGAATATAATTGTAGAGCAGGTAAAACTATAACATGTATAAAAGGAAAACGAATGACAGGTTAATTTTTAAATTTTTATGGTTATATTTTGCTTTCATTTTGATACACTTTTTTTCAACTGTTTTTACAATGCTCCATATTAGCTTATCACTTGAAACACATGTTTTCTACTTTTATAAAACTAAGCCCTTCTACTTGTTTAAGACCAAGGAAAGACCTGCTTGTATAAAATAAAGGAAAGATGTACTTGTATAAGATAAAGACCTACTTGAATAAAACAAAGACCTCCTACTCCTTTATAAGATAAAGACTTACTTTTAAAAGTCAGAAACTTCCTATGTAAGAGAAGTAACTGAAGCAAATATTACCTGTAAACTCCATCAGAGCCAGCAGCAGAAAGAATGTGTAAATGTGACACTTGATGAGAAGATTCCTTTAAGACATTGCTGCCCTGATTTAGCAGCTGGACCACTGACGATGCTGACAGTGACATGACCCGTGTCTCCGGGTCAAGTCGAAGTTTTCTTGTCTTCCATGAAGAAAAGTGTTGTTTGTGTCTTGCCTCCCCTAGAAAGTGTGTAGACAGGTGCTCATATGTACATCCAACATCACCTGAATCAACACCTGAACACTCACACGCTTCACTGTCTAGCACTGGTGCAGTAGCACCAGCACATTCTGTGTGTTGATCAGCTTTTGAATGCCATGATTTGTTATTAACATTACTAGTTTTCTTTAGAATTTGACTCTGTTTAAATAATTTAATTTTCCATGCACGAATTTCAGCACGTCCACCTCCAGTGAAAAGAAGAAAAGTTGTGGATTCATTAATAGCTGCATCCAAAGCTTTTAAACTTTCTAGTTGAACTTCATTGTTGCATGAGGAAGTAGTGTCAGAAACTGCCAAACATCTGACACTAGAGTGATGTCCCTTTAAGGTTGTCAGAGGTGTCCAAGTATAAAATAATTTTTTGTATGCAATCATTAAGGGAAAGTTATTACAATTCCATAAAATGTGCTTAACATAGACATTAATTTTATGAGTATTATTTAAATAATTTGTACAACATTCAGTTGCATTCTGAAACAACTAAATTGTACCAGGAGGAAAGTAATGTAACATTTGGTGAAAACAAATCTGCCTTATAAAGGATACTAATAAACATTCCAATATTAACTGTTGTGTCTTCACTGGCACTGCACACCAAATGCACTGCTTGACCCTGAGTTTCAAATGGTGATTTTAAAAATTTGACATCACATAACTCTCTTCCATGACAAGCTGGCTAGATGAGAGACAAAAAAAAAATTTAGTTTGTCAAATTTTTATGCCATAAACTGTCACTTATCTGTTAATGTTTTGAGCAAGCATTTAGAAAATAATCTTTGAGCAAAAATAAACATTAGTTTAAGTGCAGTAAAAAAATCTATTTAAAAACCTGGACAATGGTTTGTTTAGCCTGACTTCCTGTATCCACCATGAAGATATTTGAAGCTTTGATGTAGGCAAATCTCAACATCCCATTCTCATGGATGCACCCCCAGGTTCTGTGGCCACCACCACAATAGATGGACATGAGCTGTTGGTTGTATGTCACACTCCAAACTACAAACTCACACTGAAAAAATGTGACAAATGCAATAGATGGACATGAGCTGTTGGTTGTATGTCACACTCCAAACTACAAACTCACACTGAAAAAATGTGACAAATGCAATAGATGGACATGAGCTGTTGGTTGTATGTCACACTCCAAACTACAAACTCACACTGAAAAAATGTGACAAAAGCAATAGATGGACATGAGCTGTTGGTTGTATGTCACACTCCAAACTACAAACTCACACTGAAAAAATGTGACAAAAGGTAAAAAGCATTACATTGAGTTGTGATATTTGTGCTTATTAATCTTCAACTCAAATTTGCAACAAATATTTATCTTGAACAGCAAACACAAATTTTTCAGAATCTCTTGTTCCCTTCTCAGACTGTAAACACACATGACGACAAAATGAGCAAATGCATTACTACATTTCAGTTTGAAATACTGTTAGCATAGAATACAACCATCAAAGTTTGACACCTTGACTTACTGAAAAAAAGCCATACACCAGTAAATCTCCATTATGCCATGCCAGTTTGTCAATCCATTCAAAGCCTTTTATAATCTAGTGGTTAAAAATGGTAAATGGTTACTTAAAGTAAAGACAATCAAGTTTTTATTTATATTAGATATAGATTTTACTTATTCTATCAGGAAGTTGTAAAACAATTCTAAATCTTATATAACAGCATTAATTTGTTGGTGAAAAAAGAGCTCTAAACTCCCTACCTTGTTGCCATGTAGCAGCACAAGTTTTCCATCTACAAACTGCCACTGTCTGTAGAACCCATCCCTCCCGGCTGTGTAAACAAAGCCATCCCTGAAGGTGACAAATGTCACACCAGCCTTGCCGTGCACTCTTGTAAAGCTTTGTGATGGCTTTATATTATTTAAATAGAATTACTATAAAGCTTCTTCACAGTTAAGAAAAATTGAATGGAGTTAACTTTCATTGGGCAATCCAAATAAGGCCAACATATATTTAGAAATATAGTTTTTTAAGAGATTTTTTTGTGAACTTTAAAAAATTAATGTAAATGCCCTCGAAAAAATTCTAAGTAAATTCTAACACTATTATTACCAATCTCACATTAATGTTCTAACCTCTTGCTTATATGTGTCATCATTAATCTCATGTTGATCTAAAGTAAACACATGGATAGATCCATCCTTATCTCCACAGACAAGAGTTCCATTATGTATATCTGCAGTGAATTGGTTTGATAACGGGCATGCAGCTGATATCCAGCGATGTTTGCTAGTTGGTAGAAACATTCTGTGTTGAACAATTAGGTTCAGAGAAGTACCATCATTATTCTCTACCACATCAATTTTTATTAATATCTGTAAATACATGCACAAGACATTTGTGTTTATATAGAAACATTTATAAAAAAACACATAGGAAAAAAATGTATTGTCAAAAAACTTTTTGTCTAATAGTACTAGCATTTGTTACAATTTAAATATCTCTAAACTGAAAATGTCATTACACAATGTCCATCTGGTCCAGAGGCTATAAAGTGGTCATTATTTAGCCATGTGAGGTTTAACACTTTGCCTTCAAAGTAAGTTTCCTCAGCAAAAGTTATTTCATCGCTGTCTATATCTGTTGTTTGAGACAGAACAGAATATTTCACAAATAAGCGTTTACCTCTGTAAATTCTGCATTAGTTTTAATTTAAAATAAAATATTAAATATTTAGTGCCATTTGTTTTTATTAACACAGTGTATTTTTTACTAGATACCTGCGTAACGCATAACTCTCACAGTGCCGGTGATGCTGCCAATCACAAATGACTTCTGATCTATACAAGGGGACACTACACTGTAAGACCGGAACTTTGCATCCTGGATTATCAAGGTAAAACGCTGATCATTCACTTTGTAGGAGTAAAGACATCTGAGGACAGTTTTAAAAGACTTATTGCATTGTTTGTAATTCATGATATAATGAACGCAAACAACATAAATAAGACAGATTAATTCTTCAATCAATATCTTACATGTGTATGAATCTTTATGAAATATCTCACATGTCAATGAGTTATAAATGATTTTCAAACTAAACATGTTATTTAAGATTAGAAATATTCTTGATATTTATAGTAAAATAATTTTAAAATATCAATCACTAACAAACTAGTGTTAAAAGAAAATGATTTTGACTTACCCTGAATTCATCATTACCAACAGTGTGTCATAATTCAGCAGTCTCACAATTCTTGGAAAATCCTCTTCATTCTTAAAATAAAACAATAACTAATGTTCTATAGAGCATTATTATTCACAATTAGTCTTGCATGATAAAAATTAATGTTACATCAAAATAATTTACTAACATCATCACAAACTATTCTATACACATGTTAAGTTGTGATGTACCATTCTATACACAGGTTAAGTATGAACCTACCATCCTAGAGAGATTTAATATGTGAAAACCTACCATCCTACAGAGATGGGATATCAGAACCTACCATCCTACAGAGATGGGATATCAGAACCTACCATCCTACAGTTCACCGGAACTTGAACACTCCTCTGAGACTGTGTCTTCTTATGCTGGTGCACCTGCCACTTCCTGATGCTAGCATCTCCACCCCCAGTTATCTGTATCAGTTCAAAAACACACTCTCAATTATTACTATTGATACTCATGTCTTTAAAATTATTTATTACCCCTCTATATTGATTTGTATGGATTATAAGAAGACAGCTGAATGATGTAAAACTAAAGCTTATTTCCAACCCATCCAAATTGATTTGTATTGATTGCAAGCAAACTGTCAAATGATGTAAAACAAATAATCATGTGGTTATCCAGCAGTTCAGTCCATAGATTAGAAGTTCAATTGTGTTTTGTGCAAAAATATTTCCCACAAACAGGTTAAAAGTATAAAAGATAATTATTAATTACCACAAATTTCTCATCTTCTGTAACAGCTAGACTCCATATGCTCTTTCCCTGGGATAATAAAACATATTTTATTGAATAAATTGAATCATGATCACACTGGTAAAATATGAAATGTAAATAACAGAATACATTACAATGTCAGTAAATAAATTACTCTGACACATTTACTCAAATAAATTAAACAGCTGTAATAAATAGATTCCGTGCAAATCTATTTTGAAAGCAACAATAACTCTAAAATTAATCAGTTTAAACCATTTTTTTTAAATATATTCAATTAAAAAAGATATTAAAAAAATATCATTTTAACACACTCACCTTATGTCCTTTTAAAGTACTCATCACATTACCGGAGTAGTTCCAAACAAAACATGTAGCATCCTATATGTTATGGTAAAAAAACATATCATATTTTGTTTCAATACACAGACTCAAACATATTATAAACATTAGAATAGAGTGGTGAAATTAATTTTAAAGCTATTTTGAGCAACATAAACAGTTTTCTCTTTGTGTTAAATTCCTTTCTTCAAATGGATGAAAGGAGGCACCACACAGTATTATGTGCATTCATACACATTATGAGAACCTCTAAGCTCCAATTAAGGAAAAACTGAATTCTAGTTTAGAAATGTTGCTGCACCATTTCTGCAGCTTTTATCTGGAAATAAACTAAAACCTCCTAGACTAACCAAGTCAGAAAGATAATGGAATGCCAATTACCTCGCCAACACTAACAAAATAGTTGTCCATTAATACCACCTTCCAGACACGGGCAGAATGACCATAGAGACAAAACATTAAACTGCTCTGCATGCTCCTCCAGTCATCCACAGTTGGACATTGGCCCTCTACACAAGGGAAAGATAACTGCCACATTAAAATGCTACGGTCATCAGAGGCGGAACAAATCCGACGATGTCCAGCATGATAACTGATAGAAAAAATAACACCCTGTGGATAGAACATGTGGTTTTTATTTTATTAAGCAGTCTAAAATACTATTCATTTTAAAGCATGTACTAGCATTTTAAAAATAAGAATATATATATAATGTTATATATGTGTTATTTTTCTCTAATTCCCATTAGTTCATCTCATTTTTATTTGAGGATTAATCAATGCACATGACACTCAAGTTCTATTTTCAGAAAAATAAAACATAAAAATAAAATGACCTTATGACCAGATAAAACTTGCATAGTTTCTACTGGATGCTGTCCACTAACACCACTATCCACTTCACCCTCTGAATCCACTGGCCATAAGACAATTTGGTTGAACACCGTCCCCGCAGCCAGAATGAGATTGTTCCAGACATCACCAATAAAAGATGCACAATAGCTTTGTTTTGTTAAGTTGGCTGGATATTTTTATAAAACTATAAACAACTCTATTTGAATTTATACTTTGAAAAGTACATTTTTATTGCAAAAAGCAAAAATATTAATAATGAAAAATACTTCAGATACATTTTTAAAATTGTCCACTAAAATGAAGATGTTAGATTAAACAGTTTATTAAGATAAGTATTGATACTTATCTACATTGATTTGAAAACTGTTGTGAAACTAGCACAATCTAAACAAAAAAATTACTTCCACAAACTAACTTAAGTCGGCCTATTATGTTAACATAAACTAAGGTCACAGCCCTACAAAGAGTAAGTTCTATAAATGCTGGTTAGAAAATAAAAGAGAAAAGAAAGGATACAGAATACAATTCTCTGTACATTGTCTGCCCTGACTAACTTTGTTCAACTGCCAGTCCCATTTAACCACCAAGTTGTGTGCCAGAGCAAAAGCTACCTTCCCAAAGTCTAACTTTAGAATACAAAACACATAAGGTTATCAATAAGTTTTCAAGTATTTTGTTAAAAAGACACTTTAGTATTAGATATAAGAAAGCAAAAATAATTAAAACAATTGGTTCAAAACTGTAGATGGCAATAATAAATAAAGTAAAAAAAAAATCATATTTTGTCAATGGAAATGGCAAAAAGACTAGAAATGATGTCATAGCAAAGAACCAAGAAAATATATAACTCTTTATGGTTAGAGTTTCATTAACTAAGTATTATTTCTGATGCCATTTGTTTGAAACATGATTGCCTTTTAAAATCCAATATCTGATTATTACTTGTAGTTTAAGGCAATATGTTTCAGGACATTTGTTTAAAATAAGGCTGGGGACAGTTGTTATTGCGCCAGATGTATGTCAGATGATGACCGGGTAATCAATGGAGAGTACAATGACCAAACTGGCTGAACTTTGATTTGGCTGCCAAAGAATCATAAGTAAGTAAAGTTCCTCTTTAGATCTAGCAATCATGGGGCAGATGAAGTTCATGTTTCTAGACCTCGGCATGTGAAAGGGATGGTGTGTTCAGTTCTATGCCCAGCCACCTTTACTATTCCGAATGTAAGTCAAGTACCTATCAGAGGTTGGTGGACTCAGGGACATCCGACAGTCACAAGTAAAAACCAAGATCCGAACTTGAGACCTTGGGTCTTGTAGTCAAAAGCTCTACAATTCAATCATGCCATCTCACAAAAACAATAAGTAAACCGGGGGAAATAGTTTTCAGTCTGAGCCTAGAATGTTGAATAAGTGTGAAACAGGTTGGTGAAACAGAAAAGATTTACAGTGAAAAAAATAGTTCTTACTTGATTTGTTAACCACTGTGCATTCCATATCAGATCACACAAAAAAACAGTTTCTGATACTGAAGTTATGACTTGATTGCCTTCCTTGGACTTGCTCAGTGAAATGACACAAGCCTGTTTACCCCCATATACACAGAACAGTTGTCCACTCTCAATAACTGGACCTGTAGTATAAAGTGTGTTGGGTATATGACACTACCTATGTAAACACATACATAAATTATGGTTTAGGGCCTATATATTTTTAAGCAAGAGGAACTTAACTACATTATTGTTTTCTAAAGTAAAAATTACTTTAATATTTAAAGGCATCAGAAAAAATAATTGCTGTGTAGTAGGCCTATGTTTGATTTAAGTACTAAAATTACTTTTTGTTACTAGGAAAGAGTGCAGTAACTGGGTGAACTAAAGAAAAAAGATAATATTGGAGTGTCAATATTTGTCAACAGTTAGTTGTGTATTTCCTAGTTCTTATTGGTTTTTTAAATCTTTGAAAGAATTAGTTTTTAACATTGCAGCTATCAGAGGTTAATGTTCATTTCTTTTTTGAATAAAAGTATAGGTTAATATGCTGTAATACAACATAAGTGTAATTATGAATATAACTTTAAAAAGATGACACTAATGCTAAAAATGAAGCTCATGTTATTGCTACCTCTTTTTATTCCATGTATTGTGGATTCTGTAAGAACTTGCTGTCTTACTTGCAGTTCACAGGTCGTCAGATTATACACAGATATCTCATTCCCGTAACCTAGGGAGAAAAATTTAATAAAACAAACTTTCTTATGTACTAATTTTGTGTGTGTGGTAAATTCCTGCGGATTAAGTTTCTGTTAGTATGTGAGCTATTTCCTAAAAGGGCAAGTGTATTTTTTTTTCCGTTGTCTCATAATTGTATCATTTTGTATCAGGTTGTGGAAAAAGGATTAGGTTATCCTTTTCAACCAGGAATTCCATTGGGCAGATGAACAGAGTTCACCAGTTTCTGTAATCTCCTAATATTGTGGGATAGTGTGATCAGCACTATGATCAGGAACACATCAGAGCTGGGTGTACTCAGGGACATCAGATGTATTATAATTTAATATTAAATGGATTTGAACTTAAGACTTAAGTTTAAAACTTTCAAGTTAACAATATATTGTTAACACAATGATGTGTTAAACAGTAAACACATGCCAAAAAAGACAGGTTACTTTGAAATTAAATTTGAATACTTTGTGCTTCAACCAGGTTTATTATTTTATATAGAAAAAAAAATATTTTAGAATAATCAGGCTATATTTTTAGTACTTTTTAAATGCCTATTAAGTATCATAAATTATTTAAGTATGCCTATTTTTTTTAGTAAAGTTTTAAGTATTTTAAAAATGTATTTTATTTAAAGTTTAAAGTATTTTTATTTTTTAATATTTTTGGTAATCTATCGTTTTGGGTACGTAAAATCGCCCGCGGCTATTTATGTACGAAAACGTTACCACATTGTCAAGGCTTTAATAGAAGTATATTGTCATACTTTTGTGTCAAATATTATAGATAAATGAATAATAAACCTAAATCAATGGCTAAATATATCGATATAGGCCAGAAATTAACTTTAAACAGCAGTGTCTGAGAGCAAGATTTGCTATATAAACAGCAGCCATTTGTAAAATAGAGTGACTTCCCCCTGAATCTGGCGCTAAAAGCTTATAAAAATAAAACTTAGACAAGATGGCTGCTATAGTAAATGAGCATGATTGCATCTGTTGGAAACATCGCTAGTCTTCATTTATTACGGAAAAGTTTTAATTCAATAGTTTAAAAACAGGTACATAAATGAATCAAGGAAACGTTTTTGAATTTTTTAAAACATAAATCCTCCTCAAAATGTGAAATAATTATTAAAATTTAAGGAGTCACCTGTTTTTCACATTACAAATCGCGGGCGATTTTACGTACCCAAAACGATAGATTACCATATTTTTTAATATTTTTTAACTTTAACTGTCAACTGACCACAAATTATTGTGTCCCCGAAAACATCAACAGCCGTTACAGGTCCTACGTAACTCTGTTTAATTAATGTAATTGACGTTTTGCATTCAAAACTATTCATTTTATTTATGTTTTTTAAAAAGGTTTTCTATCTATTCTATTAGTAATGATGGTAACAGTAACAACTATAAAAGTAAACATGCAGGCTAATACGAAAATGAAAGTAGAAAGTTTTTATTTAACCCGGAAATAATTTTATTTTTTATTTTTTGTATTCGTAATCTTCAATTACAAGTAAAGTCTATTAGTACCATGTTGAGAAGTTAACAGCTTGATTGTTCATCATAACGCAAAGATTAATGGACACATATTTTAGAAATATCTTAATTGTCGAATTATTTCTTGCCTAGAGATTAAGTAAAGGTTTATTGAGTCAATAATTTTTAATATAAAATATGACTGATTGTGGACAGTATCGATACTCAAGGCCCGACCACTGATATGGGCCGGGGATGGGGTTGGAGAAGAAGGAGAGACTTCGGCTGAAGTTTATTTGTTTTTACTTTAAAACAAATTTGAGTACATGTATAAATAATCAGACCTGAACCTCATTTCCATTGATCATGTAAGAGAGTTATTAATGCATGCTAACTTGCATGATTGTCTACAAATAATGCCCTCATAAATTAAGCTGATCGAGTTGGCCTACGCAGTGCGACACAAGGTTTGGGTGATACCTGGTGTGGCAGTGTTTCTTCCAGACTTTTTTCTCCGGTGGGGGGTGGGCGCTTGAAATTTGCGAGAGAAGGGCGGACTAAAATTTCCGGGGAGGGGGACTGGGGCGGACACTGTTAAAAATATTTTTTCTATATATTTTCTATATAAATTCCATTTTGTTCGGGGGGGGGGGGGAGGGTTGGCGATAGACTTTCTTCGGGGAGATGCCTGGAAGAAACTCTGGCGGCAAACCAGGGTGTCACCCCTTCCACCAACGACTATATAAATTACGATACACTATAACCAAGGGTGGACTGGCTGTGTCCAAGCGGACCGGGAAAAAAGAAAGCGGCCAATTTCATCCCACGACCGGAATAGAATATACATAGAAAATATATACTTTTACCCGTGAACTGGGCTGGGATGGTGACCCCCATCCCCGAGTCCTTGTGCATGCCAGAAGTATAAAAGCATGCACTGGGCCATAGCCACCTTCAATGATAGATTTCTAGGAGAATGCAAATGGAAGTTGTTTCAAAAGTAGTTGAAAAAAAGATTGCGCTGGATGGGCCAAAGTCAGTTGATATCACATGAATGGCGCTAAACTGGACGCCTCAATAAAAAAGAAAAGAGGGAAGGCCAAGTGAGAAGAGGAGGTGCTCAACAGAAAAACAACTGCCTAGAGCCGGATAACCTAGCGGAACTGCGGAGAAAGTCGCCCGACACCGGCAAAAGTGGGAAGAGCTTTCTGTGGCGGCCCCGTGTGTCCTGAGCACAGAAAGGAAAAGATTTTTCATATACTAGCAAAATGTTTTGTTTATAATGGTTGACACACTTTTCGCCCAATCAGGAGGCATAGAAGCAGAGGCGATGGGGGCGGGGGGTGCGGACCGCACCGGGTGACACCACTTAGGGGGGTGACACCAAGGCAAAGAATAGCAAAATATATAGAGACAAACTTGAGGGGGGGGTGCAAATTTGTCCCCGGGAAGGGTCGCTATGCCTCTGGGGGTGACACCATTAAGTGCCGCACCGGGTGACACCCGACCTCGCTACGCCACTGCATAGAAGACATCTGTGCCAGAATTAATAAAGCCCGATACGCATTCACAGTTCTGCTGTCCATGTGGGTTAACTCTAAACTCTCCAACACAAAAAAAAAAAAAAAATAAGGAGTATTATATTAAGCAGAGGCATGGAGAATCTCCAAGACCTGCAGAGACAAGGTACAGACCTTCATTAACACATCTCTTAAACAGGTTCTGAACAGTGTTTCTTCCAGACTTTTTTTTATTTCGGGGGGGGGGGGGGGGGGACGGACACGACACTTTAAATTTTCGGGGGAGGGGCGGACACTGTTACAAATATATATTTTATATATAAATTCCATTTCGTTAGGAGAAACTCTGGTTCTGAAATTAATGTGGCAGGACAAAATGCCAAACATATAAACCTATGGAGATGGACAAGACATGACATTAGAAGAAGGGGAAGACGCTGGGTGGGGGCACACACTTCGCAAGCTAAATCAAATGTGACACGTCAGGCGCTTGAGTGGAATCCCCAGGGAAAGCGAAAGAGAGGGCGCTCAGATGTGGAGGCGGAGTCTTCTTGACGAACTAAAGACAGCAGGCATGTCTTGGGAGACTGCAAAATCACCAGGCATGGGTTGGGTAAAAATGGAAGATTATGACTGGAGCCCTACGCTCCACAAGGAGTAAAGAGGATTAAAGAGGGTAGTGTCGAATTCACAAATTAGGAACCGAGTTTCTTCCAGGCATCTCTTAGGGGGGAACCCCCCCCCCCCCCCCGAAGAAAGTCTACCGCCCCCCCCCGAACGAAATGGAATTTATATAGAAAATATATACTTATGACAGTATCCGCCCCACCCCCCGAATATTGTTGTCCGCCCCCCCCCCCCCCCCCCCCCCCCCCCCCCCCCGAAAATTTCAAGTGCACCTCCGGAGAAAAAAGTCTGGAAGAAACACTGATAAGGAATTACTGAAAAGTAGAAAATGGTGGTAAGTGAGGGTGAGGATAATCGTCCTTCACAAGCTACTGAACTACTGATAATGTTTTAAAGCAACATATTTTCAGTCACAGCATTGGTAGTGTCGAATTCACAAATTATGAATTAATACTGAAAAATAGGAATTAAACTAAATAGCGGCGTATGCTACGTCGCGGGTCAGCTCGTACAGAATAATAGATCTAAGAACCGACTCTGATATTCGAATACGCCCGCAATTTAGCGAAACGTAAAAAGAGAGTCACCGGTTAATCCAAGATGGACGAGTGGGGTAAGAACATGTGATAGTTTTGACATATTTTTGATTTGTTTTAAAACATAGAGTTGATAATTACTGTTTTAAATTAATATTTCAATATTTTAATTAGAAAAAGAGGATTTCGAGCCCAATATCCCACCTGCCGGGGCAGTTGCTTCAGATAAATGGGAAGGAGAAGACGAAGAAGATGACGTGAAGGTGAGGCATCTCATTATTTTTTTGGTTTTTACTTTACAATAAGTTTAGTTTTTAGGATTTTTAATTTAAAAAAAAAAATACAGATTACGGCTGGGTAGACTACACCTAGTATTCTAGACTAGATCTAGACTATCCAAATTAGTATGACTAAGTTTAGTAAGTATGCTACCTGCCAACTAGATCTACCTGGTGGTAGTAGTCTACATTGACAACCCACGGGCTATTCCATCTAATTTTTTAAACGAAGTGACTACTCTGAAGAAGATTTTTCTCCCCAACGTCTCCACTTAGTCGGCAAAAGATAGCTCTGCGCATGCGCAGTGACCTAGGGTTAGGGCTAGAATTAGGGATAGGATTAGGGTTGGTGTTAGGGTTCTGCGGTTGTAAACACACGCATGCGCAGTACCATCGAAAACATCGCCGCGAAGGCAAGTCGTAGTTTCTCTCCATTGCGCATGCGTATCTTATTCCGGCTAGCATCGGCCTTTTGTAAATGAGATACTCTTACTCTTCATTATAGGCCCAAGGCCTAGAGTTATTCCTAGATCTAGATCTAGGTCTAATCTAATGCTATCTCTGTTCTACATGAGAAATTTAGAGAATACATTAGAAATCTATTCTAATTACTACATAGTAGATCTAGATTTAAATTCTAAATTTGGCATTCAGGAACTTGATGTAATTTTAGAAGAAATAGGCCTATTGGCTGGAGAATGAGAATATGGACCGAAAGTTTTTTTTTTTTTTTACTTTAATTAAACTCCATTTATAATTACATTTTGTAGGTTGTTCATGCTGATCAATCTAGACCTAGACAATGGTCTAGTAACTAGTAAATCATCTACCTATGGCACAGGATTAAGCCCTACATATTTAAAATTATTCTATAGGGCCCTAGTCCTAATTTAGTTCCAAAGCTGCAAGATGACATAATATAGATCTAGTAGTGTTAAAAATGTAAAAGAATGTTTATTTCTAGGAAAGCTGGGAAGATGAAGAGGAAGAAAAAAAGGAACAGGCTGATGGAACTAAACCAGCGGAGGAAAAGTCCACAGGTTAGTTAACAACCACTGCATCACTTGTTTTATTATAATTACTTCTTTTATGATTTTATGTGAGTTCATCTCACAGGCAATATTTTTTATAAGGTAGGCCTATAAAAAATGTATTTCTCAAAATGACAAAACTGGAATTACCTGAAGTGTGTAACATAAGTTGTTAGATTTCTGTCCTATACTTTCATATTTTAAAAATGTAGACTTCTGTTTCCTAGGCACTATATAGGGTCTATTGTATTTGTGGAAAAATTAAACATTTGCTTTTCTGTTAATTTTGATAATTTAAATAATATTGCACAAATTGCATGGACTAGTTATCTTTTACTAGTTGTACACTCATCCCTGTGTAATGTATATTTTTTTCATCACAAAAATCATTCACAGAAAGTTAATACTTACATTTATTTTAGCTTACCAGAGGCCGAAGAAAAAACCAATAGCTGATAGAATAGCTGAAAAGGCGCGAACTAAACAGAAGGAAGAAGAAAAGGTTTGTTTGTTTGCTAAGGTCATGCTTTACACTTAAACATCAGCACTGGGATTTTGACTTAACTCTTTAAGCCCAGAATTATTGTCATGTTTCTCATGAATTTTGTTTTTTGGCTCATTTTTTTTTTTTTTTTTTTGGAGTGGCTGCTCGGAAAAAAGATTTTTCGCCCCAGCGTCTCCACCTGGTCGGCAAAAGATAGTTCTGTGCATGCGCAGTGACCTAGGGCTACAATTAGGGATTGGGATATGGTTGGGGTTAGGGCTAGGGTTCTGTGGTTGCGCAGTATAATGCATATCTTTTTCCGGCTATAATTTTCCCCTTTTTGTTTTTAGTGCCCATACCAAAAAAATTACTAATATCTTTTTACCCATTTATTTAAAACCCACACATTACAGATAAAAATCAATCATAAGTGAATGCCTTTCACGCAGATATTAATTTTAAGAAATTATTTTATTTAAGAAAGATAATGACTTAGTTTTAAATAAGACAGTTTTAAAGTAGAAAATATTAGTTGATTTTTTTCAGGGAAAAAATATGCTTCTGTCAGGAAAATTAATGACCAAGATAAAAAAAAATGTCACATATTTACATCTAGGTGAAAATGATAGATACATTTTTTCTTTTTTTTTTCTTTAGAAGTCACAATATCCGTTATTAGAGCTGTAGAGGTGATTGTGTGCTGAAACCTAGATGTTAAATAAATACAGATCAAACATCTGCAACCCATTTCAATTGGGGAAGGATTATAATTAGCTCAATTAATCATTCTTAAACTTTAAAAACAATTTCTTATTGTTTATAGGTTGAGAAGACACCAGAGGAAAAACTGGCTGAGAAAATTAGACTACAAAAGATTCAAGAAGAAGCTGATTTAAAATTAGCTAAAGGTTTATTTGGTAAGTAAAATAAACAAATTTTATTTATACTGCTGGTCACAAGTGAAATAATGTGCTCAACAGTACTTTTTTTCCTCCTCAGGTGTAGGAGATGCATCTGGAATAGACAGCATGTATCCTGAAACAAAAGAACAGTTTGATCAATTTGAACAAGCTTTGAAAACAAAAATAACATTTTTTGAGGTAATATTACTGTTATGTGTTTGAAAAAGCATCTTGCTGAGTTATCTTATGTTGTTTTTTTTTTTTTTTTGAAAAGCCTGATGTTGACTTAATCCTTGAAAACTTAGTTTTATTTAGCACTATTTTAAATTTCGTTTATTAACCTTATTCCAGACATCTTATACTTTTTAATACTCATTGAATTATTTTTTTTCAGAGTAGCAAATTGTATTCAGCATTTATAGAAAAACTTATCCATGATTTAACCTTAACCTGTAAGTATGCTAATCATCACATTAAATCAACTAAAAGATTTTAAATGCTTTACTGGTCAGTCATTTTGGTTTTTAAATTACTTTCCATAGGACCAAGCTTTAGAATTGTTTTTTCAAACAGGTGATACTCAGCTCTAAAAATATTAATAACTTACAAGTACATTTTAAAGCTGAAAAATTGGTGGTTATGCAGAAAAATGGGCATAGTAGCTTATTTGTGCTAGTCTAAAGTTGTAAAATGATTTGTAATAAATGAAAACTAACACCCTAGATAATTTCACTTTCTATATCACTTTATTTACTTTAATACTCGAGTCATTATGGGTCTTTAATTTAACTTAAATTAACTAGTAGGAGACTAAAATTATTCTCATTAATTGCATGAACTTTGAAAGATTAGAAAATAAACTGCCAAATAAATATACCCTATATTTGCCTATTTCATATGACTCTATAATTCACCTGGATGACACCCCAATTATTGTGTTATGCTTATTATGTTAAAAACTTACCTTTAAAAGGGAAAAGCTTGATTTTTTAGTCAGTAAATTATAAGCAGTTGAATTTATTAGTTTGTGCCATTTTTTGTTTCCTGATCTGTTGTGGTTTACATTCAACTTGTTAAAATACCTAGTTTAAAAATAATCCAGCATTTTTGTTTATGTAACACTGTGTCACATAATGGCTAGTTGGGATTGTTAGTTTTATGATGTGGTAAATCCCCTTAACCCACACCTACTTTTAGTGAAGATTTTTATTCATTGAAAGACTGCATGGACAAAGGTAATCATAAAAATATAAATATGCGAGTGGTTATCTATAACATTATCTTTAAGTAGGTGGTTTTGAAAAACAACTGACAATTGACTTAAATCTGTAATTAGCATGATTTTTAAAATTGTAACTTGGCCATTAATGCTCACAATAATTCATGTACTAATGTCATCAATTCATGAAATATGCTCAAGAAGTTGCTAAAAAGAATATCTTTTTCTTTGCAGTGCCTGCTGATGACATCAAACGAATTGGTATTTCATTAAATACACTGTATCATGAAAAGGAACGACAAAGGAGAGTAAGTGCACACATCCTATAACTGTCTAACTGTATTTTTTGCCTGTAATTTTACAATTTTAACCCCCAGGTCACTATATTGCGATTATGCTTTTGCCTTCTTAAAAATTAAAATTGTCCCCAGTGTTAGTATTTTTTCTGGTTCCTGGTTTTACATTTAGCTAGTTAAAATTACAGCTGTATTATTGTTGCTTCTCATTTACAAACATCTTCTGTAACATCTCCCTTTTCTTCAAATGTCAAGGCTGGCATGGGTAGTAAGGGTTATGGTGTGAACTTTCTCAAACGTTGTTTAAACCTTAATCCACCTTTTTAAACCAAAGATTCCAGTTGTGGTGTTTTTTTTTTTTTTGCAAGGGTGTAGATTAAAAGTACAATTTGTCCATTTTTTAACAAAAACTCGTATAAATGACATTGCGTAACATCATCATCAATATGTTGTTTTCTTTAACACATGAGCATAAGCTGATTAGAGAAAATCTATGCATTTGTTACTGAAAATGTTTTTTGGGGTCTGACTATATTATTATTCTATTTTCTTACTCAATGTATTTTCCCTGGTACACAATATTTCCTTTGTTTGACAGGAACAGGCAAAGACTCAAAAGAAAAAGAAACCAAAGGCCACAATTAGAGTAGACAAGGCTGATGACTTAGGTTTGGCAGATGTGGCGGCGGAAGGAGCATATTATGATGATGAAGAGGATGATTTCATATAGCACTCCTGTACATAGTCTCTTTTTCTTTTTTTTTTTACTCATCATACTATGCTGTCTTTCCACTGTGCCTAATTTTTAATGACCTTTAGACATGTTAAACAGTGTAACTAAAAGAAGTCCAACATATTTAATTTTCTTTATTCTTGTATTGTCAAAAAAAAGTTTTACTATCCATCCATCATTTTCAAATTTTTTGTTATGCTCTTGGTTTTGGTCATTAAAAAAAAAAAGTTGTCAAAGTTATTGTATGAATGTTTTGTTTATAGCATTTATCTTCATTTATTTATGATTTTTAATAATTGATCATTATGGTACACTATGATTCATATTATGTGTGGTATTTTCTTTTGAAATAGAAATATGCATCAATAATAAGTAATATAAATAAAGCCTTTTGCTTATAAAAGAAGAAAATGACATTCATCTTCAAGTGCAGGTACTTGATGTTTTTGTAGTGTAATAAACTACCTAGTCCTTAAATATGTAAATATTTGCTGCTGTAATTTTATAGCATGGAAAGATAAACACCAAGTCTAGTATAAAAAACTAGTTCTGATACTTTTTATAATTCTAATTATTGAGGAAACTTTTTTTGAAAATAGACTATGACTTTCTTCAAGGAGGACATACACAACCAGATTTTCAATGATGAAATAAATATCAAAATAACTGCTTTTTGTTGTTGTAGACTTTGTTCAGTATTATCCAACTAGTGTATCTGTTGTAACTTTGTATTTTTATATTATATTAAATATATTTAGTAAAACAAGTTTCAACTTAGTACTGTTGAGAAAATGGCTAAAGCTTCACTATCCAATATACTCCTTGTAGGGTGGCTCTCTACAAGTGAGTCCATATATGCCCTGAAGTCCTTGCATCACTTTCAACAGTTCGCCAGGGAATTTTTTTAGTCCGGCCCACTTTTCCCTTCCCCTTGTGTGTTTCAGTCCAATGCTTGTTTTTTTTTTTTTTTTCATCTTCTCTGGGCGTTTGATCCATCACCACTTATGTACGGCCTTTAATATTCCAAAAATGTGATAATAAAGGCTATTTTAGTTACAGCCCTCAATATTTCACTAACTCCCCAACCGTTGTAGCCAATTCTAGCTTGTATTGAAGCCTTTGCGTCACAAAAACTAGTTTTCTTTATATTTGACGAAATCTGCGCGTGGGAAAGGTGTCATTATCGGCTTGTGAAGCTGACCAATGGCGCACAGCTATAACAAGCTGCTGATTGTTTTCGTAGTGTAGGTCTTTATTGGCGCGTCCCTGGGTCTAGTTCACACCCGGAATGGCATTACTAGCCTAGCCTAAAGCTCTACCAAGTCCAGACACAGCCTGATAACATCAGCGTCAAGTGGCCGGCCACTAAAATGGTACTTAACACTCGATACCCGCCGTCCCTCGCGAGGTACCGAGCGAAAGTGTACTGAGTCGGTAAAAAGGGGAGATAAAACGACGACCAGATGGGTCGTCTGCTCCCGTGTACGCGGGCACGCTCTCTTCATCACAAGCCTGGAGTGCGAGGTGACGGAAGGCCAGTTTTCATTGGGCTGTCGTTGTGTTCGTGGCTATTGATACACGAAATGGGATTCAGAAAACTTGGGGATTATTCTTACATGGAACTGGGAAAATTGCACACGAAATACTATTTTATCTAATTTTACTTTAAATACGTGTTTTAATTTTATGTGATCACAACATCAGGTAGATATAACTTTTTTTAAAATTTGATTTAGATTTAGTTTATATGTAACAATGTAGGCCCTGAATAGTTTGATGATTAGTATTCGCAAACCCATATTTTGTAAAATAATTTTATTACTTTTTGTTTAAAATGTGCTGGTGTGTAGCTCTACACTGGTAAGTATATTTATCCTTTAAAAAGAAAATTGCTTGAATAATCGTAAAGATAATGTATACAGGTATCTATTGTTGAAAATTCAGCAACCTGTTATTAAATAGTTTATATTTATGGATGGGTCCTTTAGGCTTAAGAAACATACACGGGTTTTGGGATCTAGACCGCCGACAATATCTAGATACTAATGTAACATAATCACCCCAGACGTTTGTCGATAAAGTTGTCGCTTAACTCGTCAAATGAGATGACTTTTTTAGTTTAAGTATAGGCCTATGTGTTTATATAGTGTTTTAATTTTTGAATTTGATTAGGCGTGGCACCCGCTTTCAGTGGATTTTAACCAAATGATGCACACGTATATAAAATAAAACATAAAGAAATTGATTTTAGGTTAGGCTGTATGTAATTTAACTATAGAGCTTCATAGTAGAATCATATTCAAAAAATTAATTTTTAAAAAGTTTATTGATCTAGTGATTTAAATTCCTTGTGAAATTAACAACAATGTTTTGGGGCTGCAGGGGTTAAGGCGCTTTGGTGCTTATCTCCCTTGCTCCGTTTAATCGAAACGAGACCAACGCGTTTGTGCATTCCGCGCTCGCGTCAGTCAGTGAGAAGTCATCACCATAAAACCCTGCCCCAATGGGGTAGGAACTAGGTGTAAATACCGCGCCGCGTACATTTCACCCTATAAAACATGGATGGTCCAGATAGTAGCGCTGGGCCGATATCTGGCCAAACAATCATACAACAGACGATCTCATTTCAGCGCCCCGTCTCCCTTTGTTGACGTCTGTCCCTTCCTGGAAATTGCAATCGTTAAAAGATAAATAAACATTCTGTGCACTTGATGCTAATCTCAAATGTGCGAGTAGATAACAGATCGCGTTTTCGTTTTCTTTTAAGTGCGGGCTTTTACTTTGTTTTATTTGGGTTGGTTTATTTGACTTGGTTTTAATTTGCTTGACTTTGTTTTAATTTGTTTGACATTGTTTACTAAACCAAAGCCCCAGAGATTTGTGTCCTAGCGAAAGTAGAGGCACGGGGAGAGAAGACACAATGCTCGAATTATTTCGTTGCCCTATGCCCATGTCGTCTTTTTAAAATTACTAAACGTAACCTTTTTATTCGAATACACCGAAACATTTTATATAAACTTTTCTTTAATATCAAATTAACATGCAATAGGTATATCTACATGAATGGATTTAAAATATATCTTTTTAAAAATTATAATAAGTTTACAAAAAAAATAGCCCTACTTTGTGCCCCATTCCCCCCCCTCCCCCCCCCCCGAATACAACCTAGGTAGTCCAACATGAGTTGGCATTAGTGTTTCCAGACTTTTTTCTCGGAGGGGGGGGGGGCACTTGATGTATATTTTCGGGGGGGGGGGGGGGGGGGGGGGCAACATTTTCCGGGGGGTGGGTGGGGTGGACATTGTTAAAAGTATGTTTTCTATATAAATTCCATTTCGGGGGGGGGGGGGGCGAAGAGATGCCTAGAAGAAACTCTGGTTGGCATAACACACGTATATAACCTACAAGTTGTCGGAGTACATGTCACGCTCTAAAATTGTGCAGCAGTGCAGCTGATTTTGAATTCGCAGCTTACAGATTTGGCTACCGGGAAGATTGTTGTTCACTCGAGTGGCGGAGCTCATCCAATAGAAACTGTCTTTTCCCCCGTCCTTCTGCCCATCCATCAACTTATCCAAATACCTGTCTACCCACCTGTCTGCATACCTACCCACCTACACCTTTACACCATTCAGCTATTCGTAAATTGTCTCAAGTTAACAGGTGTTTTAAGAAGAGAAGGGAGATGTTACAGTTAAAGGGAATTTTAAATGTCAATCGTTTCTTTATCTTAAATGATTCTTGCTATTGTATATTGCTTTTTTAAAGATGTATTTAAAGTTGAAATACATTGCGTATAATTAATTGAAGCCAAGCAGAGTTTCTTCCAGGCATCTCTTCGGGGGGGCGAAGCCCCCCCGAAAATTTTTTACCGCCCCCCCGAACGAAATGAAATTTAGATAATTTTATATAGAAAATATATACTTTTAACAGTGTCCGCCCCCCCCCCGAAGAAAGTCTACCGCCCCCCCCGAAAATTTCAAGTGCCCCCCCGGAGAAAAAAAGTCTGGAAGAAACACTGAAGCCAAGGCTAATTATATTCAACCGTGTATGCTATATAATATAGAGGCATTATATCTGGGTGATGGCCGCTTTATTTAAAATCACCGATAGATGGCGTACGAGCACCATGTCACAATGTAGATCATCATGGAAGTTACCATCTGTTTTGTTAAGTTTCTTTCAGCCTCCCCAACCCTTGCTGAGACGAAATAAAATTTGTTTTTTTTTAATAGAAATTTTTTACTTTAACCAGTGCCCCCCCCCTCCCCCCATCGGAAGTTTC